TCAGTATGATCAATTTGTTGCTCCCTTACTTTTCTAAACACAAATGCGCAGCTGATTTTCATGCGCTTTTGCGTAATTCGCTCGCTCTACGATCAGTCTTCAGGGGAAATGAGGGACTACTCGTGGTATATTTAACTGTCTGCTGTGCTGCCTTTCACCGGCGGTGCTCGTTATCTTCATTTCTGCTGTGATAGTTAGTTTTTAGTTCAAAATAAACCGGAGAGAGTTTTGTGCCACGCCATATCTTTTATCCCAGTCCCGGTCTGACTACCTCACCAACTGAACTTTGCCTTGGCCAATTTGCTTCAGCTAAGAGAATGACGAAAAATCATTCCTTCGTAGATTTACTAAACTGAAACTTGTACTACTCAGTATATAAGATAACCCCCTATTTTTTCTATTTATTTTTTCAGTCGTGGCTTCCCCTCCCTCCCCTCCCTTTGTGAAATGGCTTGCCGTGCTGGGTATATAAGAAGACATCATTGACCCTTTTACATTAACTCTCAGAAGCGATTGGCTTTATCAGCCAGAAGATGCTATGTTGATAGGTCTTGATATGACTCGAAATTCTTTTATTTACCATTCGCTAAAATGTATCCACAAAGTAACAGACAAATATGATATTAGCATTGTAGATTTGACCATCGCTTTACAGGTTTCTTTAACAACATAATGCAAACCAGGAACCTTACAGCTGACAGTAAGCTTCTTAACTGGTCATTGAATAGTATGAGAATTTGTTGTCTATTTCATACTAGACTACGACAAATAAATCCAAAAACTGGGACAAAAACGTCCATAAACTCCTCTATAATTGATTCAACTTATCATTGAAACACAAAAACAAAAATACAATAAGGTATAGTTGCCGTTTTTGTAGCAAATCGCACAAAGAGTGTTAAGTCTATAAATTCCATTAGATGTACCGAATCTGAAACCACATTTGACATCTACGTTATTGAATAATTTTCGTGACTTGCTTGCTTGCTTGCTGCATGCTTGCTTGCTGTTGCTGCTTTTCAGTTGCTTTCACACTTCCAAGAGGAAGTACGATTCAGTACTAGTGGTCGCAACTCCTACTCGTAACCGCAGTTTTCTACTAATGAGAAATGGCTGATCCATGCCGTTGTCTTTAACAGTGTCATTCATCATCCGCCATCGATCAAAACACAAATAGCCATAATATCTGTCTGCCAGTATTTGCCTATCAGTGCTACAGAAGAGCTGCTGCCCAGTCCTGGATTTTTTGTCATCGAGGTTTACTCCTCTAGTAGATTAAGTTTTCGTCTGGTTCCAACCCTTCAACCTGTCTGGCATGGTTAAACCTGCCAGGAGACTTGCTCCCGCCAGCTTAGCTCTCCGGGTCATAGGAACACACAAGCTAATCCACCACGCCAAGGTACTTAATCAGTAGACTGCAAAACAGTCGGGTTTTTTTTCTCAAAATCAGTAAAGAAATCGGTAAAGCGTGCCGTAAGAGTCTTACGCGCGAGGCGCGCGAGCCTTTTACAGCCTCGTTCCAGACCTTTTGTTTGACTACTCGCGCGTACTTGAATACGCAAAAATACGGACTGTTTTGCAGACTACATAATCAGCGGATCGTGACAGTGTTCTGCAGTACGTAAGAATAATGTCACTTGGTTCTCTGTTATTGATATCATAATCATTATTTCTTTCTCTTTTCGTTCTTATTTTACGTAACTTTTGCAATCTGCTATAACTATTATTATAGTCATGCAAATAAAGGTTTTTATTGTTGTTGTCGTTGATTATTAATATATGAACGAAATCTTTAAATAGATGCCGTTAACTTAATAAATCGCGAAAAGCTGACAAAGTTCATGTACTGAAACTACTAAGAAATCAAAATCTATTTTACGTTTTTACTGAATGACAAAAGAGACAATTTTAAAATTTTAGAGTCCCAAAGTTCATATGCAGCGAAGGTTCCTTGAAACTTAAAAACTCAGGCTTTTCAGACTATGGAGGGCTGAGTGGTCCATCAATAATGTTGATACAGATCTTCATGAAAGTAACAAACTTGTAATCGGGACCAAACTTCGGATTGACAGCTGTCCTTGGGTCAGTGATCATGTTTCCTTTTCCGTCAAGGTCAGTGACAGGCGTTCCCCCAAGTTTCTGAGACCAGTACCCTGGGGGATTAGTGTCATCCAAGCGATAACAATGGTAATCCACCTCTAAAAATAAAGAAATAAAGTACGAAAAAGATTTGTTTAGACTTTTTGCCTCATCGGTGTAGTATAATTTTCCTTATCAATTGCTGTCGGTAATTGCACAAACTTCAATACCACTGATTACAATTCAAGAGGCCGCACTAGTTAGCTCCTTTCGAAGCAAATTAATGTATTATCAGCGTGGTTAACAGCCCATTCAAACCTTCACTGAACTCTAGTCACCCACCATTCGAGATTACCAAAGTTCTCATATTAGCTTAGAGCCCATTCTATTAATTTGAAGACGAAATTAGTACAAGAAACTTTGAAACCAAATGATAACGGTACACCGATTTACAGTAAAAACCAGCGACTGAGTAAGACCCTGGGCCCGATTGCATAAAACCTGCACTTAAGTGCCCACTTAAGTATGTCACTTACGAATCCCTTACTTAAGGGCACGAGTAACTTTGTTATGGTACTTTAAATTATTAATTTGACTCACTCTATTTTTTTAAATTAAGATAACCATCGGTGAGTGTAAAGAAAGTGTCAATTCGTTTCGAACACCTTTTTAAGCCTCTCATTCAAATAAAGTTTACATGAAATCGTTATTTTACTTCAATATCCACTGGAAATTTTTGTTGTTCTTCTTTTTTCTTAACGACGGTTTTAAATTGTACATCAGAGGTTAACAAAGCGCATTAGAACGGAATTACGTAAAGAAAAAAACAATCTTTTTCCCCTCTTAGTAAAAGATCTCGTTAACTTTAGTAAAAACAATAAGGATACGGGACCTACCTAGGGCCTGTAAATTTACGTGCTAATTTTCCCGCAAAAAAGGTTTTATGCAACACCCGCAATTTCTGTTGCATAAATTACACTTAAGTGGATACTTACGAAAATCGTAAGTGCAACCACTTAAGTGAATTCCCTAAGTGGACCACGTAAGTGAGTTAATGCAACTGACTTAAGTTACGAGTACACGTACGTATACCCGTAACTGTTACGGGCGTTTTATGCAACCGGGCCCTGGTTCTTAAAGTTTGCCAGTTAGGCCCTCTCTATACAAAAACCTATTGAGCATAAAATTTGAAACAGGTTCTTATTTCTAAAATCTTAACACTTCAACTGCAATGTAAATGACAATGTTGAAAATCAAATCAAATTGTTATACAATAATACAATTTTAATACAATCTGGATTTGAAAAACCTGAACTTATTACCATCTACTGTAAGAACTTGAGAAAAAGCAAATTGTTCTCACGGGTTTCTACCGTGTCATGGAGGTATAGGGAGTTGAGGACAAGACAAAAATGATTGTTTTTGGCCACTCTGGAGAAACAGGAAGTGATAATTTTCTTACCTTCGGCAACAAGCAGGGCTATTAAGCAGTTTGGTTGTGGTGGTGCTTTTGGGCAAGGAGCACTTGGATCAACATCCATCTTTACTAAGCCGTCACTTTCGCAGGCCTTAATCAAGTCTTCTGGGGTTATGTCATAGGGATAGTAGCCGCTGGCATATCCAGGCTGAGCGAAGCTGTTGGTGATTTTTTGGTTTGCGTAGTTGTAGCAGTTGTTATATCGGAGGATCACTGGGTTCTTGTTCCACCTATCCGGGTTATATTTAGGTGCATAGTGTTGTATCACCCCAACACCGCCTTTGTCTTCTTTGCTGGGAACTTGAGAACTAACTGAAGCCAAAGAATCTTGGGTCGCATCAGGCTCTTTAGGCGAGACAGCTCCTAAATCGATGGCCTGTAAAATTTTCTGGCGCAAGTTGTCTTTTACTGACTCTTTTGGCATTGTATCAAGCAGCAGCTTTTGCAGGTCCCCTGTCTCTTTCCCTAAAATCAGTTCTTCTCCATGTGCTCCTGATTGTTGTACTAAGAAACCTCTGAACCCAAGAAGAGGAGGAATATTTTTGTAACCGAAGATGTTGCCTTTGGCTCTTGCGTTGTCCAGAAGCTCTTTTATTTGCTGAAACTTCTCATTTTGAGAACCAATCGTCCAAACAGGATCAGGAAGACCACTGTATATCAGCAAGGTCACTTTGTATTCTCCTATAGTTTCAGAAATAAAAGTTGTTTGCTCCTTAGTATGGTTATACTTAAAGGCATGTACACGCAAATAATGTTCAGATACTCTCATTATGTTATAACCGACTGGATGATGAAAGGCCTAGAAATTTGAAGCTCTAATTCTAAGAAACACACTGAAAACTTGATCTCAGCAATCTGTTAAATTGTATTCTCTTGGCTTATTATTCAGCTTCTCTTCTCTTCTCTCTATTGTCATCTGGGTGAAAAACTGTCGCTCCAAAAAAGGCCTTAAACAGTGCCTAGGAGGTCTGAAATGCAGTCAGAATGCAAAGAAAAACAAGAAGACGCTAAAGGTAAGCTTCAAAGCGATATTCAATGTACATTTTGCTAATTTAGTGAGCAAAGAATATTTCTTCATATAACGTCTTATAATTTTCTTGCTGTATGAACAATTAATTAGCTAAGTAGGACAATGTTGTTCAGGGCTCTCATAGTGAGCTTGGGCTACCTGTGAATCGACTTGTGTTTATAAACTTCATGCATTACTGAAATTCAGAGCAAAAGAAACAACTAATCATAGAAGAGAATATTTAAGGGGCTCACCGTCCATGTTTTGGTTACGGTATTGCTGAACGTATCAAGAGAGTTAAAGACTCGATTGGAAATTGTTCTTTGAGGACTGAACGTGCGTTCCTGTACCCAGTTCACCTTATGAACGGATTAGACTGATGATGGAAATGTCTTTATATATCATTTGCTGAGTCACTTCTCAGTTCTTCCAGTTTACCTTATTTGGAAGTGATTAGTTCACGAGTGACTTCAATTTCCAAGAAAGATGGTCTCTAACAGAACACAGTTGTTCAGGAACACAACTTAACATGAATTATTAATAATAGATGACAGTGATCCACATCTCATAACATTTCATTTTCACTGGAGCATTTCTCCTTGTTTCACTAATCCTGAACCTTTTTTACAGTGAAAAGGGGCGACGTTTTTACAAGCAATGTTCAGACGTGATCACTTGAATGTATGCGTGCGTAATATGAAACTTATGAAAATGTTGTGCTTGTTTTGAACCCAAAACAAACACAATTTTTTCTTCACCAATTCTAAGAAAAAATGTATTTACATTCGGCGGAGCTAAACGTAGTGGCAGTGACAGAGAATGTAAATACTTTCCTGTTGGTATGAACGCACGTGAGCCGCTATGGCGTTAATTGACTCTATTGTTGTAAGGTATTTTTGACAGTTGTAATGTATCCATCTCAGCTGGTAGTTACTAAAACAAGGAACCACCTGAAACCACCCGAAACCACCTGAAACGACCTGAAACCAACAGGAGGGCATTTTGCATACGCATGCGTGAATCCGCTGAACGACAATAGCGTGGTCGCATCAAATCTGATGGCGGGAAATCGAAAACTCGCGCGTAAAGTTACAGTCCTTTTAAAAGCCATTTCGTTGGTGCTTTGAATACCGTACTTTCCTACAAAAAATTTTCTCCATGACAAAAATCGGACGTTTCCTACGCGGGGTTTCACTTGTAGATTTTTCATCAGTGGGTTTTCTTGGCCTCTTAAAGACTTTCAAGACCCAACGCCAAAAAGTCATGTTCCTCTATCTAGTCTGATTTTCACTGGCAAAGCAATGCATTTCTATGGTTTGATTTCCAAACTCGTGGTTTTACTTATCAGGGAGGAAATGCATCGTAGCAATGTTCAGCTGCTTTAAGACAAAAAGCGAAAAAAAAGTTTACCACGCGAGGTTTATTTATTAGCGCGATGTCTCATGTTAAACTGATCGCGGAGACACGCGTTTATATATGCCACAAAAACATGAAATCTATGGGGTTTTTACAGTTTTTCCAAAGTTTTCGCGGACAAATTTATAAAAATATTCTATAGGAAATGAAGAATGGATTGAGTTTGCAGCAATTACAAGTGATTATGTAGTACATAATCACTTGAGCATTTCATAAGCTCAGTTGCAGACAAAACGAATGCACATACTCCGAAAAAACGAACAGTACTTTTATTTTTTTTTAACTCTAAAAGATACAAAGATTTTCCTAAGCTACTTTTTCGAAGTAACTCTTGAGTAACAGCTCCTGTGTTCCACAATCGATTTCTTGTTATTATTTTATATTTGATGACAGTAGTGATCCATTCAAAACACAGAATGGCCCTCACTCCATAAATCTAACTGACGATGTTGATCACCTTCAAAGCCTGTTTAAACAAAAGACAGGATGAAGATTGTTAAAGGGATGCATACAATGCTGTTTCCTCAAAAACTAAATACTTCTGCTAAAGGACCCAAATGAGGTGGGATGCGACAACAAACATGACACAAATGGATGGATGAATTTGTCTGTCATTAATGTTTCTGTTGAGAGCTTTTTACCGTATCCAGATGAACTCCTTATGTAAGCTGTACATCATGGAAGAATTATCAAGCAAAAACGGATGCATTAAACAAGAATGTGGTTCAATACAGAGGAGAAGCTGGTCTCAGTCAACATCCTTCGTGAATGAAATGTCTCACAAATTAGCATATCAACAAATGCAGTATCCACAAAATGGTATCATTTAGAAATAAATGCGATTTTTTTGCAACAGAAGCCAGGATTTATTTAAAAGGTGTATTGATAACGTTTCATTTTGTGCTATTTTGGTGTTGGGGAGTTCGGCTAGATTTTCTTTAAAAAGCCAAAATGTTATATTTATTTGCATAACGAAATGTAAACAGTGTACCATCAAAATAAGGTGGAAAAAATCAGAATTTAAACCGATTCCTGTAATTTTTTTCCTTTGTATAACTAAATAATAGAGTATTTTTATTTTCAGAACACAATCTTACTGGCATCATTATATTGATTTAAATTTATAGTTGAAGCGCGTGTATTTTATTTCTCAACGAAGACGTACCGGTGAAGAAAGCTAAAATTACTGCAGAAGGCGATTTTTCACAGCCTTCATCAAAGCGCCATTCATTCGCGGAAGTATTCTTAGTTTCATTAATCATTAACCTAATCTGGGGAGAAAGGCAAGATTTCGAGATAAACAAGCCAGAAAAAGGGTGAGAAACAGTGTCACGGCAGAATGGACACTTAATTAACCACAGTATTCCTGAAACGATTTAGTTCGATTTTAGAGTTATACTATTGAGAAGAATTAAGTATCTATAGAATAATGGTTTAACTAAAAACTATCATACTGACCTTTTCCTCCTACTCAAAAAAAGTGCGCGAAATGTGAGGTGGTAAGAACATTCAGCCGCCATGTTGTCTTCGATGTACTGTTTTACGAAAGGAAAGACTGTCCTCTCAAGGGCGACAGTGAGGCTACAGTAAACTCACTTTCATCGTAGAAATACCTCGATACCTTAAAGAACATGTTTGTGGAAAGTAGCACCCAATACACGTCATTCAGCTCCAGAAAAAAGCCTGCAAATGCTGGTACTGAAAGTAAACAATTCATAGAAAATGCCTCTGTGGCACTTCAACAGTCCCTATTGACGCATGCGCATACAAAATGCCCTCCTGTTCCTGAAACCACCTAAAACCAGCAATATCTTTTTTTAATTTTTAATTTTTATTTTTTAGTGTTTTTTTTTTTAATTTTTAATTTTTAATTTTTAATGATGTACCAGTGAGCAGCACACTTACACTTCCAGTCAACAATTTCACTTGGAAGAAGGAGAAACCATGCTCGCCCGGGGCAACGAAAATTTTCGTGCCCGGGGCGAGAATCGAACTCGCGACCTTCCGCATACTAGATAAGACGTTCTAACTACTGAACTACCAGGGCTCTAGCGTAAGTGAAGTCGGAATTCTACTACCGTATTTATTCGATTAACCGCCCTGGGCGCTTATTAAATTTTTGGACCTTGAGAGTGGGCGCTTATTCGAGGTGGGCGCTTATTCGAGGCTGGGCGCTTATTAAATTTTCAACATTTTCAGCAAGTGTAGTATGTTTATTTTGCAACAAAACAATAAATGGTAAAAACAAAACGCGAAGATGTAACAAAGCAAGGTTTCTGTAAAATACTCTGAAGAAAACTCCGTCTTCGGGGAAGTCTCTTATTAGTACTTATTCAATTTTTGGGAGGTGTGAGGGCAAAAGGGGTGGGGTGGGCTGGGCGCTTATTCGAGGCTGGGCGCTAATTCGAGGTTGGGCGCTTATTCGAATAAATACGGTATAACAGCAGAGTGTACTACACTTCTGTACTGTTCGCCCGGTGCAACGAAAATTTTCGTGCCCCAGGCGAGCATGGTTTCTTCTTCTTCCAAGTGAAAATGTTCACTGGAAGTGTAAGTGAGCTGTTCACTAGTACATCACTAAAACTTAAAAATCTGAAACTAGCAGAAGCCAGACGAGAAACTGAGCATAGAAGTGCAATGCACTCAGCTCCCAGTACAGAAGTGTAGTACACTCTGCTGGTATAGTAGAATTCCGACTTCACTAAGGCCCGGGTTGTTCAAAAGCTGGATAGCGCTATCCACCGGATAAATCACTATCCAGTGGATAAGTATTATGGAAACCAATTGCGCTATCCACTGGATAGAGATTTATCCGGTGGATAACGTTATCCACCTTTTGAACAACCGCGGCCTGGTGGTTCAGTGGTTAGAACGTCCGATCTAGTATGCGGAAGGTCGCGAGTTCGATTCTCGCCCTGGGCACGAAAATTTTCGTTGCCCCGGGCGAGCATGGTTTCTCCTTCTTCCAAGCGAAATTGTTCACTGGAAGTGTAAGTGTGCTGCTCACTGACAACATTAAAAATTAAAAATTAAAAGAAAAAAAAAGTATTGCTGGTTTTGGGTGGTTTCAGGTCGTTTCAGGTGGTTCCTTGTTTTAGTAACTACCCATCTCAGCTCTCGAACTATCAAATTTTAAAATGCCGTCCGATGATGATCTCGCGCGAAGCATTTCCGAGCTCAAAGACGAGTTTCGTTCTGGTTTATCTTCTTTAAAGAGAGAACTTGCACAAGAACACGACGCTGCGCTGAAGAAGCTCAAGACAGCTACTGCTAGTGTTCCGAAATTTAAAAAGAAAGGCAACGAGAAGCAGTTCTTACTTAAGTCTGAAGTTCTTGAACAAGTCCAGTCTGCTTCGAGCGCCCTTCAGGCGTTTTCGCCTCAAGTTGAAAAGGCCTTAGAGGAGTTAAAGGAAGGTTCTAATTTTTCGAACCCGTTCGGTGCCGTCAATTGGCCTAACGCTCACCGTGGTTCGCGTGTTGGCAGTTGCTTTGCTTGTGTCAGTTTCGGCCATTTCAGGAATCAGTGCCCCGTCCTTACCTGGGAAACGTACGTGATGGGCTGGGATGTTGGTGCACTCGTCGAGGACACAGATAAGTTAAAGAACTTTGTTGAAGATGATTTTGACTTTTTTGAATATGAACATGGTCGTAGTTCATGTTTTCATTTGACATTAAGTGAGGTTATCATCATGTGGTTATCTTCCCACCCCACCAGACATTTTTGGGCTTTTCCTGGTTGTACCAGGGTAACGTCCGTTAGTTTTGTTCCAGGGTCCTACCCTTCGGCCTCTGTTCAGCCCCTTTTGTTTTCACACAGATTTTTAGGCCTCTCGTTGCCTACTGGAGGCGGGATGGTATTCACATTGTCGTTTATCTTGATGATGGTTTAGGGGAGGGGCCTTCATATCAGGTTGCTGTAACCCATTCCACCAGGGTTAAGACTGATTTGATTCGTTCTGGCTTTGTACCCTACCTCGAGAAATCTTTTTGAGTTCCTACATCAGTCCTTGATTGGTTGCGTTTCACCGTTGATCTTTTTCAGGGCTTGCTTTTTGTTCCGGGGATAAAGCTCAAGCGGGTTCTTTCTGATATTAACTCCCTTTTAGAGGCTAATTGTTACACCGCCAGGGAACTGTCCGCTCTTGCTGGTCGTATTAATTCTTTTAAACTAGCTGTGGGTAATCTTACATCATTGATGACAAAGTTTATTCATATGTCCATCGTCCTTCAGCCTAGTTGGGACTCTAGGTTTCCTTTGTCCCATTCTGTCAAATAAGAGCTTTTTTTCTGGAAAGAGAACATTCGGTGTTTGAATGGGAGGCCCACTGGGCGTCACTTTTCATGTTCTCGTTCCATTGTTTATTCAGATGCTAGTGACCTAGGGGTTGGCGGTGTGGTTAAAGACCACGAGGGTGTTATTTGTCATCTTCCGTGGACTGCTAATGAAATGTTTCGCAGCTTTATTTGTCTCTCTAGTTTTTCCATAGTTTTGTAAGGGCGCGCGGTTTAATGGTTTACGGATAACCGCAACAATCAGTCCATTATTGGTAACGGGAGTATGAAGCGGTATTTACACGAACTTTCCCTCTCTAGCTAGTTTTGCGAAATGGTATTGATTTGAGGTGGACTGGATTCCTAGTTCTCTCAATGAGAACGACGATGCCATCAGTAGGATCGTTGACTTTGATGACTGGGGTGTTTCGTTTGAATTTTCCCGCCACGTAGACAGCATTTGGGGTCCACATTCCGTAGATCGTTTTGCCCTTTCCCATACCGCAAATTACCGAGATTCTTTTCTCGTTTCTGGAATCCTGACTCGGAGGGGTGGATGCCTTTTGTTTTGACTCGGCGGAGGAGAATAACTAGCTCGTTGCCCCATTTTTTCTTGTTCCCCGGGTTAGGCATTTGTTTGTATGTAGGTCCATGAGCACTCTTATTGTCCCTAAGTAGGTCTCAGCTCTATTTTGGCCCATGCTCTTTGGTGCCCATTCCCACTTTTCCGTTTGCGTTAAGAGACCATTGTTTTTACCAATGTTTCTAATATTTTTGCTCCGGGCTCCACAGAGTCTGTTTTTGATGGCTCTAAATTTAAGTCTCATGTATTAGCCGTCTGTTTGTCGGCTTGTTAGCTTTGTTCTTCTAGGTTTAGTTTCCTTTCCGCAGTTACGTGTAGTTACCTTGTTTAGCCTATATTAAAGTGTGGTTTATTATTTTTGAGTGATTTGGTCTGTTTTTTCTTTTGCCTCGGTGGCATTTATGCGGGACTCGGTGACCTTGTTTGTACCTTCACTGATCCCGACGGGTCGTACCGTTACATTCTTGCGTGATCTCGCTCAGTTTTGAATCCTTCCAGGTCCCCCATATATATGGTCGCGCGCGCCTCGGTGGCCACTCTCTTGTTATCTTATGTAATAGTTGTATGTTTTTCACTACATATTAGCGCGCGTTTCCTTTTTCCGCTCCTTTTTTCTCGTGCATCTTTTTCCTTTTTTAAGTCCTTATATTGAATCCATATGGTCTTTTATTTCTTCTGTTTTTTTCAGATGTTTTCGTTTGCCCCATGTGGGCTAGATGTCAGAGTTCCCTCCCTAACCTGCTAAGCTAAAAAGATACCGGAGATAGTCCTTGGTTTCAGGGCAGATTCCACTACTCTCACCTACCTCAACAGTTTTAAATGATGGCGTGCTCGGGCCAACAGATTTCCCGAGGTCGCAGTGCTGCCTGTTACTCCGGCTTACGTTTCTTTGTACCCGCTCAGTGTTCTCCAGGCTTCTAGTTCTCCTGCGCCCGTCCAGAGCGGCCTTCTATAGCATCCGCTGGGCTCATGATATTGCTGGTTTCGACTCTCCTACTAATCATACACTTCCCCAAAAGGTCGTGAAGTCCGCTAAGAGAAGGCTATAACACCTTACTTCCAAAAAGCTCCCCATTACACCCGAAATTTTATAAAAGTTTTTTCGGAGTCTCGATGGATCTTAAGTGGACACGAAATTCATCGCCATGGCGTTACTGGCCTTTGCGGGGTTTTTAAGATTTGACGAATTGGCTAACCTGAATCTTAAAGATTAAGCTCTGCATGACACTCATTTTGAACTTTTTTATTGAAAGCAGTAAAACTGATCAATATCGCGAGGGCGCTATTGTCCCCATTGATAACATCTGGTGCGTTTCCAGTCGTTCTTTTAGTGCAAGGAGGGGGAATTTTAATCAACCTTGCACAAAAGAACAAACAATCAACTTTTTGGGCCCCAAGAACACTTAAAAGAGATTCTTTACTCATCGTAACATGTTAAGACTAAACTCAGGCTATAGCTAAGTCAAAAGACCATTTCATTCCTCTTGTTGAGTAGTACGTGTGAAAAGTTCCCATACAGGACTTCACTTAGACTGTTTACGTTCCTCTATAACGGTAAGATTCTCGAGAATGGGCGCTACAGGCGGCTATGTTGACCGAGTCTAGCTTGAAAATGACCATCTCATCTACTTAGGGGACGTTTTTTCTCGCCTCCCTTTCCCACCGCCTTAAACCCCGATGCCCGCCCCCACGGCCCCTCGATACATTTGAAACCAATTACAAAATGGCTGCCCAACGGTGAGCGCTCGATATTGATAATCTCACGGGAAAATAGGGGACTGAGAACAGTCTAGACTTCACTCGTAGGTTCCAAGTCCAACTCAAGGGGAACACCGGAATCTGGTTAGCCCTTAAAAACAAGAGTCGGATTTATTCTCCTTACAGCCATTTCTCCACAATTTCAACCAAAACAGCCCTCTCAACCAACAATTTTAGTCTATTTTGAGCCTCCTTTTAGCCCTAGAAAATTTTGCGGGCTGTAATTAACGATGACGTGTTGTACTTCCTTAATAGCCGAAAAGGCCCCAAATTCCGAGCCAACAGAGCTAAAACAGATCCTTTAAATTGTCAGTGTAAATACAAAGACCTATAGCAATATGATGTGAAGAATAGTTCAGTTTTATATGCATCATCTTTTATTAAAATATTGCAGCACCTAAGTCAAGGACATCTTTGTAAAAAATCGATGTTGCTACATACAAAAAAGAGCGTTTATCGCGTAAACGAAAACGGATACCGTAAAATTCCGAAAATAAGCCCCCGGGCTTATATTTTTCAAAGGCCTTTTTTGAGGGGTTTATTTTTGGAGGGGCTAATGTTCGGAGGGGCTTATCTACGGGGGCAAATTTGCGTTTCAAAACGATTGGGCTAGCGTTATAGTTGGAAGTAAATTTGCGGTTTTTGCTTTGTTTTACTTTGTATTTGAGGGCAATTTTCCAAGTACAAGCCCCCGGGGGGCTTATATTTGGAGGGGCGATTTAACGGAGGGTTTTTTGCGTTACCGGATTGGGGGGCTTATATTTGGAGAGGCTTCTACATGGAGGGGCTCATTTTCGGAATTTTACGGTATTTTTGGATTTAAAATGTCGCTTGGCCGCAAAAAGTTAAAAGGAAAACTAATTCAAAATTGACTTGTATTAACTCACTCTTGATTAACTTCAGGCATACGCGAACAATTAGAACTGAATTTTAATTCCAAACACTGCATTAGCCGTTCACTCTTGTTTACTTTTACTTACACATAAGGTTTTTCTCCACTTTTTTTCGGTCGCTTCGGTTAAATGTTTTTATGTCAGTATTATATTAAATGGTTTAGTTTAGATTTCAATGTGAAACTCACGAAAAACACGTGGGCAAAATACTCCAAGCTTACTTTTTACAATTAAATATCTGTCCTTTTTATAGCTAACCATGACTTTTAATGTACAATTATCTCTCTGTGTGTCTTTCTTAATAAATATACTACATATCGTATCATAAAATTAATTTACACCATGAATTTATTTGCTATCTGCAAAAGGTCTCCCAATTTGGCTGGATATGACGTGGGAGTGGCACTGACAATCCTCGGACCATTTCGGTTTGGCCTACTGTATGGCACCTACGATGAGCAGACCTCATGAGATAAGCCTCAGAAAAAATCCATTCGTGGTCTGTACTGAAGCGTAAGTACGGATCCTTCCTGAAAAGGAAAAAAATGGTTAATAGCAAATGGAAATTATTTTTAAATAATTAATTAAAAATGGAATATCTGATGACAAATACTTGTTTAGATCAAGATTCGCATCAGTATACGTAAATAAAAGTATAAGCTGAGCTTTATGGACTTTATGGTGCCCCATTCATGCACATGGTTGGTATCAATAGACGCCAAAAAAAAAAAATAGACGCCATTGAGTCAACTTGAGAGTAAAGATACACAGGCGTACATTAACCCTTCCAGTGAGCTCCAATATCCAAGGGCAAACTTCCCCCGACTGATCCGCATGCAGGTTAGACTGTACTACCCTGTGAGATACATTATGTTCAAAAGACACTATCATTGATAGCCTTTTTTACCAGAAAGATTACAAGCCGAAACTCTTCATATTAAGAACCTCGTCTTTATCTCACCTTTATCCGCCATCTTGTCATGTATACGAACTCCAGCGTGTGATCTTTACCCATAATTTCGCCGTTGCACATCACCTCAACCTTAAAAGAGAGAATAGCGCTGTATAAAAAAAGTACCTAAACGCGACAAGTATTCTCTTTTAGAAAGTTACGAAATAATAAAAGGTAACCTTTCCAGTCAATTACAATCAACCTCAAATTTTTCAATCAACACTCACTTAGCGCGAGGGGTCTCATTCATAATTCATTTGCTCTTGAAAAAGAGGTGGCAGGTTTTGATAGTGTAGTCTGAGGTAGTAGAGAGAGCGGTGAGTTTTGGCTGAGAATTAGGGGTCAATTACTTACAGAAAAAATATGCAGAGGTGTGAGAATATAACGTCGTATTAGCATTTGTATTTGAGGGTTAGATAACATACAAAGCGAAGAATAGTCTCGGGGGATATAGATTTGGGTTTCAGTACCAAAATGGTGTCGAAAATTTCAACTGTACATGAGTGAGGTATAGTATAATGGTCTTAGAGTTCCAGCGGAGCACAACCACCCAAACACTTGCTATTCGCTCAAGCGACAGTTCCAATGCTGGAACTTTATTTTAGCTTATTCTGTTTATTTTTTTATTTTTTTTTAATCAGCTGCCAATGTTATGATTTGCTTCTGTCCTATCATAGAGAGACAAAGCCAACACAATTAGAGCATTACTTTCAAATCTCAACTACATAACAATAGTGATAAGAAACATTCTTCAACAACAACAAGCTCTTGAAAGTTAAGCAACCTAATCAAAACGAGGCTGCGAATAACAGCAAACGTCACTGATGAAGGGATGGATGGATGGATGGCGGTTTCCGAAAGCTCTGCGCATGCGTAACTTTCAAACATTTATTGGTTGTGAAGAATATCTCTTTGCAATACTAAATGTCCCAACAGCCGAAAAATCTCTGTCACTTACAGTAATAAGTTTTAATTGAAATGAATTGCGGAGTTAACTGTGTTTATTGATTTACCTGGTCCGCTGTTTTAAGATCAAGCTTGACTTTCAAAAATTTCTTGACCTGCGCTATTGTCAACCGCGAAGAACAGCGAATGTATTTCCGAACCAGTTCTCTCACAGGTGGATCTTGGAGTGAGTTGTCACTGAAACAGAACGAGGTGGAATTCACACACGTTGTTCACTTCGTTTATATGCCACGTGTGCTCACCGCAGTCTTAAAACGAAGCTCTTGGAGCGCGGCAGAGCACCATGGGTAAGAAAATTTGGCTATCTATGCATCCGAGAAATTTTGGTAGCCAGGTGACCGTACACGCGTGCGTACGTCAGTCGGTTGGCACCACATGTGCGAAATGTCACATTTTCTATCTGGTATGGGAGTCTGTAACCTATGTTTAACTTGAAAATAGACATCCATACTATGGTCAATTGACAGCTGTCAAAACAGGGTATCTGCTGACCAGAATCACATGACCGTATCACGGGCTCGGGTGCCAATTTATCGAGGCCACGTGTTTTTTGTAAGTCTTTTGCTGACCATTTATCAGCTTTTTAAGTTTTTGTTTTTCAGCTAGTCCTCAAAAGTCATATGGCCTCCCCTAAATTTAAATATATATCTGTGGATTTCTTTGCAACGGTTCCAATTGTCTGAAATAAACTGTAAATGCATAAACGGGAGCTTCCAATTTAGCTCTGGCTAGATCTATATAGTATTTTTGTTAATGGTTCCAGTGTGAAGCTGCTTGTGTTTTCTGGCAAATCAGCAGGGACTAAGCTGGTAGACCGACCTCTCTGAGGATCATTAAATTAAGGAGGTGGACTCTCGCGTCTACATATGAAGAGTTTATTTATATAGTATTGTCCCCTCCGTATTTGGATGATTGCATATAAAAGAGCTACCGAGGCAGGGGATGCTATAACCAGAGCTAAATCCACACTATACGGCCGGATAGGCCCACAGGAAAAACTATCCGATATTAGTAAAATCCAACTAGTGGTCAGCTTTCATTAATGCTGCGTTCTGATTGGTTAAGCTACTACTAGGCTACATGTTAAAGCCCACTAGTAGCGCAAAGCGCCGGCTTTTTGGCGGCAAAAAAGGATTAAATTCTAGCTTTAACTAGCTAAAGTTGTTTTGTCTTGATATTTTTTGACCAGCTAGTTGGATTTTACTAAAACAATTATTCCTCTCCCCCTCATGGCCTCTGAGTCAATAGCTCATTCGGCCTTCGGCCTCATGTGTTATTGACTCAGACCCATTCCACTTTAGAGATCGGCGCGGCGTGCGCCTCGCTCCTGTCACAAAAATCGCGCCAAGATCTCTCTTCATACGAGTAAACAGAAACCATATCCGGTCTGGTTTCTTGCCGGCGTAAAAGTATCCGGTACAGTGTAAACATCACCTAAGCGCGTTAGGGGCGTGCTTTCGACGGAGGCAGTTGCAGAATAACCAGTTTTCCCACCGCATCAAAGTAGTTAAACGTTTACTGACCGAAAATTCCCCTGTGAAGAGGATAGGGAAGAGCCCGAATAATAAATGGCAGTCCCAAAAAAATGTCTCTGATGTCAATTTCTTCTGCCTGCAAGATAAAAACGCGTTCTCCCTCGTCGAATGCATCGAACGTTATAATAACTGTAGAAAATTAGAAGACGGGTTTCTGTCTTGATTTACTTGTCGGTGTCTTGTTGTAATCATTCAATAATAATAAGAATTAACTCACGTCAAACATTCCAGGCACACGCCAATTTGTGGGTCATCGCGGTGAAAGTTTTCTTTGCTGTCGTAATCATCGGCTGACAGTTTCACTCTTTTGCCCGCGGGCTCGTCCGTGGTTGAATCTGGAACTAGAGATGAGATTACATATTAAGTAAGAATAGCGTCTACAAAGTTCTGTCTTTCTCATTGTTGGACACAAAATTTATAACTTTTACAATTTTGCTCATCATTTATTGAAAATTTTTAACAGAATACAAAATCTATCATCACAAAAATTTATCCAAATGAACAGGGGCTCACTCAACATACTCGCCGCGTTGTTTTCTTTGTTTTCCTCGCTTGCTTCCTTTTCTTCATCTGATTTGTGTTCTTTATGGAAGTGTATCTCCCGCTGCTGCTCATCTGGAACAAATAAATAAAGAAACACCTTGTTCAAATATCCTTCCTTTAGCTTCCTTTTTGGAGAAGGGTACGTGAGTCAAAACTTTTCACTAAAAATCTATCGTCTTAAAGGGTTTACTATTAATAGCGTGCCTTCACCGACGAAAAAATGTAAAAAGTATGTTGAATAGCATACGAAACGTCAAGTTTATAAAAATGTCAAAGCTCACAATGTTTATCACCCCTGCTTGTGTTTTATTTTTGATCAAACTACGATGGCCCAAGAACAAGAGTCTCTATTCTATTACGACCTTTCTAGTGTCAACCGAACGAAGGGCACCCCCAGATGAAACCGAAAGGGGATGCGCGTTACTCGAAGGTAAATATTAGGATGACTGAGTGTGCGTAAAAAAATATCTACCGGCATAAAAAAGCAAAGACCATCATACTTTGTTGGAGTATGGTCTCTCTTAAGGGTCAAATAAAGCCTTAGCCACTCTGAGATTGGTCTCGTATTAGAGATTTAATCCTTAGTTTCCGGCCGATGAGCGTTCCCCGCCCCGTGGGATGGAAGTGGCAAACGCATTGTACTGGTTTACACACTCGTCTAGACACTGGCAATCCTGGATGTAAGTATGAGGTCAAAAAAAAGTGTTCTTTGTCGTTGCCAAACTTAAGCTTAATAGCAGCTGAATGGATCTATGGATTTATCCGGCAAGAAATGATTCTATTGTAAGTAACTCAGAAAAGTTCATTCAAAAGTTAGCAGATTAAGAAGCTGATTAGCATAATGGATAAAAGCCCATTTAATCTAAACGGAATTTCGAGAACAGCAACCGTCAATGAGTCGAGCTGTTTTCCCGATTAGCATTTTTTTCCACTTGCGTGAATTTGAGTTTTCACAAAGCAATGTCGTGATCGAAAGGAGAAAAATAACTTCCGCTCGTTTTGACATCTCATCCTATCCGTATCGTAACAGACTCTCCTAAAGATTTTTACACTCCAATTCGTTTCTGGATTTAATAGAACTCAACGACGACTATTCATGACGCTTCCATTAGTGTTAACTAGCTCGACAATAAAAGGTTAAAATTTCTATCATTACTTTCTTGTAGGTTGGGAACAAGTTTGTAAATTACATCCTCCAAGGTTTGGTCCGACCTGTTAAAAAATACAAACGATTAACTTAAAAAAACTACTATGAGTACAATCAATATTATTATGAAAGTTGCTGTCCTTCAAGCACGTTGCGCTATGACGCCAGAACCGAGATAGATAACTTGAAGTAGAGTAAAATATATTTGAATTTAGTTTTGCGTGATTTGTAAAACACGTATTTTTAGTATAAAATGTCTCTTTTAGCCTGCGTGGCAGGCGCCAGTTAGTTCATCGAAATTTCTCCCTTCTCTTAAAAACCCCGCACGTGCTATGTGGGCCATGTTCCAGTGATTCAAACTTTAATTGCCATAGATTACCAAATCCAAAGACAAATCAATAATGAAAAATTAGGCTATGTTCACACCAAGAGATTTTTCTCTTTTAGTTGACACTATATCGCATAGCGTTTGCGCATGCACGAAAACCATACTGGATATGGCTTCTGTTCACACTTAAGAACCGTGATTTCGGCGCGATTTCTGTAACGGAGAGAACAGGGCACCCAACGTCAGTTTTTCGGAAAATATCTGTTCGGAAGACGATTTGAGATCTAGAATTTTCAGAACATTTTTTGTAAAATTTCTTGCTTGCCTGACTCTCCTAGGATTTTTGAACATTTAAAAAATGGTATAATTGCCGATTTTTAACCGATTTTTACCCTAAAAAGGTCACCTAGAATTTTTGGGAGCCTTTTTTCTGGCTGAAATTTTCGAAAAGGTAAGTTTTGATCCCTTTAATTTTCGGATCACTAGACTTTCAGCTAGGAAATTCGAACAGATGAAAAATTTTTAGGGGATAAAAATATGCCGATATCTACCGTTTAAATACTGAAATACGTTTAAAAATGCTATGTTTAAGTGGTTTTCAACTATATTCTCGTTGGGTGCCCCTGAGAGAAGCTGCGCCGCGGCGATCTCTAAAGTGTAGAGTCATATATCGGTTAGGTGCTATCCGCAATAGTGAAAACATAGCCTTATTGTAGTTGCGCATTTGAAATATCCGGCCCAATGTTCGCACTAGCTTCTTGCTAAGCGATTTCAGCTCTTCCTTACCATAGACCCAACAAAATACGATTCTGGAATGATCTGACTTTAGCCAAAATGCTAGCTAACATTATGTGAGGTGTAAAATTAATAGGGTATCGTCACCTTCCTGGAAGTATTTTTTTATAATTTCATTTTTGATTTGTCTGTGGTTTCTCTTACTGTCATTATTTGTCTGCCCGAGACAACTCCTAAACCTAACCCTAACCCTAACCCAAACCCCTAACCCCTAACTCCAACAAACCCTAACCCTCTAACAATAAACCCTAACCCTAACCGTAACCCTAACACAAAGAGTAGAAGATTTCTGATGATAAATACCTGAGCATGTCAAACGGGTTGGTCTCGTGAATAAGAATTGCACAAATTGGACATTGGTTGTCGTCACTGTCTTGCAAGTGTTTCACAATACAGGACCTGCAAACTAAGCGGAAACGACCATAATGCTATTAGCGTGCCGGGCAAGTAGCAGATAGGCCTGCGGGTTGCTAGGTTAGTAGGTACCGACGTAAGTAAGTAGAGTCAGGGTTGAGTTGACTTTACACCAGAGAACGCGTCACCCAAGAGGCGGTCCCGGAAGGGGTGTTCCCTATGACGACCTATACGCGGAGGGCTCCTCCGGAAAGGTGTATCTTTTTCAGGCCTCAGGTATATAAAAGGGTAGAGAATTCACTAGTTGAAGTATATAGAAGCGTAGGGAAATCTGTCATTTAGGTCTGTAAAAAGGCCCAAAGGGCTTACAGGTGAATTTCATGGCTTTATAAAGTCGAGAAAACGTTCTATTTTTTGTGATTGATTCCTATTTAAAAGACTGTGCATTTACAGCAGTTAAAGGGGATGCAAAGTTCTAAACAAGTTATGTAAAGGGTACCATTTGTCCATAGAAGGTGTACGAAAGGGGTACTTTTCTCGTGAAAAAGGTATGTAATTAGGTATGGACCTCGGGGCGGAGCCTCCCCGTATAAACATTTGTTGAGTACCCCTCCGGGTGGGCGGTCGACGTCTTCATTAACTTCTCCTAATAATACAGCACGGAATGGCATATAAGTGTTGTATTTCTATTTGATATGAAGGCTGTGGTAGAGGGGTAAAAAATGATAAAAAATTATGATCTATCTGAAAAGTTTAACCCGAATTTTTGCGATCTAAAACTTCTGCTTTGACGTTCTCTGGCGTAACCTGACACAGGAGACCCTCTCTGCAATGGCATTGAGAAAGGGTCAGGTGGCCGTTGTAAACTGACAAGACTGAATATCCACTGCGAAAAAAAAGTGGCTGTTAGTTGACCTATGCGGGAAAAGACTCAGGGTGCCGTCAATCCGGTAAATGGGATTTAAGCACGAAATCCAAAAGAATCTCGTGCCATAATCTGTTGATTGTAATCCAGTGCGCAGATGGATTTTTTTACTAAAATTCGTCTTTGGGTCTGCGTGAATTTGCGTGGAGTTTGACTAAATGAGTTTTCGTTTCACTGGGAAATTCGGAATCCAAATCTAGATTTCCCAATGGCATGAATCAGATACGAAGCCATTTGGAAAGTACAGTCAAACCTCTTTAGTACGGACACCAAAGGGACAGAACCAATTGTCCGCTTTACAGAGGTGTCCGTATTATAGAGGTAGGGAATGTATGATTTTTGGCATTTCTGGGACCAAACGAACTGTCCGTTAAAGAGAGGTGTCACTAAGAAGAGGTTAGACTATAGCTCTATAAAATGGTCCGACCATCCGCGGCAATTTTTCATACCGTTTTCAAGAATTAAAATGTGAATTCCGAACAGAAGTTGTTAACCGTTCCGCTTCGTTCTCATTTAATCGGTTCGTTACTTTGACCCATTGTTTATGTAAAAGGTCTGAGTCGTCCCTGTTAAGGTAAGCTGATACTGCTCCCTTGTAACTGGGGCTTTAGATGACATGCGCTGGTACTAAACTTTTCGTGCGCACACTTGAGTTCATCCAAGTGCAACAAAGGTATTGAAGAATATCCTTTGATTTTTTCAGCCGCAGGGCGCTGGGCTTATTGCCAAGGTTCGAAAGCGAAGAACGAAATGGAAAAAGACACGAAATTTCACCTTTTCAAAACGATACGTTTCTGGTCGCAATCGGGTAAAAGTTAAAACGTAGAATTCAAAGATTGCTACGTGAGAGCTGAACGTCGATCACGAGAAATGAAGACATAGAAAAGTTACTTAACAACTCACACGACTCTTTCGAGAAAAATGCCCGACCGAGCAAGTTTTTTTAGCCAATAATCTGATGTTTAACGTGCAAACATGCTTTGGAGCAGATCACGATTGCGACGTTTTAAACTTTAATTAGCACTTTTGTCAGTTTTATTGCTAGGGATCAGGTTTGAGTAAAATGCAATTAAGCCGTGGAAGGCGAAAAACAAGCCAGACCTTGCAGCTTTGTATCCGTAATACGGCTCAGGCGAAAGACCTGGGAAAGACTGAAGCTTCTTGAAGTCCCGGCCGAGACTTTTCGGGTCCGAAATGTGTTCGGGACTTTCGAGAACGCCAATGAAGAGAATCCTCAAATCGCGCTGATGAACTAACTATACCATAATCGAATTTTAAAGGCAACTCCTCAGAAACTTAAAATCATGCTGTCCACTCCTGGAGAAAAGAAAACATCTTTTTTACCTCAAAGCATACACACTTGCAACCAGAAGTTGAGTAGACCCTTTGTTGTTGCCGAGCATGTTTACAATTCGCCACAGTTCTTTTAATGTAAAACGTAAGCAGGAGCATAGCGTCAATATATATGCACAAACGCACATAAGCCCCCCGTGCGTCCATCTACAGCTATATAGAATTATTTCCTGAAAAATAATTTTTTTACCATTGAATCGGGATGACTGATACATTTTTCGCACTATAGGTGTGTTTGTGTTATTATTTCCTTTACCTTTTAATTATTCCATAATTCTGATAGCGTCACTGGCCTTTTTTCTTCCGTAAACACTGTATCTTACCGACAACACTAGAGATGGGTAAACTTAAGAACTAACTACTGCATTTCCCTTCGTATTAATTTACTGAAAACGCTGGAAATGGCATTTTCGAGACCCTAAACTTAAGAATTTTCTGGGGGAACATGCCCCCAGACCCCCTTACTTTACGCCGCCTTCGTCGCAACAACTTTTCTTCTCGGCGTGCGTAAACCATGTACGACAGGTTCAAAATCTCACGCTACTCCCCAGGTAAAAGGCAAACTGGATTAATTTTTCGCAAATCTTTTGAACTTATTCACGCCAAACGCGATTCTCTTTCTCAGGAATCTGATTCCAAATTCATATTCTCATCTTAACGTCTTATCATGCTGGATACCCGTGGGCGATCTGTTAATATTGTAATGTATATTCCCTTAGAGTACTTTATTATCTCCTACTACACAGAATACATAATGAAATGCGAACAATTGCCAAGTCCCAGGGCATCTGTGCGATTGCAAAGCATTCGCCGTTGGAGGTCGGGCTGAAAGCCATTTAAATTTTCCTATGATGGTCATTGTACAAGACCGCACTTTTAGCAGCTTTGGGTAGTGGACGTTTTTAGTGACTGATCTTGTTATAAGTTTCAAGATTGTTATCATATTTCAGGCTTATCACTACCCACTGTTGTATCTAATAAAATTATCTCAAAGTGTCAAAAGAGTGTCATCTTATGAATAATTATGACGCGACAAGGGAGAAGCGCTCGAAAATCACCAGTGCGCTCAAGTTTGCTAATACCACTTACAAGCGAATTCAAAGACGAAAATTCGTTGGTCGTAGATCAACAGAACTTTTGTCGATTTAATTTCAGCGGAATATGAAAAAAGTCTCGTCTCCACGAGTTAAACTAATAAAGAAATGAATAGTGTTTGATGGTCCACATAACAAATGAACGCAGATGTTTTTAGCACAATGACCAGAGGAGTTACAACAAATGGAAATATATTACTGGGTTTTAGGTTAGTTAAGGGGTGAACGATGTTTGTATTACCAAAACACGATACCGGATTTTGGCGATAATTTTACTACAAGACGCGGTGGGCAATAATTAAAAATATTCCGTTTTTATCGCCGACAAATTACGGCGAGTGTAACAAAGGGTTGTGTATTTGACTGGTACCTACATGTGTGAAGACATTCTGTGATCGTAGTTGGCCTGATCAAATAGCCACTGCAAAGTTTGCATGTGATAAACGGGTTGAGTTCTTGAAGCTTGAGTTTTCGTTCCCTGTTTGACTAACAGAAAATTCGTACAAATCATTTTAATAATTATATCGTCGCACATTCAACAACATTTAAGACTTGCCCGTCGGTTGGCTGGGAGATTTTCCTGGGTAAATTTTTTTAAATTTATAAAATAAACAGGTGTTTTTGTCGTTGAAAAGCAGGCAGTCTGATGTCCGTACGTCTGTAAAATACGTTGTTTTCTTAAACGTTAGTCTTCAATCAAAACAGAATTAAAATCATTTCTCTGGTGTTTGGCAATTCCATTCGACGTAATTGATACGATACAGAGGCCAAACTTCAATAACGCCAGCCATTTTGTCCAATATAACTTGCAACTTTACCCAGAACTTATTTTAAAGCCAGTGTTATTCTTGCGAGTTATTAATGGCATCGAATTCCTCGAGGAACTGAACATGATTAGCGGTGTATTATAAAAGGCAATAATCTGACACTAAATTTATACCACGTCGGTCATAAGTAAAATATTTACAGTATTTTGTCCCGATACAAATGGCTGGTGTTTCTAAAATCATATTTGAAAAGAATTGAGCAAAGTGATTGCTATGAAATAATTATGCTTTCACGAGGGATATTGCTACAGGAAGGAAATAAGCCATTGTATTTCTTTCCCTCTTGGAAGCACGTCATAGCCTTCGATCACTTGCGTCAATTCTACTTTCAGATTCATTTGTTGACGTAACCAAAGGTTAAGAATGCTGCACGGCTACAAATTACCGCCATTTGTGTAGACCCTTTACCAATAAAATATCCTTTCTGTGTGATAATTCCTGTTGTAAAACCAGAAGTAAACAAGACCAAAATAGGGAGCAAATAGACGGCGATTATTTGGAAAATGGATTGTTAAAAAACAAGAGGAGTTTCAGTTCCTTTACCTGAAGAACGGCCATTAGAAATTAGACAAACCCGCAAGCCGTCTTGTCAGCCCTTCTGTATACTCAGTAACAACGCAACTAATCTCTTTATACGACCCCTATTCAAGCGGCCTGCGGTCGCGAGTGATAAAGATTCCCGGATTAAGACAATGCAGATAATTGGGCGATTGGGTCAAGTTGTTATTATCTCATCAGCTGGAAATATATAAATAATCACCGGGCGGGCGGTGGAGATGCTGTGAGACAACTTAAAACCTACACAGCAATCAACTCGCAGACCTGTTAATTGCTGAGTAATGTTCACTTTAAGTTGTCTTTCTTTTCGGCGTTGCCACGGAGTCATTCTAGAAGCACCCGCTAAAGCATATCACCAAATTAAAGTCGCCTGATAAATTTTTTCAATGGTTATTGCATTTTTACAGGTCTCCAAGGCTTGTGATATAAAGTGTTCCTTTTAAAAAAAAAAAAAAAACAAAAAACCAAGTTTCGTCTCCGAAAGAAATATGAAATTGAGACGAAAATGAATTGACAAAAACAACAGTTGAACAATACAGCTTTAGAGGAAGTGAAACAAAGGGATATTTTAATGGCCCTTGATCGCAACGACGTCATTTTGCTTTCTTTTAAAATTAAACTTTCAAGACGCAAAAATATAATTCTATTCATGGTAGTAACTTCCTCGGTAACTGGGAATTTTCTCATAATTTGTACTAATTCGCGAGCTGAAATGAAAAATTGAGGTGCGGTGAAAAAACAGCTTGCTTAATTTACTCCTATATTGTTTTTCTAAACTTGGAAATGCTAAAGCAATATTTAGATAAGAGGACAGTGCAGAGAGGGATTATGTTATTATGTAAATCTCCAGTGAAAAGCTAAGAACGGCGAATAAACTCCAAAACAGAGAAAACGACACCTTCGCCATCAAAAATCTACAGCTGAATATATTAAGGTGATATTAGAAACATTCGAGTGCAGAAGGCAAATGAGGTTGAAACTACAGCCAGTTTCATTAAGACTATTATGAAATACTGGCCCCACGTAGAGTCCGAGTATATACCACGTATTAATCAAGTTGAGTGGCACTCATCCCTTTGTGCGTAGCAGTTGATTTCAATTTCGTAATATTTTCCTCTGTGGATTAGTTTCCACTTCATGAAGGATTCAGCGGTCATGATTAGTCGATACTTCTGTTCATCAGAAATCTTCAATATGCAAACAGTAATATTTAAAATATTAGCTCGTACGTGTTGGATGATTGACGGCCGTATTAAATTATAAAAGAGACATCAATCCATTTTGTGTTGTCTGTCCCGGCTTGTAAGAGGAAAAAAATTGGCGACCTTAAAATTCAAATTAACCGATGATATTCACACGATGCAATTTTTCCATAAACACTCAGTAATCAGTAACTACTAGGAGAAAAAATTATATTCTGGTTCGAGTTTATGAAAATCTTTTTATTTTAATGTTTGGCTTTGCAAATCACTACAGATAAAAAAGAAAAAGGCAATTAAAGTGGTCAAGTCTGACATAAGGAATAAGTTAGTTTATATAGGTCTTTAAATGAAAACACGGTCTGATATCTTCTGCGGAGTAAATTATGAAAATTCCGTTTGGTTTTTGCCACATTTATGGTAAAAACAGGTGATAAAACAAGTTCGCCGCTTTCAGCATAGTTAATGCATTCAGAAAGGCGAAACCTTAGCAAACTAACTGAACAAGTCTCCTCTTTAGGCAATTTAAAACCCTTGTTGCAGAGGACATACTCTGCCCAGTACGATTTTATTCCCTTTTATACATTCAGAATTTGCTTGTAACACTAACAAAAAATTAATTTAATTAGAATTTTAAAATAGTCAAAAGAAGTCAGGAAAGGAAAATGAAGTAGCCTGTGAAAGTGAAAAAAAATCTGCCTCGGATGTTTTTCAGGTGGAAAGTATAATTTTTCGTGGGATTTAAAAATGTCGGTAGGCTTTGTGATCGTAGATCAAGATAAAGGCAGTTTTTTAAAAAATGCTATTCAGAGCAAGTCCGCTTAGAGTACGAGGTAAAATTACGTGGTACAGACTACTCTCTCAGACACCTCTATAAGACGGACAAATGGTGTCAGTTCCTGCATTTCTTTACTCCTTTTATTTTATTCTCTACAAGACGGGCATCTCTCTAAGATGGACACTAAGTGCGGTCACAAGGGGTGTCCGTCTTAGAGTGTTGACTGTACTAACGCAGTGACTGAGCAATTTATCCGCGGTAGAGTTTCCAGTTTTTCGGGTTAATCTTACGCCCTGGGCCCGGTTCCTGGAACGCCGATTAGCATTAATCCAGGATTAAAATTTTGTTCCGTTTTTGTTTTTTATCTTCCTAAGCCTTGCTTAGGGTAACATTATACACTTAATGTCAGATCCCAAGGGAAACAGTTAGTTTTGTTTTCCCGAGAGTCCTGATGTTTCCCGAGACGAAGTCGAGGGAAACATCAGGAATCGAGGGAAAACAAAACTAACTGATTTCCCGAGGGACCTGACATTAAGTGTTTTGTTATATTTCTAAACTTTCACTTCAACAGTGATAAAAGAATAACCGGAGCGAGCCAAAACAGTCGACTCGGTACTTTTAACAACACAAATATAATTCTCAAAACCACTGAATGAATGATTTACAAAGTACTTTCCTTATATTATCTGCATCTTTTTCCTCCACTAGCTGCTGTTTCTCTTCTACGATAACTTTAAAAATCGTTGCTTTTTAGTTTGAGGCTTCGTGTTTGTGTTGTTGTGTTCATTCACGAAAAAGAAAACTGGCAGTGTTTTTCCCGCCTTCTGTCACGCCACTTTCCACCATGCTTTATTCACGTGCTGTAATGTATCCCGAGCAGGGTACATTGCTTAATGTCTCACGATCGGAATACATTTGATTTTAATCAAGGCCACGTGATCAAGAATCAACCAATAGCAGTCCCTGTTTAGTTGAGTGAAAGTCTAGGAATATAACAATTTGTGTTATCATTACTGCATCTCGTAGTAAAGGCTCAACAGTATTCTGTAACTTCGAGTTGCATGTTCCTATGGACGAGTAAACCGTGCTTGAAATCTGGCTTAATCCTGGGTTAAACTTAACCTCTTTCGAGAAACCAGGCCCTGGAAAATAAGTTGTCCAAATACTTTCAGTTAGAGTTCTGAGAAAAATAAGTCAAGACCACACATATAACGCCATGTTCCTGAAGAAAGTATTTATCTTCTTGATGTCAAATAATCGCTTAATAGCAGAACACTCCTCGCTCAACCACTCTCAAAATGACACCATTACAACCTAATAATAAATGTCTGACATCGGTAGCAACTGGGGAATGCCTGTTCGTGGCTAAAGCAAGGGCGGATTTAGGGGTGGGCCCAGGGGGCCCCCCCTTTTGTCCGGGATTTTTTTCTTTTGTAAACGTGTGTCGGATGTTCAATATGGAATCCAGGCATTTGCTAAATTCAAGGGTCCAGAATGCACCAGATTGCATCTCAGAGAACTTTCAGAGAATTTTCCCGGAGGAGCATGCGCCTACCCTGGGTGCCAGAGACTTTTGTCGCACGCGAGGAAAACCTCTGGTACCCAGGGTAGCATGCGCCCGAAACTCCCTACTAAAGTGCACCGTTCTCAGTCCTGATGAGCGCTATCGCGCCCACATTGCCACTGTATACTCTATCTCTGGGCCCCCTCTATCACAAAATCCTCCGTACGCCCCTGTGAAGTGTTCCTTTTCAGAATCAAAAGCGACTGTTACTTAATAGCACGAAGTTTGAGCCGAATACTTTTTTTTCGTCAAGTTTTAACTCTGGTTGACTCATTCGATTGCCTGGGTCCTTAAAGCTACTTTTTATTGTTTAATGAGACGCAACCGCCTGGACCTGGTAATGGTCCCTTGCCAGGTAAAATTTTTCCAAGCCTGCGATGAGGGGCTGGTTTAATCCCCGACCCAGACACAAAAAACCTAGTACATGTCATCCAGCGGTATTTTAACAGCATAAGAACATGCGAAAACTGAAGAGAAGAATCTATTTGCGACTTTCACGTTCCCCACAATGCAATTTTGTTTTCCCCACAAAATTTTGTATAAACATTGCTTTCAATTTTCTCTTTGGAGTAACAATCGTCTCTTGAGAATTTATATCAGTCTTCAGGCGCGACTGGCTACCTCTGGGCAGAACAAACAATTTACGTTCTAGGCCAGACTTTGATGCCTCTGTGCCTTCATTTTCCTTGTGATCATTCTCTATTTCTCAATTGCCCACAGTACATGTACATTTTGCTGCACACCAAAATTTTCCATTAGTACTGTTTCCAGTTTCTTTTAGGTTTCATAATCGTTCCAAGACCTTTTTTAAGAAACTGAGAGGTAAAGAAAGTGCATTATGTATATCTAGGCATTCGAAAATAGAAAATCCCAAAGGTAAAAATCCTTGTATCTTGCTCGTGTTGGCTCTTCTGCTCGAGTTCAGCGAGTAAAGGAGACCACAAGGAACTCCGCGAGTATGGACGGATAGAATGAAAAAAAACCCTTAATTGTCAATTCTTCAATATTAGAGCAAACAAAATAGTTGCCAACGAAATACCATTGCGCTCTCGAGTTGACCTTGTTTAGGGAAATCTCTCTTGAGGAAGGTATCAGTGTCACTGGATTAACTCTTGAGTTATGATGAGATAAAAAATGGTTTCCTTACCAAACATAATTAGGATCGTGATAAAAACTTTACACCTGGACATATCTGCAAATAATTAAAAGCCATTTATTTACATAGCTTTAGTCTTAATATTACTCTGATAATTTTATTCTTTACAAACTTTACATTTCTTTAGAGCAGAATATTCTTACAAACATTCAAAACACGCTTACAAAGCACAAATATTTTTTAAATAAATTTAAGATAACGAAACAAGTAAGAAATGCGCTGTTTATTTCTTTTCTATAAAAATTCGTGGCTTCGACTGCATCCTTCGCAAAGATTTAATCGTCTATCGTACTACCTACAACATCCATTTTGCATGTTACAATGCAATCCTCGTAGTAGGGGTGAGTTCATTTGAAGCATAAGCGTATAATTGTCGTATTTGCTCGATGGAATTTCTTTTAAGCTTAAAAAAATCCAACGGGCAAAATGCGACGACTATACGCACATGCCGCAAATGAATCCGCCCCAAGTCACGTCCACACGAATCTGGAAATTTTTTAAACCTAACATTTTCTAATACGAATAGACCTTCTCACGGTTTTTTTTTCCAACTTTTGACATGGACAAGTTAGGGACAAACCGTCAACACCACTGGAAAGAGCGCATTAATATTAGTAAAATTGCCAAGTTTCAAAGTGATTTGTTGAAAATTAACGAAGATATAACTCCTCCAAGGTCGCGAAATTTTACAGACGTTGGTATGGTGGGGAGCACAAACTTGCCCCACCACCACACCACCATACAAACGTCTGTAAATTTTCGCAAAATTGCGGAGCTCTATTTTCGAGCACTTAAGACGTATCACTTTCAAATTTGGCAATTTTACTAACATTAAGGCGCTCTTTCCAGTGGTGTCGACGGATTTTCCCAAACTTGTCCATGTCAAAAGATGAAAAAACCGTGAAAAGGTCTATACTAGGCGACGGATGATTGAGCGGATTCAGTGGCTCGTGTGGACGAAAGGCCGACTCTTGTAAGAAAAAACTATGCGGATTCGTGTGGACGAGGCCTCGGATTCTGTCTATAATTCATGATAAGTCGGGAGTTTTTCAACAGTTTGGATTCGCATTTACGCCTTTGACTCTTCTCAGCTCCTTTTTTGTTGTTGTTGTTTTTTCTATTCGATGAACGTAAGAAGTGGACGCGGGCTTAAATTCGGAGCACGAGTCAGGGCTTGCGATCGCCGATAGTTTTGTTACCGATTTTATGCTCGGAAAATATATGCGAGCAGTGAAGTCAGCTACTGAAGATCACTGGATAGGAGGAAACAAACTCCATTTCACGAGGTTAGTTTCTGTAAGTATCTAAAGTGAAATACGCCAAAATACCAACGGCACTATCAGGTGAAATCTAAAAACAATAAAACTGAAAAAAATAATAATAATAAAATAAAACAAGAAACTGAAAAGAACGATATCCAAGTTAGAAACGCTCCGAGAAGTGTGTTTTTTATCAGGTCTTAACAAAGACTATAAACCAAGGTAAATTCCTCGTTTCAATAAAATTGTTTCTTGCCATTTTCGGTTTTTTATTTTGTAATTCTACAAAAGTGTCTTGTAACGTCTCGAAGACTAATTTTTTTTCATGATTATATATATTATATATAAATACTTTTTTATTCCAATCCTAATTTATAGCGTCAGAGAAAATCCAGTTTAGGTCGATACTGGAGGGTTAAAATTTTGTTGCCCTGCAAAAAAAAAAAGGGAAATGAGTTCAGTATTTAGAAAGAAACTGAATGGTAAATCTTATATCTTAGGTTAATCGACCAAATTCGATAATCTACTAAACTTATTCCTGGCTTTAAGGCTTGGGGGAATACAGTAGAACCCCGCAACTAAGAACCTGCAGTGGATTATACGACCCTATTGGGCTAAAATGTGCCAGTTATGCCCCCTCTATATGAGAACCTGTACACTTGACCAAATATGATAAGTCAACATTCAGAATCCTCTTTGGAGACATAGGTGCCTTATCACTCCAACTGTAATTTACATGCCAATGTAGTCAATGAGGTCAATGGTTACTTCTTCTCTTTATGGTCAGTTTTACATAACTTCCAATTTGCTATGCAGATTTTATTTATTTTTACTCTTGGCTATACTGCATTTTTTCTTCAGAAAATAAGAACCTAAATAGCCTAACCTTGTGCTGCCATTTATGTAAGAAAATGTTTCGGCTAACTTGGAAAAATCCAGGTTCTTAGTCGCGGGGTCTTACTGTATAACAAAATTAGACTGCGAGAAGTCTCTCATTTTTTCTTGTGTCGCAGTACGGTAGATTTTCGCAAAGACCCACAATCGGCGACAAAATTGTTGAGACATTGTTGTCGAATAGGAGAACTTCAGAGAAAAAAACAATCCACACCACTCTCCTCTCACCTCCATTCAAAGTTGGGGTGTTTGTTGTTTTCTACAGGTCGAAAAGCGGCACAACACTGCATGGAGGGGATGGACGAGGGAAAGCTTTATTTCTCCTTTTGAAGTCGGTAAACCGTCAGAAAGGCCCTTTCGGGCAAAGTCTCTCAACTAATTTTGACGCCAATTGTAGATTTGTGCCGCCAGGGCGCCACCACGAACTGCTAGATTTGTTAAGTCAACTCCGCTGAGCGTGCAACACATTATAGTATACTTTTACTTTCATTGTTGCTTTCCCCTCATTTACCTGTATCCGCCATCTTGTCATGAAGACGAACTCCAGCGTGTGATCCTTACCCATAATTTCACCGTTACACATCACCTCAACCTGAAATCAAAGAACAGCCCTCATTCAAACTTCTGTTGTAAAGGAGGGGGTTCAGAACGCGGGGGACACTCCCTTATTTGGTCTGAACGTGTATGTGCCGCCGAAGAGGGTCTGGGTTTCGCGGAGTGAGCACTTAAACAGGGTATACACTTTCATTTAGCGTCTTGAACAGGGTGTTTTCTGGACCGGCGTGAAATTCGTTTCAATAAAATTCCTTCGAAACCCGCTGTCTAACACAAACTATGACATATAGTTACAGAAACCGTTTTCGCATTTCTAAGCAGACTCTAGACTTCTTAGCTAACGAGTAATGGCGTAATGTAGCGCGCAAAGTTTATGTGTATAATTGAGTAGCAAGATGTTTAACTTTCGGGTAAACGAGTGAGCGAGTGGTTAACTGCGAAAAGCAGTTTATAGAGACTCCAACAAGCCCGCAATGCTGATCGAAAAGAGTCAGAGACGATCTTTCGGGGGTCATGAAGGGACTGTTACGGGCCACGGTAATAGGCCTTTTCTAATTTGCCTAGCCTCTGTTTCAAAGCGAGGGTAAGTGCGATACCATTGATGTGAAAATGACTTTTTGTTCTCATGTAAATAACACTTATTTTTTGCACTTAGCCTCGTTTTGAAAGTGAGAGTTACTGCAACTCGGAAATAGCCCATTAGTCGTCGCTTTTCTTTTTCTGTTTTACCTGATCGACAGCGGAAAGTTTCAGCTTAAGTTTAAGGTACTTTTTAATGTGACCGATAGTGGTGCGAGAGGAACAGCGGATGTACTTTCTGACCAATTCCCACATCGTACCATTCATCTTCGATACATTTCTCGTGCTGAAAATGTTTAAAGAGGAAAGAGGAACAACTAAACAAGGATATAAAAAAAAGCCAACGAAGGACTGTAAGCTGCTGCAAATGATAATCGTTCTTCTTTTAACGACAATGATTTTCATGAAACCAGACTAAATCATCTACTTATTACCAAGCCCTTCAAAACTAATGCTGGTTTTCTCTGTCACGCCATCAAAAATAAAAATCAAAACTGAGCAACAGATTAAGTCCAGAATTTGGAATATGAAAGGAGGTAAATATGCAAAGACCCTCGGCAAGATTCAGGTCAGTTCAGTTTTTTTATAGGCGAGATATTCGGAGAAATGATTAACACAAATTAATAGAGCTTTCAATGGAGACGCCAAGTTGGGGCCCATCCTGATGGACACCAAGAATCCCCCAAAATAAGTCACTATTTCAACCTAAACGACAATTCTCTCGGCCGCCATGTAAATATCACATCAAGCGAAAGCTTAGAAATTGAAGCGTACAGTATCACAGAACGAAGAGCCCTTTCAAAGTGAAATTTTTTATAAATATTAGTTTATAGCTGCTCTAATACCGTAACGTTCCGAAAATTAGCCCCTCCGTGTATAAACCCCTCCAACTATAAGCCCCCGAAACCAGTAACGCAAAAAACAATCAAACAATTTATTTTGAACACTTGATTTTGAAAAAATTTCCCTCCGTAGATAAGCCCCTCGAATAAAAAAAATAAAGCAAAATATAAGCCCGGGGCTTATTTTCGAATTTTAAGTAATTATTCATTTTTAATTTTAATGCATTAAAATAACCGGATCGTTAGTAACAGTCCTTCTTAATCACAAGAGTGGCTGCTTTCAGCAATTCAAGGAGATGTTGGTTATTTTGAGGTTGCGAATAACTAATTAACATCGCTTTTTACTTATTTTGACTCACAAAGGTTTTTTTATTTTTAACAAAAACAATCCAAACCAATGCACAAACTGTTTGGACTGTTTTTGTTGACCAATTTTGACCTCAGAACTTTCCTGCAAACTTTATTTTGCACCTTTATAATAGACAATTAAAAAGAAGGAGATGTTGGTTATTTTGAGGTTGCGGAGGGGACTGGGTGCTTGTTGCGTGGCGCCTTCCTGTTTTGTTGAGAAGATTACCATTCGAGAACAACCTCAAAATGACCAATTGCTAGAAAAAAAACGTTAACTGTACCTTTCAGAAAGTTGTTCCCGACCAGGGTGTTCAACACGGGAATTGTTTTTCATTTCGCCAGACACCAGTTCCTGCTCCTCGTCACAGCTCCTGTACAATGAAAAACAAACCAAAATCATGATAATGGTATTTTTTCAGTTAGTGACACAGGCTACTCAGGAGTCGAACCTATGACCTCCTAGTTACTTGTCCATATACTCTACCACTGAGCTACAACAGACTCGTGGGAACTAGGATTAAACTAGGTTGATGTGCACATCCTGCATCCCGCTAGACAGACAGACAGACAGACAGACAGACAGATAGATAGGTAGGTAGGTAGGTAGGTAGGTAGGTAGGTAGGTAGGTAGGTAGGTAGGTAGGTAGGTAGATAGATAGATAGATAGATAGATAGATAGATAGATAGATAGATAGATAGATAGATAGGAAACATTAGCATAACGTCAAAACAGTGAATGTTGTGACGCATATTTTTGACAGGTTCGTAGGATAGGTTTGTCTTGAAATTTCAAGGTGTTACACTGAATCAATCTTAATGAAAGTTTCAGACATTATTATATACATTATGAAGATTATGTGAAGAGATTTAAAAAAGTTCGTTCGAGTCGTTTCAGAGATATACAAAAAAGCGATAAAAGTCTAAATTTTGAACGAAGTTCCACTTAGACAGGTGGTGAGAAAACGGGTTAGTTTTAAAGATCGCAAGAACGAAAATACACCAAAATTTCCTAGCATCGAAATATGATATATTTTGCCGCTACTTGAGAATAATTTGAGTCATTTATAACATTTTTATTAAATAATCTAACATGGCTATTGAAAATTTCAGGTTTGAAATATATTTTCGCTTTAGTCGAATTCAAACATAGAGAATTTTTTACTTCTTACGCAGATTGTTTGCTAAACACCAGACTTTAAGTTCCTAGTGTTGGATTTTCAGTAGCTCGTCTAGATTACACAAAATTCGGCTTTTTTCAATTTCAAAGTATTTTGTTTATTGTTGTCATAGTAATATCGATTTTACTTAAAACTAACATTTTCACAAATTTCAATCCATAGCCAATTACTGGTGAAAATTTTATAGCGATCGGGCAAGGAAAAAACACTTTTAAGGCGATTGAAAAATATCGGTATGGCCTCTGAAAAACTGTATCGAAACACCTTAAGACGTGCCTTGTTGGGGGTTGTGACCAGATCATATATAGTCTTGTCGCGTAGAGGATCACACAGAAAAATCTCAATTCTAACACACCCTTTCAAGCTATTGGACCTGTTCATGTAAAGAATTTTTTTTTCTACTCTCTTTCTGATTCTGATTCTCCTTTTTTAACAGTTTTAATTTATCACCTTAATGCGTATCTGTTCAGTGACAAAATTAGAGCGAGCGTCAGTGCCTCATTTTCCGTGCGCCATAATATGTGACCCTTAATCTCCCTATCGTCAATTAACAGGCTAGCAGCATTAATGAAAAACGGTTCAGCTGCGGAAGATCTGCTTCAATCTATGTTAGTTTCACATCACGTACTTCCTTTTTGTTGCCTAAAAATTGTGCTGTAATCTTAGTTGCAGAATTCAACAGAAACAAGCAAACAAGAGGATTGTCCATGCCAATGGTAAATCTATCTAAGCCTAAAACGTTGCGCTACCGAGGACGTGTACGTGATCGTGCATGCATGTAAAACTGAAGTACGTGAGTCATTTACCATAATCGATAACATAGGTAAAAAATTTCTGCCTCTCCGTGCACCTGCGATTAGGATATGACATTAACGAATAAATGTTCATCAAGACTGATATGAACGATAGAAAGAAAGTTCTATGTTTATAATTTGCAATCATTTGATCTGTCAAGGAATAAAGAATTCGACTTTTCTGGGTAAAAAATTTATTTGAAACTATTAAGATTCACCGATATACTGCAAAGTTACGTTCGAACTCAGGAGTAGGAGCGAGGGCTATATAGTTGTCTCAAAACCCAGGGGTACACCGTCAATCCTCTATTAAGCCCCCCGGGAGCTTATTTATTTCAAACACATTTGAGGGGGGCTTATTAGAAACGGGCCATATTTGAGAGGGGTGCTTATTTAATTTAGCAAAGACGATGGTATAAGTTCTCCATGAAGAACCAAAATACAAACCAAGAGGAAAAGGGCAAGTAGAAGAAGTTGGAGGTTATGCAGCAGATCACAAAACAAATCCAAACTTCCAGTTGGTGAATAAACCATCCCGGATCAGTTCACACGAGGTTGATTAATAAAGTCTCTCTATTTATTAGTGAGGAATAATAAGGGGGAGGGGGCTTAAAAGAGAGGGGGCCTTCTCAACTTTCTTCCCCAGAAAAGGAGGGGCTTTTTTGAGAGGGGGGTATTCATTATAAAGCGGCGTTACCCACCTGAGATACTGGAGACAGACACCAATCTGCGGATCGTCTCGGTGGAAATTTTGCTTACTGTCTGAGTCATCTGAGTTATCTGTTTTACGTGACGAGCTTTTATGTCTTTTCTGAGGAGGCTCCTCCACTTCTGAGTCTGCAAGGTTTTTCAGTGAAATACTAGACGATTCCGGGAAGCTGCCTACCTACCCCTCCCCCAGCCTAACGTTTTGTCCTAAGTAAGAAGTCAGTTTCATATGGGCTAAACGATTAGCACAATTTACAATAAAGTTCAGATATAATAACGAGCACTCTTATTGGTTGAAAAAGCGTGCTCTGGCCGCTTCCTGTGTGCTATAGTTGCTTTACAACAGGACAGAGCAAAGTCAAGGCTTGTGTATTTGTTAACTATTACCCCACCTTCAATTAGCATCTTGTCTATTCTGTTCGAGTAATACTAATATTGCGCGTAGTGCAGAAATCTCCTTTTCCTTTTTAATACCCTTCGTAGTTCCTTCATTCCGTATTGCCAATTAGCAAGCCTTTTTCATGCGTTTACACGACGACAACGCAGATGAAACGAATACCCGCCAGCGTTCTTACCATTAACCTTGGAGCAAATGAACAAAAAAATGGGTCCTTTGCGGGCAATTATTTTCGTTTACACCAGTATTAAATAGTTTGCAACATAAAAGTTTTTTGATGAAGAACGGAAAGGCTTGAGATTTTCTTAATTTTCCTTTGATTTTGTTGCTTGGTTAACTGTATCACGTCAGTTGATGGTATTAAACTCTGCTTATTGAACTGATAGGTCTTAAAATAAGTCGCGATGTTACTGGTCGTCTGTCAGTTAAGCCGCGATGTTATTAGCTGTAAAAACTCTAAATGTCATTGTTACGTTTCGATAGGTCTTACGACACAGTTATAGTTAGTGTACGAGATGTGTGGACATTTCGATTTCATCATCGTAATATATAGTCTCCTTCGCAGGAAGAGGAGCGTTGCGTGACGAGCCTAAAAATGGCTGCGAAGGAGACTACGTAATATATATTAAATGACAATAATATTGCATACGCACCTTTGTGTATATTTCTGTGTCCGCTGACGTCTCTCTTTCCAGACCGCACAGTTTTGTTGAACTCCTCCTGGCGGACTCTTTCTCCTGTTTTAAGAAAAGGCACCTCTAACCTTAATTCCCTTAGGTGTGATCAGCATCAATTTTTTCCTTGTAATATTTTTGCTCCATAAAACATTATGGTCACAAGAATTAAAGGATTGATCACATAAGATGAATTTAATTGATACTCTAACAACTTCTCCCCACTACTTCGAAAGGAAGTGTATAGGGACAACAAATGAGAATTTCAATTTTGATATCAGGGTTTAACTGGTTAAGCTAACAGCAACCCTTTTTAGCCAGTGGTAAATAAGCGCGAAAGCAGCTAGTGTATCAATTTTGAGGAAGCCTATGAACGGCTCTTCTGTTGCGTATTACGCCTTTACGCGTTTTCGGCCCTTTTCCCAAAGTCGTGAAAGAGAGCCTGTAAACATGATAATTTAAGCTTAGCTGGCATTGCAACTTTTTCGATATTGCTACGATTGAATCCCAAGCGGTGGGGGGGTGGAGGGAGGGAGGGCAGATGTTAACTTCCTCGTCCCCATTCTCTTCGCAAATTCAATTCCTGGCGAATTACCAGTTGCGTGGGTTAAATAAAGAGATCACCTTGAACTTCACAACAAAGCGGGTTTATTGATTCCGGATAATTACGAATACTTATTTCCCCTTCTCCAGAAACACAATGAGGTGCCCGCAAAGATACGTGTCGAAGCAAGTTTAAGTGTGTTCTGCAGAAGTATTAATTTCATCTATCAATCGATCACTACAAACAGTAAAACAGCTCTGCATTACTTCCTGTTGGAAGAGACGAAAGACTAACCTACCCGTAGTTTTTTAACCACCCTTAACCCTTTAAGCCCCAGTATCCACATACAAATTCTCCAAACTGATCTCTATACATTTCCATAAGTAGAGAGAATTTTATAATAGATCAACGCATATTCTCTTGTATGATAATTTTATTAATTGTCATAACTTATCTCTTGACAGTGTATGGATATTGTTTGGAGAAATTTGATCTTGGTCACTATTGGGACTTAAAGGGTTAAGACTTTAAAGGGTACAACCGAAACGGAATCTTTGATCGAAAAGGTAATCAAGTTGACGCCCACCACGTATTTTTGTAACAGAGATTCTGGCTCGATATATGAGGACGTGACGACACATTTCATCGTCTATAACACCCTTTTTACTCGCTAGGATGTGTGCACTGCTTAAACATTATCATCAAATATCTGCTCAGTCACATCCTTCGGACAAAGAGTGTCTAACCCTAGTTGGCCATAATCTTAGTTCAAGAGAGAGACATTTCATAGTAAAGCTCACTTTATTCTCCTGCGTAGAATATTTACAAACTGAAAGAAGAGCAACTTGCAATAGAGCATTAGCAAAAAGTAAACTGCTTTTAATAACCGCTGGAGGAAGTTCTACTCCTAAAATTGCAAAGTTATAGGCTTAACAAGAATTCATTTAGCGTTGCTATAAAGCGGGGAAAATGACAAACATGTCAAACGAAGAGTCTACCTATGCGAAGCGTGTCATTTTCACCAAGACGTGGCACAGCGTTAAAAAAGCCGGCTAAATTCCTTACGCACAAAAAAAATAAACTGAAGTCTTCTTCATTTATAAAAAACTCAGGTTTGGGATGAAGTGGTTTCCAGTATGAAATCTGCTAATTTATTAATATCTTTGTCCGCGCACTCTTTCGGGTGGTCCCGCAGAACACGGATTATTAACTCTTCATCCAAGTCTTTGAAAACGTTCTTAAGTTTCTCAACTAAACCGTCAAAGTGTTCTATTCTGGCAGTAGAATCCCCTGACGTGCCACTGTCTACTTGATCCCGGTGCAGTCCCTGGTCTCCTTGGAAATTGCGGTACGGAACTGGCGCAGGCTCAAAGTACTGATGCATGTACGTGCCCGCGGGATATCCAATACCCGAGGGTGGAGGGTAAGGGACTTGAGGATTGTATGGCCGTGGCCACTGGGCAGGTGGGAGCGGAGAATACTGGCTCACGTCATGGTGATACAAAGGAGCTGGGTCCTGATACGGGAGGTTTCTGGCTCTGTAATCTGAAGGAACTGCATTATGGTAATCGCCATAATACGGATAGCACGGGTAGTACTCTTCTCCACTTGGAACGCAAGGGTATGCGTGCGAGGGGGCGCTGACTTGCCCACTCCCACGAGCTAAAATATCATTGGGCTGTCCACGATGTTCAATACGTGAATGAAATCTCTCTCCTGCAGGGTTCCTAGTCTCATTGGCTGAGGATGCAGTTGACTGACAACTACGTTGGACACCAGGAGTCGCAATGGAAACCCTTGGGTCACCCACCCTTGGGTGGATCCCATTGGTCGAAGTCCTTGTTGATTGACATGTAGGAGATGCTGTGACAGAAGGACTGGCTGTAGGGAGCTCGGGATTTTCAGGTGGATTTCTCACCGCGGCTTTCTCCTGTTGTCTTTGGGTGTCTCTTTCGGGGTGGTAATATTTGCAGCGATTACCAAACGTGCAGTTCTTTAAATATGGGCAGATTCTCGGGTGCGTCGCAGAGCCTTTCTTCAGGAAGTCGTCCAAGGATGGTCCTTTCCTTCCCAGGGGATCATCCGGAGGCATGAAAAGATCTCCAGCGAAAGTGTACATCAGTGTTCGTTGCTCAATGGTCTCCCTCCATCGCGGATTCTCTTTGATGAGGTCTCGAAAACCATCGTTGGAAACGATGATCCCGCCAGTTCGATCGGCTAACTCAACAGTATATTTATCGTCATAGCACACAATAAGGCGATTACCACTCTTTCGTGAAGGCGTGAACTTAAGAACGTTTTGTCTAGAGAGTTCATCCAGAATTTCCCGCTCCGCAATGGGACTTTCTGGTCGAAGTTCTTGTTTTCTCCATAATGGCACGAAGACAGTAATGTCAGTATGTCCCCTTCTCTTAAAAAACTGAACGCAAAGTTTTATGCCCCGACAAGAAAACACTTGCTGGTTTCCATGACTCATGGCCACATTGCTACCATCGATAACGATTGGCCGCAAGAGGTCTGCCTGGAATGGAACATGATTATCAGCTTCGACAATCGCAGCTACGCGGGTTGAGTTGGCGGGAATGGCGCCCCGCGTGTATAGGACCCGCGGTTCTCGAGGAGCAGAGCATCCGCGAGCAACTTCTCGAGGAGCAGAGCATCCGCGAGCAACTTCTCGAGGAGCAGAGCATCCGCGAGCAACAGGAAACATGTCCTCTGAAGCAGAACTAAGCTGAAGCGTCGAAGCGGAATTTTTGACGAGTTCCTGAAGAAGTTGGTTTATGTTGATTTCTGTTCCAAATGTTCTTATGACTACGTTTATTTCTTTATCTGTGTAATTGAGTTTATGTGCAAATTCCCTCATGGAAGGTGCAATGTCCGTGTTAGTACTTCCAGCCACTGCCGAAAGTTCGGGAATATTTTCGGCAGAATCGTGCACTAGATCATCACTATCTGCACACTTCGCGGAGCAAGTATTGAGTTCGTTACCATCAGTAAAAGCAACGATCCGTCGCTGGATTTCAGACTCTAGCAATGCGACTGCAATATCTTCGCCCTGCACGTACACTTCCGAATCATTAAACGACAACACGGCGCCAGCGAATCTTTCTAGCTCCTCGCCGGCCCTCCCGTTTTTCAGATCATCAAACAAGCGACCAGGTATCTTAAGGTCCACACGATGTCTTACCGAGTCTTTGCCGCAAAGAGAAGTTATGTAGCTCTTCGCTTTACCACGACGTTCCTCGCTCGACCCACTTATACAGACCCACTGGTTTTCGTTGGAAGGTAGATCATTTGGCAGTGAAATGTTGACGCCGAAAAGAGAGCATACTCGTTCGATCGTCTCTTTCAGAAGGGGAGATTTGTCTCGCGGTATGACAAATTCAATACTTCGGTGTTTCTCCATATCGGAGCTTAGTTTTAAAATCGTTGTTAGCTATCCAGTTTGAAATGACAACAAAAACGTTCTCTTCGTTGTGATGTCTTGAGGTCTTTATTATAGGGACAAGGAAGTTTGAAAACTTATTTATAGGTAGCCAATCAAACTTCAAATTTCAGAGGGGGGTTCCCCATGCTAAGTCTTCCGGTGTTTGCAATTTGAATTGCCCTAGGCAAGCTCAAACCTGTCACTCAGCGTATGCAAATTAAATCGCCTGTTAACATGAAAAGGTCTGGTGAATTTTTCCTTCTGCTTTTTAAGAGCAAGAAGCCTTTCGCTGACCAACAGGGTGAGAATCACACACGAGAAGCGATTTTGGGAAATGAAATCTTCTCGGCGATTTTCGGCGAAGACTAATTACAAACACGCTGCGTTCTTAGAATCGTCAAACGGGAAATTGTATAGGGATTTGTAAACTAGAATGGATTTTCCGCGAATCGGCTTTAGAAAGTGAGATGGAAACTATTCCTCCTTGCTACTGGTTTAGTCACCTTCAAACATAGTGTTCATCGAGTGCCATGACCAAGCAAAAACAAGTCACGCCATCTTGGTATTCAACCGTGATGACCTGACCACTTAACCAAGACGAAAACAACGAAAAAGGAAGTTCGTTCTATTTTTAAAGTAATCAATATTCTTCCTTGATCAAATTCTACTACTTAAAATTGGGGGAACACTGAAGCGTTTTCTAATTACGCTGAAAGGGAAAGCGAAAGTTAACAGTTCCTGTAAGTTGCTAGGTCTTGCAAAGACTAACAAAACAAACCAACAATTTTTTTTTAAATTTCAAACAGTCGAGCAAAAGCCTTAACCGGTGTGATTTTCATGTAGATTTATATTATTCTATTCACGTAGGTTCGCGTCACATGATACAAACTATGAATACAGAAGCGGAATCCCTGAGAAAGCAGTTGGATTTTTGGTGAAAGATAAACTGTGTGAGCAGTAATTTACACATACCATCGTGCCCCTCATCCACCTCGAAAATCAAAACAATGGTAGTAAAATTAATGCCGAGGGAAGAAATAATAAAATTGAAATTGAAAAGGTCTTACTTTCTTGTAATCCTGGCACTAACTTGAAAATAATATCCTCCAGTATTTGGTCTGATCTGGATTTAAAAAGAGGTAGAAAAAAATTGCAAAACTGCACTGGGTTAAAATTATCCGTGAACTATACACAGATCATAATAAGGGGATTGTTTGCCTGCAGGGAGGGGGCAAAAAAGTGAGGCAAACGGATGCTTGCCACGCGACAGGTATATAACTGTCATCGAAGATAAACGTTTTAAGCAAAGAACCAGGGAAAGAAAGCACATAAGCATCATTCGAGTCCTTTGAGTAGTGCTTTCCTTAAAGTGCGGTTATTATACAAATTCTAATAAAGAATGACATATTGAAAACTAGTATAGCTCATAAATATATTTTTTTTTTTTTTCTTGACGACGCTATAACGGCAAATTCCTGCTTTTTCTGCAGATCACAAAAGACTCATTGGCCTCTCATATGCAGCTGTTTCGAGACCAACAACTGAAAAAAGTTCCGAGCCCGTTTCTCCAGAACGGGTTCGAAAACTTTTGGTAATTAAGTTTTTGTTTCCAAACGCTCGACCAACCCAATGCGGAAAAAAAACACTTTTCCAAAACTGAGCACAACATCTTTTCTTCTGTAAAACAGACGTCAGGCTCTACGGCTTTCCGTAATCTGAACAGCAACTTTTAATAGCATGTTTTTTTGGTATCATTCAGTAATAGAATGCACTTTTTCACTTTTTAGCCTGAGAAATCAGACGTAATTCCGGATATCGTTTTGAAGAAGGAAATAAGCGATAACCGGAAATACATCGTGTTCGGAGGCTGTTACGCGGTAAGCGTTTTTATGATTTTATCTGATGAGACGTTTCGGCCGTTGATTTTTTTGGTGTTTCACCAATTACAGGAAATGTATCCCACGACCCATGGTTTAACTCATACTTAACACAAAATTTTTTTCACATTACCACCTTAAAAGGATTGAAAAGCTGACGTTTTGCAGTGCAATCCCTTTGCCGCAGAAATAGTTTCCTCAGTTTGAAATTATGCCCTTCAATTTTCATCCACTTGAAATGGTATCAGCTTAAAATCCTTTCATGCACTCAAAGTTAAGAATTCAAAAATAAATGGAAAAAAAATCGCAAATTTTATTCGGAAAAATACTTCGAAAAACAAATGGTACCACTCAAGGAAGTCTGCTAAAGAGGTTTTATTCGGGCCAATGAACACAATTTATTGACCAATCCAGAAAACACATTAACATATTACATAATACTCTTAATTAGTCACCCCAACATTTTGCATAAGCATTGTCTTTAGTTTCTCTTGGGAGTTAAAATGGCCCCAAGAGAAACTGAAAACAATGTTTATGCAAACTTTTGGAGTGACCAACAAGGAGTATTATGGTATGTTATGGTAGGGTTAATTCGCTAAAAGAGTGAATTTTTGTCTCATTAATTTGCCTTGATTTTATATGTCTAACAATGATTCCACTTCATCCATTATAATAATCCCTGCTCATCTGAGTCCAATTTTGGAGACAAACATGTAATGTAGACACTGGAGTTGACCCTCGGTCATTTTCTCCGGGCTTTTTGTTTCATTTTACGGATTTCTGTGACCGAAAATGATTATGCCTCACCCATTGACACCCAAAGTTATTTTTAGAGACATGTTGCATATTTCTAAGTTTGGTTGTCTCTAGGGCGATACCCTAATTAGGAACAACAGGAATAATCGCTTGCATTACCTCAATTCGCAGTTACTTAACTTAATCTTTTCTCCTAAATGGGTCAGCAAACGTATTTTTAGACCAATTACAAGATGCTTTTCAAAAATGCAAAGCTAGCAACAACAGCGCACCTGTTATTTGTAACCAGTTTCCGCTTCCATCATGAAGTCCGTAATTCTACGGGAATGTATTCCGGTGTAAATTTCAGAAAACAATTGATAAAAATACACATTATTCACGTCTATTTTTTCGGCTGATTTGCATGACAATACAAAGTCATCAATATTTTTATGCAGCTTTTTGTTTCCAGTGTGGATCAATACCCCGGGGGCACCTCTCCACAGTCTAATTCCGTCCAATTCAATGCGGGCAGGTGGAATGGGTTGAACAAAAAAATGGCGCTCGTATAACCCTTTTCTTTCCCACCTTGCATATCATGGCGATAAGACAACCAGTTCTAATTTTTGAGTCGGTGGATGAAATCCTGAGATGTGACCATTAAACGAAAGCTATTCAGCGGTTTTTCACATGGTACTATTAATTTGGTTTGCCGATCTAACCCTCGAGTCTTTGGATGAAATCCTAAGTGTGACGATTCTAAAACCTCATCAGCAGTACGTTCACATCAGTCGTACTATTTGACCTATTTATCTGATGTGTACTTCTAACTTTTGAGTCTGTGGAAGAAATCCAAAGGTGTGACCATTCAAATGAAACCTCTTCAGCAGTACTTTTGCACGGTGCTATTCATTTAGAAAGGAACACTTCTTCTTTGGCTCATTCACGTCACGACCTGGGGAAAAACCCCAATGGGATATGCCATTTCTGACCGTTGCTTCAAGCCTCTTCCGAAGGAGGCTAAGAGAGAGGTCTTTTTGCATAAAAGCTGGTTTGGAATTCAATTCCAAACGTGTTTTAAGTTAAAGGTGGAGAAAAGTAATTTATAACATTAACAACAATAACTAACACTTATCGTAATCTCCCTGACAAAGGCGGGCCTATCTTTTTTCCAGCCCTTTCTGACGGGGCGGGTCATAAGATAGTAGCCTCCCACGTAGGCGTTTTTAGGGGAGCTCATTTTCATCCCGTTTGTGGGGAGGGATGAAAAACGAGCTCCCCTAAAAACGCCTGCGTGGGAGGCTAATAAGATAGCGGATGAGGGAAGCCGGTTCTTGCTAATTCATTTCATTCATTAAAATGTATCACTGGAAAACTGAAGAATATCAATATCACTGTGTGGGGAACCCAATATCTTATCCCGAACATTAAAGTTTGTGCAGTCTGAAAAGAAAGGGATACCCTGAGTACCAGAGGTTTCTAGAGTGCGGCAAATGAGTGCGGCAGAGATGACTCGTGGTCGGCCGCAGGCACTGACCGGAAAACCGGAAACCACACTCTGCCGGCACTCAGGGTAAGAAAGGGAAGGTTTAGTAGAGAAATTAAGACATAAAGAGCAGTTTCTGTACGCATACTCAATTGCGCTTCCCATATGTTCTTAGAAAATGATAAAAATACAGAGAAACATTTGGAAACTTACTATCAAAAGAAGTGGCGCAAATTAAGTTTTCGCAATCTGCGGAAAATCATTTATTCACTTATTTTCAAAGAATTTTGTTTACATTTTGAAACATGAAACAAATGAAATCGTGGCAATTTGGGGAAGGGGGGGGGCTGGGGCGCATATCAGATAGGTAGACTTCAAAATTTTCCTGTTCAAGTGAGATTAGCGTATACAGAGCAATTTAATTGCGACAAACTATGCGAATATGTAAAAAAGTAACTTTATTTTTAGAAGGAGGACAGGCTAAGACTTTTATCAATTTAGAGAGGTTAAAGCCAAATAGACTGCAAACAGTCTCTCTTTTTCTTCAGATTTAGAGAGCGGAGTGCACGCGCGCACGCGTTGACCGGCGACGCTGTGGGCGTGGTCATTTGTGTGTCCCGCGCGTTCCAGTCGAGGAACAAAGAAAAAAGGGGGACTGCTTGTAGTCTAAAGCCAAACAGCTCGAGAGGTTTCGTTAAGAAGTAACTGGCGAAGACAATAAACTGATGATACACACCTTAACATATCGAAAGGATTTGTTTCATGGATAACTGTAGAGCATTGTGGACAGATGTTCTCATCGCTATCTTGAAGGTTTTGCACAATGCAGCTTCTACAGACTGATGTAAACAACAAAAATATGACAAAAAATTAGTTACTTTCAAGTCACGACAAGAATGATGCTGTAACCGTAAATGTTTCCGTATTTTCATCCACTTTATATTTCCTTTAACTCACTTCAAGGCAACGTGGCAGAACTGCGTGCCGGAAAAAGTTCTGGTTTCAAGCAAGAAACTGTTGTCCCCTTGATTATATCTAGCCCACAGATTTTGAATCTCGACTTTTGGCTTCCCCTGGATTTGCAGATTTGCTTGTTTTAAAAAATAAGATACAAGAAGCGTCAACTTTAGCTTCAGCTTTCCAATCCTGTAATTGACTTTTCGTAGACAGTTTTTTTTACGACGCTCAATTTAGCTGAGCAACTTTTTTGATAAACCCACACTGCCGTGGCCTCGCCGGTCCCTACCCTCCTCCCCCTCCCTCCCAGCTCCGAAAGCTCCCCAAAAAAACCGGCACACCACCACACGTCTGCAGTTTACATTGGCCTGGGACCAGGCTCCGTAGTGAGGGGAGGGGGGATGGGGGCAAAAACGCTACTACCGCTCGGCTCGCTTCCCTCGCTGATTTTTTTTTCCCTCGTAACCTGTGAACAGGATATTTGTTTGGGGAAAGGGTGAAAGCCTTTTTCCCCCCACTGTACGGGGTGAGCCTGGTCGGCTAAGTTTACATCGGCCTAAATACATGTTGTTCCGCTCGTAATTCCTGGAAAATTGTTGAATACCCGAGTGAAAATAAAAGAGAAACAAATCTGCCCGGCGAATGTTGCTACGTGATACTCAGAACACTTTTACTCAAAAAATTATTGAACAGGTTTTGATTAATTTTCAGTTTCATCATAAGGAGCTAATCAAAATTTCGCGGCTACACAATTTCATAAATTGTTTCCTTTTACTCAAAGACATCTTCCACAGAAAAGAAAACCGATGGGGAAAATCCCTGGTCGCTTAAGGCTTTAATTCGTAGAATGGGAAAACGAAAAAAAACTCTGACACCTGAGATGGCAGGCCACCGAGGCAAAAGTGTAGTTTAGTTTTTGTTTTTTCCACCCCTTGGCTTGATTTAGTTCAAATATGTTATCAAATAAATTGGTTATCTAAATAAAAAAAATCAAATAAAAAGCCCCTTGTTGCACTTTCAATTTTTTCGTACTATACAATTGCAGACGTTTTCACCAGAAAGAATAACCACAGCCCGGCGCAGGTTACGATCTCGGTGAGCCATCGCTTACAGTATAACTGTAGCTTAGAATATAATATATATGTTCTCTTTTTTCGTGCAGCACCTGTGAGTGGCAGGACGCAGTATTTTCTATTGCAAACTGCCTAGACTGGGGCATTTTTCCCCATTAGTTATCTTTTTAGCCTGTTTGCATAGCTTTATTTTCTACCCTTTTCTGAGAAAAGAGAACAAAAAAGTTAATCTGTCAAAACTGGAGTTCTAACCTGCGACTAAAAGCAGGAGTGGGTTTGCGGGAAAAATCCCCGGAATAGAGTTCGAAAGTGGCAGCCGAGTTCGCAGAAAACTAAAGCTCGGAGCAAAACAAATAAGAGACACTTGACATACGTGTCAAAACAGTTTCGAAAAGGAACTGTGAACGCACAAATTTACCTCACTGGATTTTCGGTTTACATAAAACCTTTCTTATTAGTGCTAAAAATATTCGTATAAAATCGAACTTGTCGCTTCAATAGCAACAAAGCGATTTTCCCGAAACCTTGAAAAATGGCCAAAATCGGGGACGGAGACCGTAAGAAAGGAAAGAAATTCCCAAGATGGTTTCTGTCGCCCCTAGTTGTGGAAAATTACTTTTTAGAGAATTCTTCTTTCAGCGGGAAATGCTAAACCAACCAAAAGGTGCGCGTTTCTGTCTGTTCGATAAAAGAATCATTTTCTTATATTTATGTTCGTTGGTTGTTTTTGTTTTGTTCGAGCGGAATCATTTCAAGGTCAAACGAAAATAGCTCTTACAAAGATCAAGCGTCCACACATAATTGCCTGAGCGTTTGACTTTTCATTAAAGAGTGTTTTGGATCCTCCAGAAGTTAGCAGCGTGAACGTTCTTCAAGAGCCTGGTAAATAATAATCAAAACTGATTGAAAAAAAGAGAGACAGGTTTTCACTGTCACGTTGGACATGATGACAATTTCAAGTAGCTCAGTTTCAATACTATATAGATTATATATTATAATAATCTGCGCAATGTGCATGTGCATGTGCTTTTCGAATCACGACCACAGACTGTTTTTTCTTTTGTCTTTTTTTTAGTTTTTCGAGTAACTGTCGAGGTTTACGGGTTTCAAATATCGGTGATTGATAATAGGGGCCGTTTGTTTCCACTTTGGCGCCAGAGTCTGTTTGTCGTCTTGCCCCGATTAGGGAGCTTTAGCAAAGATGATGGCGACTGGCGACGCGGCAGCAAAAACGTCAAGTTTTAGAATGAGTTTGTGTTTTTTAAAACTTTGTCGCGTTTATTCCAGTTCGCTGAAAATGTCAATGTAGGCGAATTTCCCAGAGTTAATTACTCGGGGACCGCACTCAAGTTTAGAAAGAGAAACAAAAATCCGTCGTTGCTTGTTTACCTTCTCCATAGCTGACAATTTGAAATTAAGCATTTTCACGTCGTAGTCGGCAAACAAATCTACAAAAAAGCGTGATGCACCTGCAGAGTTTTTGTTTTGCCAATTGTTGCTTTTTTGACGGCCTCGTTGTCGTCGCCATCGTTGTTGCTAAAACTCCCTATTAACATGGAGGCGGCGTTGGAGTCGTGTAAAATGGCACGCTCTTGACAAAATGCCTTGATTCTTAACGAAAAACAAATTTTTGTGTGCGGATGTGACGCGAAGGCTGAGTTGAAAGGAGTGTTGCGTTACAAGAGGATTCACAAACTGTTGCTGCTTATTGTGTATAAAAATAAGGCTGCTTAAAGGTCATTTGCACGACGACGACATTTTACTATCACGACCAGAATCCTTCAGAGTCTCTCTTGTGCAAATTAGTGCTACTCTTATTCAAACCTCGCTGGGATTACTAAATATAAGGTTTTGCTCCTTCTTTCGAGTACCTTCTGCTCATCAAATCAAAGCATCTTAAAAAGTGGCAAAAAAAAAAAAAACAGCGGCACTACCTCTCGCCAAAGCTAAAAACAAATTCCAATTTTCGACTCACACAAACTCCTGACCAGTTTTCGAAAATAAACGCCGATTTTCAAACATCAACACCTACTCCGGCTCAAAAACAAACGATAAGTTTCGAAAACAAATTCCAATCTTGGAAACTAACAAGCTCCGATTTTCTAAAACACCGATATTCCTTTAAAACTTCCGAAGGGCCTCCTACACGCCTGTCACTTTATTTGTCTCCATACAAAATCAAAGAGATACGTGGCATTTAGTTTATACATTAATTTCTACAGAACTATTTATGGGCATCTACGGGCGAGTGATTTTAAAAGTAGAAGTTCGTGCTAAAAATATTGATCAGAAATAATTCACGACGATCGAAGGCAAAAAGAAATAGAGACTTTTTTGGCTCACAAGAAGCCATCGCGATTAACCCTTAAAAGCTCCAAAAGTGATCAACATTAAATTTTTCCTTGATAGCTATCCTTCATAAAACAGACTGCGGTTACGGTCACACGGCGCGGAACGAATTTCGACCGGCTGAAATTGCTTGGTTCACACGGACACACCTTGATCGTGCGAAAATTTAACACGTTTAGCCGTTCACAGTTCCGAGTGAACAGCACTTTTAACAAATCGACCACAATTTTCCATGGATTACACTCTTATAGACCATAGAAATGACGTCATAACTTCACTGCAAAGTTTTGAACATTTTATGGCGTCATTTCTATGGTCTATAAGAGCGTAGACCATAGAAAATTGTGGTCGATTTGTTTTTTACAATAGCATTTATTTTTAGTTTCGATCCTGCGAAGTTTCTCGGAAAATCACGCGTGACATGTTACGTCATTTCCCTCAAAGACCATAGCTATCGACCAATCAGCGCGCGAGGATTCGCTTAGTTATTGTAAAAAATATATATCGAACGGTTCCGTGTGAACAAGGTGGCCAGTCAAATTTTTCAGCCGGTTGAAAATTCATCCATTGCGCATGAGAGTACATGTAGCCTGAGACTCCGTTTACACGGGTCCGAAGAAATTTTTTTTGAGCCGACAAAAGCTTGCACAGATCCGCCTTTCGTTTAGATGGGACCCGCGGAACCGTGCAAGTCTTTAAACGGCAAACAGTACTGCAATCTGTAACAGAATTTGCATGGCTCCGTGTAAACGGGTTGCACAGGTAAAAGAATTCGTCCATTCAAAAGTTTGTCCGGACCCATGTAAACGAGGTCAGAGTTGTACTGAGAATAAAGGGATTGATCATACGGGACGAATTATACTAATACTTTACTTTCCACTGCTTCTATAGGAAGTGTATAGTGACAACGAATGAGAATTTGAATTTTCGTGTTAGGGTTTAAAGGGTTAAAACTTCAGTCAGCTTACCGTATTTCCTCGAATAATGGTCGGGGCGATCATTTCTTTTTCGGTCAAAAAGGGAGCGATTATTCGAGGGAAGGCGATTAATCGAGGAAGGCGATTATTTCAAATGTGTTCCAAATTTAGTTACTTCATTAATTTTCATAGCTTGAATCGTCCCTGATCAGTTATACTGGATCACATTGCACTTCATCTTGACAGGGAGGAGATAAAAGGACGAGAAGATAGCGAGAGGAGAGGGGTAGGGGGCGATTATTCGAGAGAGGCGATTATTTTGAATATTTCCGTCAAAGGGGGGCGATTATTCGAGGGAGGCGATTAATCGAGGGACGGCTGTTATTCGAGGAAATATGGTATTTTGGCTTTCCATTGCAGGTTAGTTGACGTTATCTTAGTATGATCAAGAACTTTTAGGTTACATGAGCCAATGTAAAAGCCAATACCGGTCTGAGTGTTTCGGATTTTGACTCTTTGCCTAAATGTTCAGTTCACTGCCTAGAAAATGTATCTCCACAAATTTCCAGCCTAACAAGGGGCATATTCCTAACATATTTAAGAGATAGGTATTTCGTATACTTTATAGACTAAATAAGTTATTTCAACAAACTTAAGCTGACGGGTCCATTCCGGGGGGGGGGGGTTAGGGGAATACTCCCTTATATAAGCTATACAGGTATGTGCCGCCCAAAAGGGTTTTTTTTTTTTCACCGTTTTGGTCTGAAGACAGGTATAGACTTGGCCCATTTTGGTCTGAAATCGGGTATGGTTCTCGAGGGAACGTATGAACGTATTTGCAGTTCCAATTCCAAATGAATAAGAAAAAGTAATATGCCAATTTCAAAAGGATCTTAAGAAATCTGTTTGTCGGCGTCCTAATCTATGTAATAATGACATAAAGGTCAGGACTAAAATGGCCGTATAGTCATTTTCGCCTGTATTGCAACAAAAACTTGTCGTGCATGCATACGAACAGTATTGAATCACTGCTGATTTCCATTAAAGAAACGCACTTGCGATCACTACTCCCTCACTGAAATATTCTTTCCCGGACGGCTTACTTTGCACTTAACTAAGTTTTTAAGCTGCTCCGTTGTCTAAACTTTTTCATCAAATCCATCCGCAACGCCACGAGTGATGTTTTAAGTTCTTCAGAGATATTTTCTTAAAAGTATTCAAGTCGTGCTTTGTAATAAACTATTATGAAAGCGGTTTAAAACAAAAGCCACATTTATCTTCACAATCAACTTGTCAAATACAGAAAACGGCAATTAAAATACTATTCATCCTTTTGAAATGATGAGTTAATGATGCGGATCTGAAAACCCGAGTATTGTTTATTTAATCATGATACATCTTTCTCAGCTAATAACCGCTCGTAACCGGCAGGAAAGTGAATATCATCCTACAAACCGAAAGTCATAGGATTTCGCAGAGACGAGACTACCATTATCAGCGGGTTAACACCCCACTTATAATCTGATAACGAGTGACATTTGGTTCTTGGTGCTTTGAAAAGATTACTAAAACGAGATAATTTTCAAGTTACGCTCTCCACATGACGCGGGAAATAAAAAGTGAAAGACATTTGTTGCGTCAGGATTGATAGATTACCTCCAATTGAAACTTTTCATGGGATAGTTGATTCTCCGAAATAAATTTCACTCCGTGAGAGATCAACCTTTCGTTGGTTGAATTTTTGACATTTCGATTGAGATTAACAACTTGGAATTTAAGACCTGCAGATTAATACCACTTAAACGCTGAAGGATTTGAACGTTTTTCGATAATTCTCCTTGAAGACACTCTTGCCTCCGTCGTCGTTCATAAGATGAAAAAGTTCATTTTTAAAGAATTGGCCATGAATCAAAATTGGCAGGTTGTCCAATTTGAATTCATTCGTTCATCGGCCACTGAACTAATCTAGTGAATACATGATGTTTACTTTAATGATAAAGTTATCACACTTTGTTATCGCATTGTTCAGCTACGAAAGATGACGTTAGGCTTTCCTGTTTTGACTTGTACAAGACAACACTCCGAAGCCCAGTCTCGGGAGTTCCCACACCGCTTTGCGATTTTGTTGCGAGTAAATTTAACCCAGAATTTCTTCAAATTCAGATAAAATGTTTGAGGACGTAGTTTATAATTTAAATCACTTTGCGTGAAACCTTGGCTTTCATGACATCGAAATCCCAGCTTATTTCCACAAACAAATAAAAAACTCAGGGGTCCATTAATATTGTACAATTTCATCTCAGCGGGGTTGCTTCCCGTTTCAAATAGCGATGAAAATTAATCCTCGCCACGATATCAACTGTGTTTGCCGCAAATAAACCTCAAAAACCGCAGGGGCGAGCTGATGAAACTACAAGTGAAGACAAGAGCATTTTACGGGGAATTTTGCCGAAACATCGTTGGCTTACTTAGTATGCAAAACGAAGCCAAAGCAAGTCTTAATGGATGAAAGTAATTAAATTTAATCACAATCTTCTGAAGTGGGAAAGATCTCACTTAGACCCGTCAAAAGCAGGCTAGATCTTGGACAAACCTAGCCGCCCGATAATTGACTACTGTAAAGGGACAGTTTCTTCAACTCAGTTGGCTCACGAACTTCGTTATAATGACAATAACGAGGATAAAGGAATACAAAAGCCTCTTCAAATTGACTGCGCGCGTGCCATACAAAATGACATGCTTTGAGCGTGTTATTTATGAGAGTCTGAACGCTTGGCGTCACTGATAAGTTAAACTAATAACAAAATAAATAGCCTTTGACGACCGTGCATAATAAATGAACATCTGGCCCGACGGCCTTGGGGCATAACAGTGCGTAAGGAAAGAGAAATATTCGACCCGTTTCTACTGCACTAATTCCACAATCCTTCAATGCCGGGAACTGTGCAGTGAAACAAGGTGTCGACATGTTTGGATTATTGACCGGTCAATCATTCTTCCCGCTACTGTTTCTACCTACATGTGTGTAAACACTCGGCAATGGTAGTTGGCTTGATCAAATATCCCTTGCACAGCTCACACGTTATAAGCGGATTCAACTCCTCCAGTTTGATTTTCTGTTCCTTGTTTGACTATAAAAGACAGAGGCTGATTTAGCAGATATTGAAAGTGGTCCTGGTTTGTCTATTTTCTCTCGGTTTCTCTTTCACTGAGAGACTATCATTACCGCCCACACTTACTGAAAAGAAAGTGCTAAAGCCTTTTCTTACAAGCACCAGCGAATCTTGAGCGTAGATAGTCCGTGGGCCAAATAAAAACCTCGCGCCCGTAATTTCATTTGAAATTGTGTCAACAACCGAGCTGGTCTTTGACAAATGGATAATTACTATTCTTAATAGGCTTTTCCTTTCGTGTGATTTATGTTACAATTGTAACACGAATCCGAATCGAGTGGGCCCGCCTTCAATAAGTTACATCAGTTGATCACAGCTCGCTCTTAGGAATTCACAACAAGTTTAATATCTGTCCTTTGGTCCTAAAGAGGATTTCTCTTCATACAGCACTAACGTCACTGGCCACTCAGTCAAATCGTCAGACCTTGAACAGATCACTTGATATGAATTGCTCAGGAAATTCATCCTACTTTATTCAAATTGATCGCGATATCAATAAGCTTTTGCTTATTTCAAAAGCTGACCATTGCGACCAAATAACCAGCCAAACAGCTATTCAACACATGAAGAACAAACTGAACTGGGTTACGGCGTGTGAGGCCGGCTTACACCCGATAAGCAAGCCAGCCAGCCGTCTAACTCCGAACACCTAAATTTAGTCTGTTCTTGTTGGTTCTAGAAAATCGTTTCATGGCAAACAAACCAGGGCCAAATGATCTTCACACATGGGCCCTTGTTTGGGAGGAAATATAGGGTACGTTCAGGAAACACTTACCCGCAGAATTGCCATTTCAGAAAGCTGAAGTTTCAAGGCGCACCACGATGTAGACAGATATTGACAAACCTTTTATCGCGCTCTGTGGATTGCGGTTTCCTTTGTTAGAGAATCCCGGATGAGGCACCGAGTGTTTATTCGCTCAAACGTGTTTTCCTTGCCGGCTAGGAAGCTCCTCATTAAGTAAATCGCCTCCGGTTAATTATCTTTACAAAGCCTTCTTTTCAAATATCAGTCTTTTGCAATTCTGAAATGGCTTGCGGGTTGTGAAACTGACTGCGACCACCCAAAAATCAAGCATAACCAAAATTTAACACATAATTCTCTGCTTTCAATTGCTCGGTCATAAGCCAAAAAAACTTCCAGTAATTCCTGTCAAATTTTACGACATATGGTGTTTTTTTTTAACATTGTTATCGTCTCTTATCTAAACACCGCTGATGTTTCTTGCGTGAGTTCTTAGATTAAGCGCTATCAGCTAAAATAAACTAACAAAATGCAACAGTGTATTCAAAATATTTATTCGCTCAAATAAAATGTATGAGTATCCACGTTATATCTGATTTCGAGATGTCATTTATGATCTTGATTTGATGGATTAAAACTGCATCGCTTTCTTAAAAAGCTGTATTGAAAGGACAATAAATAAGATATTTATAACAAGTTGAAGTTAAATAAAACTTTTTGAATGTATTTAGGGAAACACAATGATTTATAGCTTGTAGCCTTTTAAATTTTGTTTCGCAAGCTCACACTTAATTCGCATCTAACACACGATTTGTTTTATAATAGTAAAATTTTAACATTGGTAAATTTATAACTGGCGTTTCAATAAATTTCAATCTATGCATCATGAACGAAAAGCTACGAAGAATCGACAATAATACATCGAGGCGCGACTTTGAAATTTGTCATTAGTGCTTCCTTGGCAACAGTGAATTAAAAGAAAAAATGTCGCAGCATTTTAATGACAAGCGTCAGCAATACATGGAAAACAATTATTTTGGCAATGTTAGTTTTTGACGTTTTTCAGTGGCAGGGTTTTCTGTCTGAGTAATCTAGCAGTTGTAATCCATATGCGGTCGCGACAATAAACCAGCACCGTCCAAATGCTTGTCTTTGTTATGAAAATATTTTCACAAAAAGAAACCGCGGGTGACAACAACAGACAAGTTTTATATGCCACGAGTTTGTTCTTCTCCCGTAACCATTGAGAAAGTAAAAATCTTAAGAGAGCATGCCAGTTAGAAACTGGCTCATCCATGTTTATTTTTCATTTTGCCGACCGAACAAGTGATTTTACGCTTGTGATCCATTGCCAGATAAAAATACATTCTTGTGGCGGGCAATAAATTATGAATGAAACGACCGCAATTTTGAAAATAAAAAGCCCTAGGAGAGACGAAACTTTATTTAATTATGAACGTTCATGATCAAACCAGAGTTTCCCTTCACCGTTTTTTATGATATTATTACCAGTTTTGTTTTTACAAGCGGTGAAACAGAGCACGAAAAACGGTTTCTTCCTGAATTTGTTCAGCTGGCCTTCGTTTGTGCAGGGAAATATTTTACGTTCCCATAACAGATATAATCGCCAACATAAGCCTGCCACGAGACAAGGACCTGTCACTGGTACTGTCGTTTTTAGATGAACTTAATTTATGTTGGCAAATTGCAATGGCCTCGGGACTTTAATTTCTCTATAAATATCACAGAACGCCTTGCCCGTTGTCTAACTTTACTAGCATGATCGTTACATCCTAGCAAGCATTCTCTTAGTGCTCAGTGCTTTGTTCTCTGTTATCATAACCGTAAAGAAAATAGCAATAAAAGCAACAGGAGTAGAGAAGGAAATTCATTTGAATGACAAGGTTTGAGGTAAAGTATTCGCCGAATATTGGATTAGTTAAACCTACCGTTTTTAATATCGGCTTTTTTGTCTATTCTAAAAATTGGCTTATTGGTGGAATTCTAGTCTACCCACTGAAAATAAAGACGACAAATACTTTAGCAAATAAAGATTAACTAGGATTTTCAAAGGAAACGATGGAAAGCAACCTTAAATGACAGAATTTGTATCGTTCGAGGAAAAAAAACTCGACCTACTTCTAAGTACAAATGTACTCAGATCTGAATTGATGCTAAAACCTGGGTCATGTGGAAGTTTTTAACCTTTAAAATGAATCTCAAAGATTTCCTTTCTATTAATGGTCTGTAATGTCCTTAATAATCGTTACCGTAAGAGAAGAATTTAAACAATTTTAACCGCATGACTTTTGTCAAACCGAGGTCACGAGCCTAATCCGCCAGTCTTTCGAAACTGCGAGAGTTGGCAAGCACAGAAGTCTGTCAAGTTTTTTGCTAGGACAGTCGGCACGTCTTACGGGGTTGTCGCGATGTTCTCAGTCAAAGTCATTTTTACTCATTTTTGCAACTGGATTGCGTAAAAATAGTTCAGGTAAAGTGCCAGCCTAATAAAAGTACAAACTGACTATACAGTCAAAGCCCGTTAATACGGAGACTGAGGGGGCCACAGAAAGTCTTCGTATTAACGGGGAGTCAGTATCAAGTAGGTTGAATGTAGAGAAAATGAAAGGGCTTTTTTTGCCCAGGGACAAAGTAAACTGTCCGTAATGACGAGGTGTCCGTATTAAGCGGGAGTCCGTAATCTGAGGGGGTTCGACTGTACTCCATTGCGGCTGTTTTTGTTTTCACTAAACTACAAAGCAAAAGAAATTTTACTCCTGTCTGAGCAGATGTTTCTGTATGATGTTAACACGAAAGTGACAGTTTTGTAAGTTTAAATTTTATGCCCTCGGGATACTAAAAAAATGGTTTTATACCTTATAAGATACGGAAGAACAAGCTAAGGTCATCCACAAACAGATGTTTATTCTCTGAATACAGCAAATGGTTCTGCATTAAGCCGGTCATACGATACGATCCTGATACGATCCTAGCGTTCGCCACAAATTACTGACTGCAGTCGTTTAAAGGGAAAACTACAAAACTTTGATGTGTGAATGCATATTCGTTTCAATCTATGACTTAAACTGAACTTAAATCAAATGATCATGCTTCTAATCTACAAAATTTCTTAAACACTTAAACCGGAATTCAACAGCTGATTCAAATTATGATCTATTATCAGCCATTATGCCGTGCTTTAATTAAGTCTCTGAGCTCAGAGGTGTGTTCTGTGTGTTTTAACCCGGCGAAGTAGGCAAAGTTTGAAACCTAAGTGTAGATAGTCGATGCTAATATTCGAATGCAAACTGATTAAAAAACTCAGATGACGCTAAATGAGAATGAAAATTAACTTTCAATTAACTTTATTCTTTTGAAATAAAGATCGATAAGCTCTCACAATACTTTTTTTCTAATCCTTTGAGTTTTGTTTAGGCTGCGACAAACAGTGTCAATTTTAGAACAAAAGTCAAAAGGGTTTACTGGAACCGCGAACGACTGACTAAATTCTTGTTAAAATACGCGGTTTCTTTATATATGCCCTCACACAGAGCCCGTGCAAACATGCAGCACATCTGAGCTAAGTCAACGAAAGAATAGCGTGGCACTAATATATCCGGAACTAAATGAGTAAGATTACGCCCGGGATTAAAACGGATATTTTTCGCCAATATGTAAACCTTATCGGAATTCACGCACAACTAAAATGGCGGTCTAAAACTAAGGGCTGTGCAAATATCTCGGGTGAACGTCTTTTTCCCTGTAAATAAAGGAACCAATGATAAATTGTAAATGATATTCGCAAACTAAGTGCTAGAAGTGAAAACGGTAGCCTGCACCCTCCCTAATCTTCCTCCGTCAAAACAAAGATGGCGGTTACAGACGGAAGTAGGGAGCTAGTCTGGTACACAGCCGTTTTTAGAGTCGTCACGCAACGTTGCGTGACGACACTAAAAACGGCTGTGTAGCAGACTAACGACGGCAATGATAACGGCAAGAAAGATTTAAGTTAAGATTAGCAGAAAAAATTGGAACGTGTATCACGCTGTTTTGCACATTTCTTTCCGCCGTTCACGACTGCGACGTGAAACTTCCTAATTTTACGTTTTCTGGAAGATAAGACAACCAACTAGTTTCTAATCCTTTCTTCTAGTTAAACTTAGATACAGTCCTTTAGAATAATTCACCACCATTTGACAAATTGAACGCTATGGAATAAGAGCGACGAATTTTGAAACAGCATGAATTCACATTTTGAGAAACGTTCTCGCTAACGTCGTCGTCGTCGCCTGTTAAAGGCTCACAGACAGTAAGGATGAAGCCTTAGTGAAAGACACGCGCAAATATGAGCGGGTGATCTGGACGGGAAAGGGGGGCGGTGGCGGTCTTCCTCTCCCCAGTTTCCTCCCGTTTTAACTACGCCTGGTGTCATTAAGCGACAACGCATGCGCATGCGTGCCGGTCCAACATACGTCATCGAAGGCGCTTTAAGCCAAAAGTTCTCAAATTATGGCATACTTCAAGAAGTCGGCTTGTTTTATAACGTAGAAATGATCTAGCAGCTACCTAGCCTAGTGTGAGGCTGGACGCCCCTATCCGGTTATGTTACTCATCACCCATCTGGTTGCATGTAGAGGTGAATCAGGTAGATTTCCATTTAAAAAAATTCTTAACTACATTATGTATCTTTTCGAGAAGGATGAAGACTCTATTGTCAATTAAGCATTACTTGTATCCTTGAATCTTCATTGTAATGGTAATACTAGTCTTTACGGTAAGATTTCGGAAATCTCCAAATCTCATGGCCTACCGCATTTTGTTTCCAACAATTTAGATAAAACCAAAATATCATGATATAAAGATATAATGAAACAGAAGCATATTACTCGATTGACGGTATTTAGTTACTGATTTAAACATTGTTATGAAATTTCAAGTTATTGAAACCCAACTAGCAAAACAATCGATAGAAAGGCTTTGGTAACATTCGGTAAAACTACGCGTAAGAAATCATAAACTTATGATCGAGACCTGGTGATTAAACTGATCAACTCCGAAGATAGTTACCATAAATCCCCTATTAAGCCCTCCGGGGGGCAGCTTTTATTTTAAACCCATTTGATGACGGGGGCTTAATAAAGACGGGGCGGCCTATTTAATTTAGAAAAGACGATGGTATCAGTTCTCCATAAAGAACTAGAATACAAAGTGGAAAAGTTCAAGTGCAAGAAGGATGGAGTTTATGCAGCGGAGGATCAGAGTCAAATCCGAGCTTCCAATTGGTAAATAAACCATCCCGGATCAGTCCACACGAAGGTTTCAGTAGAGTCGTGATTGGTTAATACAGTCTATCATTTATTGAAAACGTTACAGTCAAGAAGACTTTTGCAGGGACTGATCAAACAACGAGAAATAGAGTCAAGTTGCGATATTTCGCATGGCCTATGCCAGTCGTCCTTGGAAGACTGGCCGATACGAGTCTTCCAAAGAAGACTGGTATTGGCCAGTGGACGGACGGAAAATACACGATTTAAGTGATTGATCAATTCATTAGTTTTAATCTCCTGTTTTAATCGATTTTATCTTTGTTAGTCATTTAATTCAGTGTTTTGTCAAGTTTTCTTCTTCAATCATCGGCAGGACCATGTATTTTTTATGTAAAGGCGGTTCACAAATTAAGAATAGTGTTTGGTTTTGATCTTATGACGAACTTTTGGGAACTTTTTGCGTGAATTACACTAATCTAAAGAGTTACATTAGTCGAAAAATAAGACGCATCTTAGATAACACGCCTCCAAACTGTCCCATATTATCGGTCGGCACACTTCGTCTGAAATATTAAAGATGCGTCTCAAGTAAGAACAGCCCTTAACAGCTGTTCTTAGATAAGACGCGTCTTACTTTTCCTCGTATAAATTGCCCTGTTAAGTTAAAGTCATACAAACACAATAAAGTCTGTTGTTAATTATTTTTTTCAGTACCGCACCTTTACGCTATCTCAACTTTCGAAAACTGAGAATGTACATGACGCATCTTTGTTAAGGAACATGATGGAAGTTAATATGTAATTTTGAACCATTAATTATAAAATCAAATAAACCTAATTCCGGAAACTAGCCGCCATCTTTGATGTCACGGTCTGGGGCAAACAAGTAAGAAAATCTGCCAATACAAAAAATCGCGTTCGAAATTGTTTATTCTAAACATCAGAAAATGAAGCTCTTTTTATCAGTTATTTACTTTTTTGGATGCAGTAGCGACTGTAGACGTCCTTACAGGAAGCAATAATGACGTAAAACTTTTCGAAACTCGAACTGTACATTTTGCAAGACTAAAAATGTCCTCTTGTTTTGAGAGAATAAACAAACTTGACCGCGATATTTATTTGCCCCTGCCACGATCCAAATCAATCTTAAAGCGCATGCAAAGATAGTGGGTATTGTGAATAGGGTCTATTCTATCATCGTAAAGCTGCAGTAGTTTGACAGGTGTTCTTTGTACCTCAGCTGCTTCCTAGGTAACATCCTTAATATTCTAATCATCTCTTCGCTTATATAGCTCACACGGTTGATTCAAAAGAAGTGTCGAAACAATAATATTGCAGCTCGTTTAGGACGTTGTTCTTTGGGCAACAAATTTGAGCTCTTCTCAGTGTACGTATCCAGGTAAGAAGAGGTAAGAGACTATGTTCATGGAGGGACAGCAGCCACCCCTTTCCCCTAGCCCCCCAAGTTGCCTGATAATCTACAGTTGTTGACTAAATAATATAATTATTTTTCTTTGACGCAAAAGGTACAATTATGAAGTCGCATCGGATGATGTTACCAAAATGGGATTAACTGAATTTGCAATTTCAAAGTCAAAACTTACCTTCAGAAGGGGCGTAAAACGCCGAAAACAGTTTTCATGATTGACGTCAGCAAATGTGACGTCACAACTTAGTGATGGCCACAATGATATCGATATTATCGCTGGATTTTTTCAGTCAACGTTCATCCCCCGCGCGGGAGGCTCTCCTCGTAAATGGCCCATACGGTGTTCAAGCTTTAGGTATATGAAAGGGTAGGGGTTTTCACTAGTTGAAGTATATGACAGGCTAGCGGGGAAATCTGTCATTTTGGCCTGTAAAAAGGCCCAAAAGGACTAACAGATGCATTTTATGGCTGTAAATTAGATCAATAAAACGTTCTGGTTTTAGGATTACAACCTTGTCCCCAGGGCTTTTCCTTCAGGAAAAGCCCTGGGTGGCCCCTCCCACAATTAAGGGAAAAGCCCTAGCTGGGGACGAGGTTGTGAGGATTATTCATATCTTAAAGACAGTGCGTTCACGGCAGTTAAAAGGATGTAAAGGCCTAAGCTAAGTATGTGAAAGGGGTACCATTTGTCAACAAAAGGTATATGAAAGGGGTACTTTTTCTGCCAAAAATGGTATGTAGAAGGGTAAGGAGTGGACCTTGGAGCGGAGCCTCCCATAAGAAAATTTTGTTGAGTATTTCCCCGGGAAGATCATACTTCAGTCGAACCGTGCGCGCGGGATATTTCACCCTAGAATCTACCAGGTATTTCGAGAACAGACCTCTGGAGACAGGGTACATCGTCCCCTACAAAGATAGAATTAGAGTGTATGGAACAATCTCGTTCCCTGGGTGCTGTTCTACTCGTCCTCTGGAGCGACTCGACATAGAGAGGGAGGAGACATAGACTTCTTACAAGCGTTGTTTTCAGTTTCTCTTTCTTTCCATCTTGAGCTTAGAGCTCGACGCTGTCTCTTTCTATAAGCTCAGAGTAAACACATGTTTTGCGGGCTACTGTAAAATGAGGATAATGTCAGCGATGGTTGATAGGTCGATCCGTACCGTAATTCCTCCCTAGGCGGATCAATAAAGAGTTGTTCCATTTCAGTGAAATATTTTTAGCAGTTCTTGCGATGGGATAGTGCCACTCATATGGAAACAAGTCTTGACTGGACAAGGAATGCACCAAAGTAACATATAAAAGCAAAACGCCTTTTTCGGCTCTTGTTTTACCCCAAGAGCCGAACCTGAAAAGCGTCTGGTCGAGCAGGCTAGCCCCAAAGTGGCCAACACATACTGACAATAGGTTTCCTTTTTGTAAAGAAGATAAAGAACCGAAACAAATACTACCATTCAAAGAGGTTCCATTTGAATGGTCACACCGTACTGAATTTTGTCCACAGACGCAAACTTTACAGCACATTCGATTCTTTCCCGCTGCTAACAGCGGACATTTTTCAGAGGGCTCTGGGGCTCTGCTATCAGGGAATTCAATTCTCTATTGCTGTGTAAGCTGTAAGAAGTGGCGGATCCCGGGGGGGCGGCCCCCCCCCCCTCATATTTTTAGACCAAACTGAGGCCACTCCTGGCCATGTAGATTTTCAGCTATTTATTAATATTATTTATTGATTGATTGATTTATCTCTCCCAACTGATCTTTTCTTTGTTAAAATACTGTATATGGATAATTTCATATTTTAATAGTATGTGGCGTGTGACTGTCGCTTTAATATTTCGTTTCCATGTAGTCAATTGAGATCCCCTTTAGGATTTTAATGCTGACTGAGATAACATTTGTCTCGACACTCATCTGAAGAAAATCACTATGACAACATCGATGATAGTTGCAGTGTTACAGCTGCAGAGAACTTGGGCCAGACATAATATTCCAGTGGATTTAACAACAACGACAACAACAACATCTTTTATTTTAACATGGTGGGTTTTAAAGCTAATATAGCTTATGGGGCCGTGTAAAAAATGTTAATAAAATAAAATAATAGAAATTATTAAAATTGAATGTAGTCAATAAAAGGTGAAATATGTACAAGAAAAGATGTGAGTAGAATTAATAAAAGACGAAATCACTGTCAATTTGGGGACGACCCATTTGCGGTGACTCTTGAGATGACAAGTTAGTCTTTGAATAAGTTAAGTAAACTTTCCATTTTTCCCTCGGTTTCACGGCGCGCTTCAGTCTAAAAGGTCTAAAAAGTATTGTTGCCGTCTTCATGATCTTTGTGCCTTTATGTCTCGTTGAAAGCTCTCGGAGACATATTAACCAAGTACAGTATATACCATAATCAGGTTCCAATCTAATCAGCTTTTAATTTTAGATTTAAAAGCCAGCATTACAAGATATGAAGTCACACAATCAAAGATATATGCTGCTTGTGACAATTTACCTCCGACAGGTTTTTGAAAACTTGTGATCAAGATATGGGGCGAATAAAAGTGGACCCCGAAAGGTTCAAGTACTGATACTAACTGACAATGAGTGAAGTACTGGGGCTTTTTATTCTAAAACTTGACCATTTTTCGGGATCTCTCTAAAACTAAGGAGATGATAGCCTTGGCTCTCTCCTTTAAAGTTTTTGGTCACTAAGAGTCTTCTATAGTTAAAACTTGTAAAAAAGGGCACCTCCTTGACTTTCTAAACCCTGTCTTAAAAACAGGACATGCTTTTCAGCATATGAGTTTTCAAAACAAGAAACGGACACATTACAATGCACTCGTCGACCGGAAAGGATTTTTTCTGTTCCTGTCAGTTTGCATTCCGAAGTTGCAGAAGATAACATCAGGACAATCCAATCTCGGCAGCAAAATAGACGCGTCTCTGATCGTTTATTTGATTTTGAGTTAAGCGTTTAACATCATAATCCTCCAAGCATATCCAAGCGTCAGGTTTCTTTACTTGTGTGTTTGGACACAAAGCTTGCGCGGCAGTTTCTTGTTTAGCAGGCGGTTGACATATATACATTTTGCACCGTCGTGCTACGTCCTTTGTAAAGAACCTTTTCAAGCTCTTGTGATATTTGATGCGTGCCAATTGTGGTTATTTGACAGGCCATCTATTCACCATTTCCGGTATCTATGAGCATTCTCTTGTACCTCATAAAAACACTCCAGTCGAACGACAAATCGGAAGGTATACGCTACTGGGTGTGATTGTCTTCAAGAATAGGTCTTCAACTAAGTTCAAGCGTCGCTCTGCGAGATCCCTACGCGGTATTCACTTTCGGTATATACTAAAGATATTATCATTGTTTGCCTTTCATTCAAAAGTGGTTCATTATTGAGAGGCCGCGGATTCTTGCTTGATAGATAAGAAACCACAAGCTTCTCGCGGCTTCCCCCGATCTCTTAACACAACAACGACAACTGATTCCTAACGGAAGAAGCGAGGAAATTACTGATCGTGTGTTGTTTTGTGTCGCCGGGTTTACATCACAAGGGCTTAGCATGACAAGCGCGCGCCCCCGAAGGACATGAACGTGAAAAGTTCCTTTTAACTCGTCGCTAGCTTTTCAAGAGATCAGCGTGAAGAGAAGGTCCCAAGAGAATTGCCTGCTCTCTTTGTTCGGGAATATTGTTGATGATCGGATAATTTTTATGTTGACCGCCCACAGCTCACAACAACTCTGCCCTCGGGCTGCTTCTTGTGTTAGTACGTGTGGTCTGATCGAGCGTAGCGAAACCCTTGCATCGGAGGACGACGCACGTAGATCGATTTTCCGCTCCACTTTAAAGATTTCAGCCAAAGGTTTTGCGGAAATCTTGACTGCAAGCGACGTGCTGACAGAAATATACCACGTCACTCTTCATTAACACCATTATCTAGCCGATTTTGAGCATCATACAGCGTTCTTTCTCTCGGCTTCACATAACCGAGTCTATTCCTGTTCGTGGACTGATTAAACGAAGGAGTAACCTTTGTATAGATCTATCTCAAGATGTATCAAACAGTAAAGTTAAGGGAGCTCAATACCTTCATCACTTGCGGCATATGTGATGGCTACCTGATTGATGCTACGACCATTACGGAGTGTCTACACACGTGTGAGTATGCGACCTTCAGTGGTGTTTCTCTGTTCAGATTACCGCATAAATCAGCCTTTTTCCTTTGATTAGTGTTTACGCCATCTTCTGGTGTTTCAGCGCCAATAGTTTACCACTGGGCGATGCGTTTAGGTAGAAGAACCAGTGAGATCGGTCCGCAAGAGTTTTAGAGAGCTCCCCATGTTATATTCATGCTTATAGTGTTGATAATGCTTTTGAGTTTTATACAAAGGCCTTTAAAGATTTAAAATTTTCCCCGTCAACAGTCTCCTTGAATGTGTGTTATAACTTTCCTGCAAATGCCGGTTATGCTTTATTTATCAAAGCGGCAGAAAGGAAACCTCACATATTCTATCTCCCATTCTGTTCGCCGGTCTTGGTACGGAGTGCTCAAGATCTCTACAAACACCATTGTTTGATTTTTCGTTTGCGCAGTGAATTTGGCATTTTACTGTTTAGTTTTATTTCATTGTCTACTGGGGTTGATCGCCAAGAAATTGTCGGGTACACTACGTGCGGTAACCAGAGGCTTCTCAGCGTTCCGCGGTTTAACCCGAGGTTTTAAACACAGACGGTGTGTGTACAGATCTTTTAGCGCAAACGACGTGAGTCAAAATCCAGCAGGCAATGAGCTTGACAACAGATGCATTATAACTACATAGTTGCAGTTGTTTGATCGGGGATACTTTAAATTTACTCTCTCGTACAAGTTTGATGCTAAAAATATACCCCAGTGAGTGAGGCGTAGTCCGTTCCGTAGACCTCTCTCATCTTCATCTCCCGAAGCCGTCTAAAATCGCCTTGTTAAAATTGTCTTAGAGAAGCGGCTTCGTGCTTGAGTTAATTTGTATTTAAAACCAGCACTTTCTCAAAGAACGACATAACCCGCGATCAAGGAAGCGAGGAAAGCTTACGGAATCACTCTTGCCCTTTAAGACTTACATCATATGAACTGCTGAAACTATTACATTTCATGATTCATGATATAACAGTGTATATGCTTTGGCGAAGTGATGTTTATTGGGCTTGTTTGTGCTTTGGTTTGTTCATAGTTTGTAGAAGCTGCATTGTCAAGCGCTTGCAAGAAGACAATGTCTGCCCAACCTGTAAAATAGTCATTCATCACAGCTACCCCATGAACTATATCAGGTGAGATGTTTATGAAGTAGCAGACACTTATCGTGCTTCAAACGAGTGTAACAACATGCAACATTTAATGTGGGCGAAATACAGCTAATATAAGAAAAATGTTCGATGTGCGTGGGATAGACTTTCATTGCCCTAGATAGACACTAATAGCTTAGAACTCAGCGATTTCAAAATCAATACATTTTCGTGATTTTATAACCGTTTCTTTACTTGATAATTATTTTAAATGAATTTAAAATTGATTAGTTTTTTATGGAGATTGACCCTCGGCGCAAACGAATAGGAATGATTACATCGGTTCCAAGTTTGCTGTGGGATAATTCTACCCCAAATCCTCCGAATGACGTTCTTGCCAAATCTTAAGTAGATTACTAAACTTCCTCCTGCCCAAGGCTGCTCTTTTGTTTAAAATAATTCCAGACAACCTTTATACAAATGTCACGGCTCCAACTATAAACAATCTGCGTTGTATTGCTGTAAAATTTACCTTTTGTAAGCAAATCATGAAAACACCTTTCTACTTTTAACAGGTTAAACCCACAATTGCCGTTATCATAGACTAGAGGTATAGCACAAAGTCAACTACGAGTTTTAGATACAAACAATGGTATTTTGCCTTATTAACGTTTGAGAGAAAATCATGTGATAGATTATTCTGGTCAAGACAATGATATTCCAGTCCACTAAGCGAATTTAAGTGAAATTTAAGCGTTTCATAAACAACTGATTCTACATGATTATTTGTGTTGTTTCACCTCTCATTATTAGCTATTAGTGCCATCTTAATTATTTATCTATTTATTTATTTTCATTCTTAAGTAGACCGGCTTTTGAAATTTAAACTGCGTGGGATTTTTTCTTGAAAAACGTGATGGGCTCCCTTCGTTCTGAATTCATAGAAATATTGTTTAATATCTTGCAGTTCCGATCGTACAATGCAGGAAATTGTATACAAACTGGTACCAGGATTACAAGAGCGTAAGTGTACTCATTAATGCATGGCCGATAAAAGAAGGTAGTAAAAATTACTTGGGGAATATACTGAGACCAAAAAGGTGTCGGGTCTACTTCAAAGGGTTCCGCTGGCTTGATATTTTGAAGCAAATCTTTCGTCATCCTTTATATATTTTATTTTTCTTAATGCAACATAAGCTCTAGAGTCTCATTTGCAGTAATTTCCTCTTTGTTGCGTCGAAGAATAATGCTTAACCATGCGGTACCACTGGACACGCTATTTAATTTAACAAAAACAGCTCTCAACAATTCACTTGACGTTAATGTTTTACCAGGAGAGGCGAAATGATCATAGGGCCCTTGCTGTATCAAAACGTAAACATAGAAATTCGTCTTCGAGGCGCGTGTTCAACGTTGTGACAACAAAGTTCCTCCAGCTATCACCTTCTTGAAAGTTTAATGATATTTATAGATTTTTGCCCCTGGCTATTAAACTCGTTATCGCAGTATAGGCTAATACTGATAACAATACTTCAATAGGTGTAGCTGCAATAGCGCATAAAGGAATCAAAAGAATATGTGTTGCAGCAAGGTTGTTATGTTGCTCGTTCATGCGTTTCAAAGGCGATAATCGCAACATCAGTGGTCAAAGGCATATAAACAGTTTTCCTGCGGTTTGGGCTTACCGCGGGGGTTTTCCGTTTTGTTCCAGACGTTCCTAATTTCATTTACACGTGTACTTGAAGTGATGATTTAATATCTCTGATACAAAACATATCCGAGGAGTATTTGGTGGCATAGTGGCATAGAATCTCGCTAGTCCTTTAGGACTTTACCAACACGAAACTCGGATGATTACCAAAACACGAACATGAACTATTTTCGACTTAAATCTCTATGTTTTAAGTGTTGTTCTCAGTTAGAACTTTCTCCGAATCAACTTGATGTAGAAAATTGCTGTGAATCCATTTTTTTTCTCGGGGAGACATCCGTCTTTCTCGAGTGGAAGACTTGAATTTTTCTTAGAGATTATCCTGGGGGCTGTTGAGATTTTAATCTATAAGCGCCGCAAAATGCCTGCTCAGTTTTCGAAATGGCATAAGACCCTGGAAGTTTCGTAAAGACTCTTAGGCTTTTCTTGGTTTGGGAGATGTGCAAGTTTAACAGTGTATGATCACTTTCTCTATTGATTTGCTCGCCATTTTAAGGAGAAAGTTAAGTACTAATCTGATCGAATGATATAACAATGTTCATGCCTTCTAATTTCGTCTGCAGACTTTAAGTAAAGCTTGGTGTCTTTCATTTCATTTCATTTCATAGTCCCGTTTTAGAATTTTAGAATTTTACTGTAGACTCAGCAGTTGAAAACAACCTTCGTACTGTTCGTAACTCTGTCTATTGCACAGTGCCGGTAGGAGTCTAAAATCATTTCTTTTAATATTGCCTTGAGGGGTCATTTGAACCGTTCGCTGCAAAAGCAATTGCCAACAGACAAATTTGCACGCCTTGGAAGGAAAACGAACTCCCAATTTAAAGTGATTTTTGAAAGCCATACTTTCTTATATGTTCTCAGCGCACTGCGAATGAAACCAGTATAAATGTTCCCTTTACGAGCTGTCATTGTGGATCGAAAAGGATTTTTATAACATTGTACATTGTACATGTAAATTTGCCCCCGCGGGCACTACCATATTTAGCCAACTATAATATATAGTGTGCTTTATGAGGAGCTTAGTATTTAGAAAATTATATCTCCTTTGTGCTCTCTTTATAGAGTCACTTAAAACTCGCTATGAAGAATCTATACTACTTTTTGACAATCTAGCAACAATTTAACTTTCACGTCATCCACCTATCTTAAACTAAACATTAGTTGAAGTACCTCAGGAAAGTTTTGCTCAATTCCTTTATTTTAATTTTCTTCCCCGTTGCCTTCAAAGAAATGATTTCCAAAACAGGTTTTGGGCGGATTTTTTAAGAGTCATTGTGCCGGCCATGATTTAAGACCGTAATCCTTTAACTTCTAATAGGAATTTGCATCTTATTTCTCCTCATAATAGCCTTAAATTTAACATTAAGATCGGTAGAGTAAAGGAATTGACCTCTTAAGATAAACTTTTATGTCTGGGCTGAAGACAAAAGCTTCCTATAGGTTATTTTGGCAGAGTTATATTAGTCTTCGACAGAGATGTCATGGTTGGGGAGAGGGGGAAAAGATATCAACTTTACGCAGGGAGGGGTAGGAGAGGACCCTAAGAAAGAGGTTGGAAAGAAGTCGCCTACGTGGCAGGTATACGTGAAAGAAGGGGAGAGGAGGCTGGAGAAAAGGTCCCCCTTTTGACGCCTGCAAAGTAGACTAGACAAAAGGAAGGACGTTTGGAAGGGAAGAAAAGGAATCCGTCTCCCTTTTCCATTTTGACGGTTTTTCTCACGCTCTTCCTCTCTTTCTTTTGCCTCCCACGCAGGCTATGTTTTTGGTCAAACAGCAGTTAAATTATCGTCATGTAACTTCAAGAAACAAGCCTTGAGAAGCATCAGTTCAATTGATCTTTGTAATAATACTAACGGGGGTCGTACAGGACTTATCATGGGGATTGAAAAATCAAGTTAAAGTTAATATTTAGTTTACCTTGCTCAAAGCTTAAATCAAGGTAGAAAAAGACAGAACTAAGATCAATTTGCTATTTTTTACCCAAAATGTATTTATGAAACCAGTGCAACCTTAATACAGATGTCCTTACTTGAAGGCAAACTACAGGGCGAACAAAGTGGTCTTTTGGGCGACCCTTGCATCCGGCGACAGCATACAGTTATTCAATGTCATCCTGTATTTTTTCCGCGAAACGAAAGAACTCGCGAGTTCTATAATCTGTGATCTTGTACTCAAACAATTTTTCTCTTTCAAATTGACAGAACTGAGGACTGTTAATTTAGAAAACACTGATACCTAGAAGATGTCTGAACAATGTAGTTAATATCATTATGACGTCCTTGAGCAACAGAGTTTGTTTGCCAAGCCGAGCTTACAACACGTCGCGAGTTTTAAAATTTTTTACAAAAATCAAAGACTTCCGGACTTTATTTAATATTCTTCTGAATGTAATGACATATGAGAGCAAAGCTGAGTGCGGGATCAGTATTTAGAATGGCGAAAACAACGCTGTGTTCACTAATTTCATCGACTCATTCTTTTGTTAATGTGTTCGCTCGGTAGGTGAACTTCAAAGGCAGAAAGAATTTGAAGTAGCCATGTTTATGTACCGCACAGGAGAACAACAAAACGCCTTCAATGCCATGAATTCAACGAAAACGATCGGTAAGTTACATTTCATATATTAGGTCCCTTGGAAAGTAACGGACGTCTCTCTGTAGCCTGTAGGACCGTTCACCACTTACTAGCCTGGGTCAATTCTCTCTTGCCTGCGTGGCACCCCTTTCGGCGCCTACCACGCATACTAGCCACTCACAATTCCCAAATGTAGGGCTTACTTGCAGGGCAACCTACCCCCCCCCCCCCCACCCCTCCCCAACCAAATCTTCCCTTGGATAAATCATTTGTTGACACTACACTGCGTAAGTTATGAACTGTGAGCAGTCTGTTATTTTTCTGCTTGTATGAGCACAGCATTCGTCGCCGATGAAAGGTTATGACTTAGAATTACAAGGTGGTTATCAGTGCAGTGTGGATGTGTTACCCACTGCAATTAGTCACATTGACAAAAAACTACTGTGATGCTCGCCGTCTCTGTCGTGTACAAATGTAAATGTTTGTCTTACTATACTTAACGTTGAAGCTGACACACACTTAAGATCACTTTTAAAAGTTGCGACTTGTGAACGCCATTCCTACGAGTTTTTCTCTTTTTTTTATCAAGGTTAACATCGCGAAAAGTTAACATCTCTTTTTTCTTTCCAAGTGTTTAGATTTGTTATCAATTAGATAAGATCTCGCTACGATCCCGGGGCAGGGAGGAGGGGGAGGGGGCGCCCGAAAGGGGTACCTTTCTCAGGCTTTAGGTAGTATTTGAAAGTGTAGGGAAATCTAACATTTCAGTATGTAAAAGGACCTTAAGGGCTAACAGAAGGTTTTTAAGGCTGTGAAAAAAGCCGAAAAATTTTTCCCGCTTTTGTGTTTTGTTCATATTTAAAAGGCAGTGTATTGACGGTAGTTAAAAGGGATACAAAGTTGTAAACTAGATATGTAAAAGGGGTACAACAGAAGATATACGAAAGGGGTACCTTATCTGCCAGAAATGGTACATAAAAGGGTAAGGGTTTGGACCTCGGGGAGGAGTCTCCAGGTATAAAATTTTGTTGAGTATCCCCACTGGGGTTACCATAGCATCACTGAACCCCTTTTACTTCTAGGGAATCGAACAGGTGTTTAACTTCTTTCGGTGCTTTTTGAACGACCGGGGCCCTCCTTTTAACACTTGGGGACCGGGCAGAAAGATTTGCCTCATTTCCTCCGACTTTCAAAGTAATCCTCACAGCCAGAAAATGCTTCTTTTTTTTGCAATGGGCTCTTTTTTTATTTTTTTCCTTCGGAGTTTAAAGAGAAACAGCAGTTTTACTATTCATGAGTTCTGAGCCATTTTCACAAACATGCTCTTGTCTTTGTGCTAGAAATCATGAGAAATGCTCGAAGTTTGGTTGACTTAAGGTGATGTTAGACAAGACGATTTGCAGTGACGATTTTTAGCGCAACACTGCCTTGCAGTGTTGGAACAATGTTGCAACTGTTCGAAACTACGTCGCAACAATGTTGTAATGCTGTGTTGCGCTAAAAATCGTCGTTGAGGATCGTTCCGTGTAACATCACTTTTATTAACCGCTGTAACGTTGAAAACTGCTTTTAAACCCTTTAAAGGTCATGTTACACGGTACGATTTGCAACGACGATTTTTAGAGCAACACAGCGTTGCAATGTTTGAACAATGTTGTAGCTATTCAAAACAATGTCGCAAAAGTGTTGCAACCCTTTGCTGCGCTAAAAATGGTTTTTGAGAATCGTCTCGTGTAACATCACCTTAAGTCCCAAGAGTGACCAACATCAATTTTCTCCCAACAACATCAATACACTAGTCAAGAGAAAAGGTCATGAGAATTAATAAAATGATCACGAAAGACGCTATTAAAACATGACGTTTCGGCGACGACATGTCACCATTATCAAATGCAAATGAAAGAGACACGAGCCGTCACCTCCATCTACTCATTGACGAGCACAGATACTCTGTAATTGGCAAACAAATGCAACAAAAACACCAACAAGAGCCAACTAATCCCCGAGAACATTTTAAGAAATGCCTAGGAAAATTTGAGTGCCTTATTTATGAGATGTTGTTGTAAGGAAAAGAGACCAATCTTAAACACTCATACCGAATCCATTTCAGCAACACTTTTCACTTTTCATTCTTTTATTCTTCAAATTCAATGTTGTGTTTCACACCTTCGTTTCCTATATCAGATATCGTTTCATAGTCTCATTCATTTCCATTTTATAGTGGTGACATGTCGTCGCCGAAACGTCATGTTTTAAGAGCGTCGCTTTTTATCCTCAAATAAATGATCACGAAGGGAGAAATGCTCTAATCTTTTATCGAATTCTCTCAACTGATTCTGTGAAGAAATGCACAGAGATCAGTGAGGAGAATTCGTATGCAGATATCGGCACTTAAAGGGTTAACGTTATTTGTGTAACTCGATTTTAAACAGCTAACAATACCTCACCATCATCATCAAACACGTCAAACGAGAAAGAGGAGGAGAATCAAGACTATCACCGTGGAGACGAGCAAGTGGCAATCTGCATGGAATGTTACCGGTGCGTTTTTTCTTTACAATTTTTCTGCTCTTGAAGTACGAACGTAATCCAAATCAATATTGGAGGGTCCTCGAGAACAAGCTTATTAAAGCTAACAAATCCCTACTTATCCTTAGAAGGCTGCGCAAAGAGGGGTACAATCAGTCAGAAATAGACTTCTCTTTAATACATTAGTCTTACCTAACAATAATTATGCATTATTCGTCTACGCTGCTTCCGATACCGATCTTACACTTATGCAGTGTTTCTTGGTCCGCTGTTTTAAAAGGAAATACATGTCTAAGCGTGTAAGTGTATATGATTTCTTAGAGAGGCGAAATCGCAAAATTTTTGGAAAAGTTCCAAACTCTGCAGGACATCCACTCTTATCTATAATGCCCCTTGTCAAACCGTCTAGGTACCATCTTAGGAAAGAAACTTGTTATAAACCTATGATTAACACTATGCGTTATTAACCGTTTAGTTTTTAGATACGAATTAGCTAGGTAATATACTGGATTTTAATTCTTACTTTTCACCTTTTTATACTTCTTACTAGATGTAAAATTTCTTAATTAAATACACTTGTAACAGAAGATGTATATTTTAATCTTTTGACGAATAATAATAATAATTATTATTATTACTATTATTATTATTGTTGTTATTATTTTTATTATTTCAGGAGGATTCTTAAAATTCAATCCCGTCATCCTGCCCAACATTTTCGCTCAATCCCGTAATCCCTAATGGTTATTTTGGGCATCCCGCATCCCGCATCCCGTGAAGACTTTCAATCCCGAATCTCGCGCCCAATTTTTATTTGCTTTCAAATCCTGAAACCTAGCCTGCGAAAACATCCGTTTCTCCGCGCTCTTCGCCGCTGGCAGCCTAGTTCCCAGGCGTTTTCGGCTCGGTCATTCCTGGACTCTACCATGAGCTGTGACGTCACCAAGAGATATACACTGAGAACGTTCTGTCGCCCGCTCTCTCCCAGAATTCGCGCGGATAACGGATCGGATCGGATCCGCTGGGACGTTTCGCGCGGAGGAACGAAACGTCCCCAGCGGCGAAGAGCGTGGAGAAACGGATGTTTTCGTAGGCTACCTGAAACACGGCCTTCAAATTATTCAAATAAAGCAAATCCCGCATCCCAAAAGACCTATTGTGGACCCTCATATTGGTAGTTTTCTGCCTTTTACATCGTACTTTTTGAACAGCTGGCTAAAACTGGAAAAGCATCACTATTTTCTGAAATATCATTCTCTCTGTATTTCTTCATAGGGCCAATGGAAAATATGCACTAAAGGTAAGACATTTAACTTTCATTCATATATTTTAACTAAATTCCAGGAGGTACCAAAGCTCGAATTAAAGCTGTATTCAGTTAAGACCTTTTTTCATTGATTCGATCCTTAGAGTGGATAAAAAAAGACCGCGGTGTAGGATTACGAGATTCCTAGTAAAACTGGGACTTTTAGACATCATCTAGGACAGCTAAGGGAGCATAAACATTTCAGTACGTTTATAACTCATTGACTCTCGTGTTGATTGTTTTCCGCAGCCATTAACACGGAAATACCTAAGATTATCATCTCAAGCGACTGTGTTACATCTTAAAAAATTCCTTGCTAAGAAGTTGAGCCTTAAAGACCACAAAGATGTAAGTGATGGATTGCTTTGTTATCTTCGTTGGGTTCAAGTTAGTATAGATTTGTGAACAGTGATTTTTCCAAGGTATCTGCGACTAAATTGAGAAAACGACCGACATTTCGCTACGCCAGCAATGGTTTCCCCGCAAAATGACTTCTGAGGAAGGAGCCCAGAAATTCCATGCTGATGACGTGTCACTACCCAGATCTTAGTAGTGTTTCTGATTGGTCGTGCTGCGAGGGAAATTTGGTCAGCCAATCAGAAGCACTACCCAGATTTGGATAGTGTCACTTCATCAGTGTGGCATTTCTGCAGTCGCTCCTCAGACGTTATTTAGATTCCTTGCCAAATGATTATTAAAATCACTGATCAGCAAGTGCTTTTCTTTTCCACCAACAAGTAAAACTCCTGCGAACCAAGAAAAGGTCCTCAAGTGACTTCTTGGAGGGTTTATCTCATGGCACCATTGCCTCTCCTCGTCTTTCATCGTACTCAAAACAATCGTAATGGTTTCAGTGCATGGTCAATTACTCTTTGACAAAACTCTAATTTTTTTCCAAACTGCTTTCTAAGTGCCACTTAAGGTGCTGATTTCTCTTTGTCGCTGCAAAGCTTAGAATGATACTGTCTTTTTGTTACATAGGGACTTCGTTAATCTTGTTCGGGTTTGTTTTTAGGTGGATATTCTTTGTAATGATGAGATCCTTGGCAAGGACCACACGCTTAAATTCATTTGCGTTACACGATGGAGATTTAAGGTATGACCATTCATAGTAACAAATGCTCATTTTAGTGTTTGTGTGAAATAACTTTTTCCGCCGTTCGGCTTTGTAAGCACGTGCCAATTTTCGGTGTACTAATTGGGTCTAGGTAGATGTGAAGTGCGATAACTGTTTTTCTTCTTTCTAGGGTTGCCCTCTATTGCTCCACTACAGACCAAGTCTCAAGTTGTTCTAGTCAGTGTAAATTGCAAATGGTTATTTATCACAGCCGAGAAGGACTGGCTTGGATGCACTAGCGGTCGAAAACATCGCCCAGAAGAACGCACAAAGGAACAATACACCATCGGCGATTAAATATAACAAGGAGCAGAGGTTTTCCTGCTGGTTGAATGTTACATTGAAATCCATAATGGATGAAATTCGTATCATTGATACAAAAGTTTGAAGTATTTTGCTTAGCTTTTGCAAAGTTCTGTCGTTCGACCGCGGTGAACGGGTGACGTCACATGAATGAATAGGAACGAGGCTAAGGAACTGAGGAACGTCTGCATGCAAGAAAACTTTTCACTTACCTCTTTATATTAATTGCTGGGTTATCCTTTTTAAAGACCTGGGAAGAGGAACGCGTTGAGGTCTACCAAAGGTTTACAGTTTTAAAGTTTGTTCTTTGTCCATGCAGAGCGAGCAATTGCTTTAAAATTACTTTTCATATTTGCGCAGAGGTTTTAAAGAGCCATTGTTGACGTTTCATTCTCAGCTAAAATGAATATGATTCTCAGGGTTTATAGGAATACAGTTTAATCTTTGAGGACGCTAAATATTTATTGTACAGTATACGCGATATGCATTGGCACGCACTGAATCTACGGGCCCAAAGAGAATAAATACTATTTTTATTAGTGAGTTGTTTTCATTACCGCCTTAAACATGGATAAGTCTTTCCACGCCTTCAGTTAGCCGTAGTTTTCCACGGAAAGCAACGTGCACACGAACGCAACAACTGCCAACAATGTTGCGTCCGTTTGCGCGTAGCTTAATGTATCCACAGCCCCTGATCACGGGTGGTTCCCTGAAACTCGTCCCATGAAACTCGTCACCGATTTCCGTATCAACAGATAGAAATCATTTGATTGTTACCGATTTACGTCGATTTACTACTCCGAGTACAGTATTTGATCAATTTGTCAGGCCAACGCTCAGCCCGCAATTACTTCTGGGTTCGTTACCGTGGACGCGTCGGTCATCTATTGGCCAATTTTTTCCTCCGTCCCTACTATCAATCCCAGAAGTCTTTGCGAAAGTGTACCCGACCCAGTTTCCTCTCGATTCTAAAGTGACGCATTGCATAAAGCCTGGTTTTCACTAGCGCATAAGGACAAGCGCATGTGTAAGCAAGTGATAACTGGGTCGACATAAGCGTAAGAAAAACGGACAAGTTCGTTATTCTTGTGCTTTTGCTTAGAGCGGTTTTCACTTGACTGTCGTAAAACCAAAACCAAAGTAAATACACTAGCCAACCAAAGGGCGTAGTAAAACCAAAACCAAAACCAAAACCAATCCCTTTCGACAGTCAAGTGAAAACCGCTCTATGTCGTAGCTTTGACTAGTGAAAACTCAGTGCCTCCTTTACACCATGATCAAACATCCTAAATTTGAATAACCGTACATTGAACACGTGAGTGATAGTATGTTATAGTTAAGAAAAGCAAGAGTATAACAGCTGCTGCAGAATCGAAATGTAATCATTCCGTTTTGCGCATAGAAACCCACAGTCGAGGACTCTTTTCACATAAAATGTTTCTTTTAACTCAGTAGTAAACAATTAAGCAGACGGGTAAACAAACCTCTTGCTTTATTGTGCAAGTTTGCATATTCTGTATGACAATATATTAACGAATTTTCCATGAATATTATATCTAACCTACAACGTACGCGTCTTATCCAGAGGAGAAGAAAAACTAATGATACAACCGTGTATCTCTCTCTTCAAAAGAACCTATGGAAACAAGTGCCATCAAACTCAACACAACATGATGCTTCCTATAAAGTTATAATTGGTGTTACAGGAGTTTCACTGTTCAGGCACCGAGTTCAATTGCGGCCTGTCGGGGGTAGGGCGATAACAACCTGAGAAGGTACGAACGAATGAGGAGGGAGTGGGGAGGAGGAAGAAAGGGACAGACAGTGTTGAGGGGGAGGTCTCACGTCGCTCCCTTTCTCTCTACATCAAGCTCCCCTGGGAGCCCTTACACAGGTAACCGGTCTGTGAGAGACTTTGTGGGAGCCCTCTTCCCTCCCTCAGCCCCCCCTCCCCCCAGCCCTAAAATATGAAGAACTCTATTGACTAGCTCACTGTTCGTAAGGTAGGAGCCCGATTTGTGGTTTTCCCCCTACCTTCACTAATCTCCTCGTCACAGCACAAAAAGAGTTCGCAAAAATCTACTCTATGAAAATTTAGACTTGATTATAATAATCCAATTCGGTGGCTATTACAAGCCAGCGATCTAACCAAAGCCTTGTTGAACAACAGGTTACAGGCTCTTAACATTCAAACGACTGGATTTCAAAAAAGGAGTAAATTCATTTATAGGCAATGTGACCAACAGCGACAAACCGTCAGCTTAAGCAGTTTTAAGGTTTTCAGCTCATTTTTTTCATGACAGTCCCGAAAGGGACGATGAATAGCAGGCGCTGGGAGCTACCAGAGTATATCTCCTCTCACTGTACTTTTTACGCCGGGCCTCGAACACGGTAATGCAGGACCATTGGCGGCTGCTAAAGACAAAAGAAGAACAAGAAAGGTGGATGCAGAGACTTAACGTACAAATTAGCCTGCGAACGGCAGACGTTTCTTCTCGCTCATCGCCGCTGAGGGACGTTTCGCGAGGAGGAACGTCTGCGACTCAGCGACAGAAATTCCATACTGATGACGTAAATCAATGTTTACATAATAAATCCGGTAGTCATGGGTTTTCAAATGCAAATTTGTTCAATTTTACTTTTCTCCTGGTCGATTTTGGTAAAGTGTTGTGTTCATCTGTGAATCCAGCAAAACTCAAATGCTTCTGCCAGAGAGGACTATATTCCACAATTATTGGCTGTTTTTGTTAGAGATTCATCGCGTTTACATTTGACCTTTGCGGGTTTTTGTCTTTTGTCTGTCATTGGTAAACAACAGCTAAAACGATAAAACTACTCCGTCGACCAATTAGCTCTTCTGACTGGATTCCACAGATTTGACGTCATCAGTATGGAATTTCTGTCGCTGAGTCGCAGACGTTCCTCCTCGCGAAACGTCCCTCAGCGGCGATGGGCGAGCAGAAACGTCACAGGCTAGTACAAAATACAGTGAACATGTAACCTTAATACTGTGACTATCTAGTCACTTTCTGGCAAAGAACTTACTCTTAGACGGCAAAGAATTCTTACCGTTCCTTTGCAGAAATTAGGCGTTTATAAATATCCTTATGCAAAAATAGGCAATCAACAATTAAATTAGACCTTGTAAGAGAGGGACTTGACTGCAAAGTGCAGCCAAGTTAGCTGAAGAGACCGGTAAGAGTAGGAAAAATGCATCGCCTCAAACGACAACGGATATTTTTCAGTCTTTTTTCGATTGAAAACCATGGACCGGTTGATTTCCACTGGAATTTCTGGCTTCTTTATGCAAATAGTAAAAACCCAAGATAGATAGTTTAGAACCTTGAATATTTACTTCCGTCTCAGTGGATTCCAGTCTTCGTGCCTACTTATTTACTTCCGCTAAGGTCCGAATACCTTTTCACAATGCACAAAGGTGTGGCACAGCAGAACCTATCCGATATCATGTGATCCTCGAAAGTGGTTTCGAGATCGGCGCGGCGAGGCGATTCGCAACGGCGATTTTTAACGCAACACAGCATTGCAATATGTATAATGTTGCAACCATTTGAATCAATGTCGCAACAATGTTGCAACGCCGTGTTGCGCTAAAAATCGTCGTTTCGAAACGTCTCGTGTAACATCACCTTACGTCAAAAAAACAATACGTTTAATGAGCAAAACAACAACTTTGTACGTGTAGCGTACTTTTTTTATATTTCTGAGCCGTGTTTGCACGACTACGACGTGAAAATACCAAATTTCGCGTGTTAAGGTGATATTACACGGGGCGATTCGCAACGACGATTTTTAGTGCAACACAACATCACAACATTGTTGCGATATTGTCTCGAATGATTACAACATTGTTCCAACATTGCAACGCTGTGTTGCGCTAAAAATTGTCCTTGCGCCGTGTTTGCACGACTACGACGTGAAAATACCAAATTTCGCGTGTTAAGGTGATATTACACGGGGCGATTCGCAACGACGATTTTTAGTGCAACACAACATCACAACATTGTTGCGATATTGTCTCGAATGATTACAACATTGTTCCAACATTGCAACGCTGTGTTGCGCTAAAAATTGTCCTTGCGAATCGTCTCGTGTAACATCGCCTTTATGTAGAACGTAAAGGTGATGTTACACGGGACGATTCGCAACGGCGATTTTTAGAGCAACACAGCGTTGCAATGTTGGAACAATGTTGTAATCATTCGAAACAATATCGCAACAATGTTGTAACCATTCCAAACAATGTCGCAACGATATTGCAACGCTGTGTTACGCTAAAAGTCGTCGTTGCGAATCGTCTCGTGTAACATCACCTTAAACAAGCAACGACGAAATTTTATTTCTTTTCCTGAACTTGGATATCAGGTCCCTTTGAATTCAACTTCCGGGGGATTCGCCTACATGTGAAAAAATAAGTGGGTTATAACTGCGATAAAGACTGACACTTCCGTCAAGTACAAGCAGAACGCGACATGAAGAATAAAGTTTTGGCCCTTTTTTAGTGCTGGCGCCAAAGAATTTAAAATACAAATTTACGAATCCAACATCGTGGGAAAGTTAGAATTTTTCTGATCCTTTCTTGCGCGTATTTTTGTGTTACCGTCTTTTAAACATGTGGCGTAACGTTGCAAAGATAAACACAAGGAAGTCATTTCCTTGCTTACAATAATAAAACAAACATTTTATTATCTCACGTACCTTGTTTAACCATTCACTTATCCAAATAAATTTCATCGTTCTGAATGGGTGTATGATATGTTCATTGCACAGAATTTCCACCTGTGTGACATAAAAAAATTCTGGTACAGGAAAATCTTCTAATATATAGAGCGTTTTCACTCACGTGGCCAGCATCTATGCAAATTTATTGAAACAAAACAAAGCGTTTGATTAAGAAGAGTTCATCTCACACAGGACTGGCTTGGGACACCAACATAGCCGCCGTTTCATTGTTTTGGGAAACCAATATGGCCGCCGTGATGTCATGTGAAAACACTTTATAGATTTAACCAAGGCAAAAAGCGAAACTCATGTGGGATCTTTTAAGAAATGTCTTTCTGCAGCAATTCAACTTTTGCCATTAGGAAGATGCAAAATGAATTCCCCCTGAAAAAATGGATCTGAGCTTGCAAACAATTGAAAACCATTATCTGGTCAGCGCAGAACTTAAAAAGACACACAACACCTCAATGAGTTGTACACCTAAGACCGCGATACAGTCATGTGACACTGGTCAGGGGATACCTTTTGGTGACAGCTGTCAATTGACCAATATAAAATTTAACACGGATTGTGGACTCCAAGCTAGTAAGTGTGACATTTCACATTCACTAACATGTGGGGGGCGGGGGACGTACATACGAACGATTTTATCACAACCAAATTTCTTGGATGCATAGATAACCAAATATTCTCACTCATGGTGCTCTGCTGCACTATCATTGTTAAAAAGGAGAACAAAGGCTCCTGTATTTAGGAAGTCTGACTACACTGAATATTGTACAATGAGAATAATCTTCAGCACTCCGTGCACTGGAAACTAACCTGTTTTTCACCTGGAATATTGAGTTTCATTCTCAATAACTTCTGGAGTTGGACGACCATCATTCTAGCCGAGCAGCGCAAGTATTTCTTAGTGAGTATCTGCAAACACCGCAAATCAAAATAAATACATGGGAATTGTGCTCCTTCAAGAATATCTTTAGGTTAGGAATACTTGCTTAAATCAGGGCCAAAACCAGTTATAATGACTAACTATGACTGACAAATCACAGCAGATATGGTCAGGGGAAGAAGCAATCATCATAGAAACATGTAGCCTTAGCCTGCAAATAGAGCCCTCTCTCCTTACGCCTCGAAGGCAAGAAGCGAGGAGAGACTGTTATTTGCAGGCTACATGTAGCCTTTGCAAATGCATGGTCTACATGTAGTTTTAATAATTCCTGCAGTTGTTTCAAGCCAATCAAACAACAAAGCAACATGCAAAAAGGGTAGAACAATTATTGTGATATTATTTTTTATCCTTCGTTGAAAACTGCTCTTCTGAGAAATTAGGCATTGGGAAAATATTGTGAATAAATTGTGACCTGTAGAGTAGGTACATTTTCAAGTCTCTCTCATTGTCACCACAGTTGATTTTTGAAAGCAAAGAAAGATTAGAGAGAGTAGAAAGTGCAAATTATCTACAAACTGCGGGTTAGACTTAAGACAAAAGGTCGAAGATGTGGTGGGAGAGACAGAGGGTAGGAAAATATCCCCCGTCCCCTCCATCCCTTTTCTCCAAGTCTTGCGACTTGCATTGCACTACAAACATGAGCTCTCTCTAGTGCTTGCCCCCCCCCCCCCCCCCCTTCCCCGCCAACACCCCAGGAACAAACAAGGGGGCCAAGCGAGATTGATGAATTATTATTGACTAAACATGAAACTACGATGGCTGGACATAATTTTCAGCTTTACAAAAAGAGGACTTTCTCTTGCAGGCCTAACACGGGAACTCCCAACAATCAGAACACAGGATTCACTTTTGGATGAGGCCAGTTACTAAAACCTTTGCACCAACGCATCAAGGTACTTAGTAAGAAAGTTTGGTGTTTCAATTTTTTAAAAAAATTCAATAATGATTTACCCCCACAGTTTCTGTTGTTCTATTTTCTTCTGTGTCATCTTCATTTTCTTCCACCTTGCTGGAAAAAGGAGATTGAGGATAAAATTCACTCTACAGTGTTCTTTTATAAGCTGCAGATCTTAGTTTTAAAAGTGAAAAAGGATGGTGCATTATAGTGACATTCCTAGTGTTTTTCATGGGGTTGTGAGTAACAAAAAGACAGAGACCAGGGGCACCCAATGAAAATATAGTTCAAAACCACTTAAACATAGCACTGTTGAACTTATTTTAGTATTTAAACGGTAGATATAGGCATATTTTTATCCCCTAAAAATGTTTCATCTGTTTGGATTTCCTAGCTGAAAGTCTAGTGATCTGAAAACTATAGGGATCAAAACTTACCTTTTCAAAAATTTCAGCCAGCAAAAAGGCTCCCGAAAATTCTAGGTGACCTTTTTAGGGTAAGAATCCCTTGAAAATGGGCAATTATACCATTTTTTAGATGTTCGAAAATCCTAAGAGAGGTAGGCAAGCAAGAAATTTTACAACAAATATTGCGAAAATTCTAGATCTCAAATCATCTTCCGAACAGATATTTTCCAAAAATTGCCATTGGGTGCCCCTGAGAGACTTGGGAAGGAAGACATCTGACATTTTAAGACTTGCTCCATATATTGGAGAATCACAATGACCTTTCTTCATATCTTTCAACACAAAGTGACACTTGTTCATCATCTCTGTACATGTTTCTGTTTTCAGAGTAGTCTCTCTTGACTACGTCCTCCACTGGCGGTTTTTCATTCTCATTTTCATCTGTAAGACACAAAATATATGAAAGATCAGATAGACTAAAAGATGGAACAATAGAGCTACCGTGTGGCACAAAATTTTTGCGGGAATTTATGTTTGCAGATCAGCGATTTTTCGTGTTTTTCTTGCTTTTTTTTGCAATTTGCAGAAAGTCCTGGACAAACCATTGATAATGTTTTTGATTTTATTGAGTACCTGCAACCTGTAAACGAATGACTTTTCTTTGCCAATCGATTACAAACACAGGTTTACACAATTTCTTACATGTACAGCTGTATTCTTGTGTAGAGAATTTAAGTTAGAGAATATTTGCTCTGGAGTAATATTAATTTTTGCGGAAAAATGTTTGCATGAAACTTTTTTTGCAGCAACTTATTTTTGCTGATCACTGAAAAAATTGCAAAAATCATAAAATTTAGAATCTGCAAAAATTTTGTGCCACACAGTTTGGCAAGGTTATTATGGATACCAAAAAGATCACCTATAAAATTAATATTGGAATTTGCATTAATGTTCTAAATCACTACGAGTCACTACAAACATAAATTAGAAAAATTGCAAATATATACTAAGGCAAAGCAGATCCAGGATGAATCGAAAGAACAAAGCAAAAGACTGGAGCTGACTTTGGCTTAAGCAAGAGGGTCGTACAGGGGCATTTTCAGGATATGTGATTGGCCGTTTTTATTGCTCGTGAATCATGAATTCAATAAATTATTCTTTGTGTTCCGTGACCAAGAGGTTGAGAGTGTCTCGAGAAAAAACCCAAATTAATAATCGATATTCACGATTTCATTACTTATTTTTCTTGTGATTGTTAGTTTCGAGACCTCTGGGAGATGAATAAAGACTTAAAAAGCATGATGAAACTTTCCACCTTTCTTTCCCTTTTTGCCACTTTCAAGCTGTTTTGTCAGAAACTTTTTTGCCACAATTTTCTTTGCATAAGAAAACAGTACTTTCCATGCTCTGATTATCATGACTTGAATTGAAATGAAATTTTGGTGCCCATGATTTCTGATTAGTTATTTTTTGGTCTGTCACCCGTGCCAGAGACCCCTCTTTATGAACCTCATGTAACTTATTAGGGATCAAATTGCTTAATGTATGAGATATAAGATTTATTAGAGATTATAGAAAGTCAGTCTATGTTAATTAGAACTTGTTTTGGCATTCAAGTAACAAAACCAATATAATAATAATGTGATTATTACTATCATGGATAGAGTGGCTAGTTTCAAAACAATGTGCTGCTTTGTGTTGATGGTTTGTTCTATCCAATGATCAGCTGAATAAAAATAGGCCACCACAAATCTACCAGTAAATCTAAAACTGATAATGACTTTTTGGCAACATTCTCATTCACCAGTAAACAAACTATGACCCCTACGTAATTTAGCAAAAAGTATTTATTACCTGGACGCTTTATTACTGCCATTCCTCTGGACTCATAAAATTCTCTCCTTCTTGCCTCTTCGGCTATTTAACAAATGGAAATGTACAGTTTGTGTGAAAAATTAATTGACAGAAGTTTGAGGTAGTTAAAATCTTGATCCAACATATCTTTTTTTAAGGTCGGAACAAACTAGGCAACAAGTTACGGCAACAAATCAGTCTTGTGTACAAGTGAGGAACAAGTTGTGCGACATGTCACAAGGATAAATCGCATTCTAAAATTGACACTACAACAGAATTTTCTTGCCACAAAAAGTCATACAAATTCAATCTGATTTGATTTTGTTCAAGTTGTTGTAGTGACAATTGTTTGCAGAGTGATGCCACTACAAGTTGCGGCAACGTATCACCTTGTGTATTCTGACCTTCAACACTTTTTTTCCTTGACTAGACCAGAGATGTGTTATAACATTTATTGTGAATATTTGAGCACCTAATACCTTCAGTGATCCCAGGAACCAGTTTGGCCACAATGTCTTGCATTGTTCTGTCTAACCTAAAAAATTTCAGACATCTATTTAATAAACCAACATGATGTTGCTTGCCCAGAATGCCTTTAGGTCCAGTAAATGTTTCCAATACAAATTCTTATTCAAATCCTGAACATCTGTGTCATTCATCTCATTACTGGATTTCTGACTAAATTTATCATGGACTTCCCATTTGTGGTGCTGTTTAAGCATCTGGCCTAGATATACTGCTATTCTGCTATCAAGATGCAAACCTCTAGGGTAAAGGAGTGTGCAGAAGTTTTTATAACAACCCTAAACCGATGACACATCACTACCCAGATCTGGGTAGTGCTTTTGATTAGCTAAAGCAAATTTCTCAATTAGCACCACCAATCAGAAGCACTACCCAGATCTGGGTAGTGCTTCTGATTGGCTGGGGCAAATTTCCCTGTTAGTACAACCAATCAGAGGCACTAGCTAGACCTAGGTAGTGACAAAACAACAGTATGGAATCTCTGCGTTCATTCCTCTGACGGTATTTTTCTGGGAAACCAGGGACAGCATTGCAAAATGTTGGTTTTTTCTCAGGCTACTTAAAATATCCTGTTATTTTATGATTTACCTGATATTAAAGAGAGGCTGAGTCTCATGTATCTGAAGATTGCACATTGGACAATTTTTGCTGGTTTGGAAGTACTTCACAATACAGCTTTTACAAACTGGAATAAAGAAACAATCGAGTTCAATCTTCAAGAAATACGCTGTGCCCTTAAATTCATTACTTTCAAAGAGAGTTTTAAATTCAAACAGATCTTCTTTTCTTTTGTAGCTGTTAACATGATCCTGGATGAACTCAAAGCAGTGCCCTTCTTAATTTGATATTTCTTCTTTTTAATGCAGTATTAATTCAAGGATAACTCTCAATCGCAGAGAAACATCATCAAAGACACAACAATGTCTTTCATAATTAAAATACAAAATGTTCTCCTCCAGAAAAGAAAGAAGGAAAGAAAGAAGGACAAAAGCAACATCAACAAAGCTGGCTTCAGTTGTTCAAATGTTGGATAATGCTATCCACCGGATAAATCACTATCCAGCGGATAAGTATTAGGGAAACCGATTGCATTATCCACTGGATAGATTTTTATCTGGTGGATAGCGCTATCCAACATTTGAACAACAGGGTCCAGGGCCTGGTTCCTGAAAGGCCAATTAGCACTAACCCAGGATTAAAACTTTGTTCTACTTTGTGCATTTACATTCCTGTGCATTGCTTAGAGTAACGCTTGGTGTTATCATAACTGTATCTCAGAGTAAAGACTCAATAGTATTTTGTAAGCTTGAGTTAAATGTTATAGACAAGAAAGCCATGCTTAAAATTTGGTTTAATCTTGGGTTAAATTCAACCATCTTTCGAGGAACCGGGCACAGAAGATTAAGTGCCCAGTTAGGTTTGGTATCCAGGGTTCATACAAAACATTGCAACCATTTTTCAAGGACTTTTCAAGGACTTTTCAAGGACCACATTAGATTTTCGAGGACAACCTACTAGGAATATAATTTACCAGATTGTACAAAAATGCATATTCACAGTCTTATTCTAATAAGACCTTAAGGCTTTAACTGTTTGCTTCACCAAATTCTCTACATTTTTCAGTTCACTTGTCTTAAACTGATAGTTAATTATTGCATAAAACATGGGGCACTTTATGTAAATGACCTTTACATTCACTGAGCTACGATTTATATTCTGTCTTGGACAACCAAAAAGCATCAAAAAATTCTTTCCAGGCTACTACATTCAAAGTTGAAGAAAATTCAAGCTCTTTTCAAGGACCTGCACAGAAATTTAAGGACTTTTCAAGGAAAAATGGAATTCAAGGACTTTTCAAGGACTTCCCCTAAAATTCAAGGACTTTTCAAGACTGTGCGAACCCTGGGTATCCCTTATAGGTAAACAACCCTTCTTTGCTTTATACTTGGAATTATATTCAGACAAGCTACTCTTTCCATTGACAGTGCCTACCGTATTTATTCGATTATACGCTATGGCGTATATTAAATTTTTAGCGTTTCCAATATGGCATTTATTCAAGGGCAGCGTCTATTTCGAAATCACATTTTTCAAATCACTGACAACAGTTATTGTAAATCATTTGTGAATATTATATAATTTAAAGGTTCCAATGTCTCCCTTATTTTGCTGAGATAGAATCATAAATGTCTGGATGGTGTAAAGTACCAAGTTGTACAGAGGTTTTTCTTATTATCCTCAAGTAAATGCTGCATTCTTCTGATTAGGTGCAGCATTTATTCGAGGGCAGTGTTTATTGGTAATTTTGCTTCCATCTGCGGCATTTGATCAAGGGTGGCGTTTGTTCGAGGGCAGCGTTTATTTGAGGGTGGCATTTAATCGAATAAATATGGTATTGGTTTGTGTTTCATTAATTGTGACATCAAAGGTTTTCTAGTACAATTAGATGACAGGTATTCCAGAGAAGAATAACAACATTGTGGGATGCAAATTTTTGCCACAATAAATATGCATCATTATTACCCAAGAGTGAGTTCAAGATAGCTGGATATTGATTGTTGTATTTTTAAGGACTAAAACAAAGTCAAGGCCTCTAAATCGCAAAAAAGAAAGGGCCAATATCCAGCAGCCATCTTGAATGAAGAAGCCTTGTCAATAATGGATTTATTGTATGGCCAAAAAGATAACTTTTTATTGCGAGGCCAAAGTGGGAAATCCCGAGCGGGCAAAATGAGCCTTGCCCACTTCGGTATCAAATTAGAACAAGGATTTGCTTCATCTTGCCCACTTGCAGATTCAGCCATATAATAATTCCAGGTATAAGAAAAAGTTAATTTTTAGAGCAGATGCCTACATGTGTGGAGACATTCTGTGATGGTTGTGGCATCAACAAAGTAACCTGCACACAGACTGCAGACAACATGAGGATTTAAATCACGGATTTTTATGACAACCTGCAAAAGAAGATAAAATGTGCATAGTCAATAAGACAGACAGCATGAAGAACATTGGCTTGCCTATCATTTCCCGAAAAAATCATGCATGCAAAACACAAGTCATCCACTTAACAATCCGCAACAACTTTTCCCTTCACATGACAGTCGCATGCCTGTCAAGTGACATATAAAATGAAATGTTGACTGACACTGAGCTGACTAATGTCAACTGACATATCAACCAAGACTTGGTCAACATGTCAACGAATAGTCCGCCAATATAATAAAGAGATGTTGACTGAGTATCAATTGATGGTGTAACCAATACTCATCAGAGGCGTAAATTGGTCAGTGCAGTCTACTCTGAGAGTCCACTTTATACAGACACCCAGACAACATGGACACTATGAGCATGTCCGTTGGCTGTCCTTCCCAACTAGGTTTTACTGTAATTAGAAAGAAATAGTACAGGGCAAATACAGAAAACTACACAAATGGAGCTGCAACCAAGTGGAGACATCGTCATACATATCACCTGACAGTCTTGCAGCATCAAACTTTTTGCAAGTTTCCTTGACAACAGGAGACCTCCTTAAATATTTGGTCATTTATTTGTGAGGTTCTAAGTTTCTTGCTTATTTCGAGCTCAATCTATCAATTTAAAATGTTCATACTTGGAAATAAGATAACCTTTAGCTGCGGCCTTCTTCAAATTCTATTGATATGACCGAATTCACAGAAATTCGTCGCCTTCATTTTGACTACGACTTCCGCATCGTGTCTTAGTCACCTCGAAGAAGCCGTGAGAGAGAAAAGCTGATTGACAGCTCGAGCCTTAAAGTGAAATACTCCGTCCTCATCGTATAGTTAACGTTAATATTGCTTTCTCTTAATATTACATAAATTAATCGATTTTACCTCCTTAGAGTCCATTCTCTTTGGTTTAGTCTACAAGAACGTCGCTCCGCAATGTTTCCGCCATTTTCCAATGACGTCGTCTCCAGGTTCTAAGCGTCCAAAATCAGTTGGGCCCCACTGTCTATGGCCTGGAACGATCACGTTTTTCAAAACAAAACTGCAAAGTTTCCTAAAGTTTGTTTGTTTGTCTCTGTTTTGTTTTCATTTTTGTTGGTTTGCTGGTTTGTTTGTTGGTTTTTTTTTACCATAAAAAGAAAATCAGTATGTGTAATCAAATGGTGACGGGTGAAATTAGGGAATAATTTCACGCGCGTTTTGTCCAAATCCCGTAATTTCCCGAGCCTTTAGGCGAGGGAAATTATTATAATAGGATTTGGACAAAACGCATGTAAAATTATTCCCTAATTTCACGAGTATACCATTTGATTACCTATTAATATCATAGGTGACGAATTACATTAGCAATCTTGGATTTTTGACATGTTTATCCTGGATCGTATCGATCGAGAACTTCACTCTCTCAAGTGTTTAAACCTTAAATTTGGCTCATAAAGTTCAAAATTTTTCAGACTTTTTCGGCAAAATACCTGTTAGAATCCTTCTTGATGTTCTCTTGTGTGTTCAGGTTTTCTAAAGCGTCCTTTTGTGCCCTGACATCTTCATTCACGGCATTTTAAAACTTCGTCGCCATCTTGACACTGAGACATACGGAAGGGTTGCCATAGCAATTTTGTAATTTCACATGTGAAATTACAAATTAACGCTGAAATTTTTTCGCCAAAATCAAGGAGTAATTCGTCACCTATGATATTAAACTAGTAATTGTGTCAATAACAAAATGCTTGAATCTGATTGGTTCAGCCGATTTTGCTATTGTGACTCCAAAAGTGTCCAATTTGACCTGTCCGATTACCAGGAGCTCGTAATCGGACAGGTCAAATCCGGCAGTTAAAGAACCAATGAAAGTCAAGTAGCAAATGCCACTAGCCAATGAAATTTAACTACATAGCCCATGATAACCAATAAAAGCCTATGAAAAAATAGTGACCAGGTAAGCTGTCCAGCTTCAACTGGAAAAGAAAAATGGATGAAACTCTGGTATAGTGACTTTTATTCAGATATTTTTTATTTAGGCTTTGCACTTGCACCTTGCAGGCTTTGACAGCTTGTTAATTTTAAAAAAGTACATCATGTGGTCGGGCTTCCAACTTCCGACAATTTTATACAAAGTTGCAAGCGATCATGTTTTTGCTTTGGAATTAGCCTTTTCCAGGCGTTCAGATCGTGGGGACGGCGCAAAGCGATGAAGCGCCTGGAACAGGCTACTTTGGAATCTTTCTCTTTCATTAATAAATATTCCCAACCTCGTTCCCAGGGCGCTTTTTCCTGCAGCAGCTTAGGGAAGGGACGGACCATTAGAAAAGTTGTTGGGGGGGAGGGAAATTTTCGAGCCGCAGGAATTTTTTATCAAATTCCTTGTGTGAATTTTTTTTAGGCCATAGCATGAATATTTTTTTAGGGATTATTGGCGTGCATGAATTTTTTCATTTAATTTTCCCTTGCGCGAATATATTTTTTTTGTACTTCGTCCGCTCGCCCCCCCATATGTTTTCTAATCACTCCCTAAATATTCCAGGACTGACATTCTCGCATTTTGTTATTTAGGGACTCGTAATTCAAATCGGCTTTGCGCAATGCGCTCGGCCGACTTGAAATTACTCGACCGGTTATTCCCTGAATTGTACTCCACCAGAAACTCATAACCCCTTATGGGTTTCTGACTCCACTTAGTCACGTTTTTTGCTCACTCACGTTTTTCGCTTACGACTATCGGGCGCTACTAGCACACGACATGACTTCTCGACATATCATGTCGCGTAAATTAGACACACGACATTCGTACGACACACGTGGATGTCGTAAGTGAAAACTGTGCGCACGCGCGTGTGGATGGTCGAAAGTCATGACGTATGCTAGTCGCGCACGATAGACGTGAGCGAAAATCGTACTAAATGTCGTCTCCAGCCTAGGTCTGACATGTCTAAAGGAATTGTGTTTTAAAATCGAACAGAGAAACCGTCCTCGCGTTTATGCAAATCGAACAGGTAGATCGTTTCTTCCTTACTTTCTTTCCTTTTTATTTTTATTGCTGTTAATTTTCTTCAAGTTCGCGCAAAATACCAGCTGTTGTTGACTATTATGTTGCACTGATGCCTTCTTATAGAAAATTCGATATTTTTTCCAACGCAACTGCTCAGTATTTTAACCCGTTAAGGAAGGGTAATAGACATTGGTCGGAATATTTTAACCTGCATCACCAAGTAACGATGTATAGGTGAGGCGGTTTTGCAGTACTCATTAGGCGATTAAGGTGACAGGCAGGTGACGGTATTTGAAGGTATAATCAATCTGTCAGTACCATGAAATACTCAAAGGAGCTCCTCACAATTGGTTCAGTTACGTCTTCTCTGCGTTCCAATTCAGATCGAACTGAAATTTGGAATTGTTGTGTTTTGAGGGATGGAGGAAACCGGACAAAGAGCGCCAAAAAAACTTCCCAGTTCACGGAAGAAAACCCACAACATAGAGATATTGGTGTGAAGGCAGGGCTTCCTCCATTGCGCCACTCTCCTATGAAGAGCCAATAGCATCTGGGGGGACTGAATGTCAGTAGAATGAAAAGCATAACCGAGTCGGCCTCGTCTTGGTTTATGCTAGCTATGGCCTTAGTTGTTGGCCGTGATCTACGCTTTTGAAGTGCCCTGCAGGTTCTAGTTTGTTACATTAATTAATATTGCAGTGCCAAACTAATATGCAATGCAAACAGGGGCGGATTTTTCGAAGCGCGAGTTAAAGAAGTAAATTACCGCTACTAATGTGGCATAACTATAACGTATTCTAGTTTGCTTTTGGCCGTCCATGTTTATTCACTGAGAATCAACTTGCATATGAGCACCCCTGAGAACCTTCTCTGATCTGAAGACCAATGAATTTTTTAGTTAGCCTAATGCATAATTTAATAGGAAAAGTTAAAACAAACCATAAATTAAACCGGCACAAGCGAGAGACAAGTTGTTATACCCTAACTCTAACAGATGATACAGCATTCTTTTTGCACTTGGCGCCAATGAACCGCAATCATCAGGTACAGTTGATTTTAATTTTTCTCAGTTGCTCAAATATATATAAAACAGACGGGTTTAAAAGAATGTAGACATTGAGGCTATCCTAAAAGCTGGCATTTTTGATGATTCTGGTAATGATTGAAGACAATATTTTAACAGTCACTGCAAGCTTCGGGAAATCACTTATCAGTCTAATGAATTCGGATGGAAACAAAGTCCTCGCATTTCAGGACCCACCCGTGAGTCCCCCAAAACGCTCAGAAATGCGGATAGCTTGAATCGTCCTGGACTTGCCACAAGTCGTCCTCAGATAACTGAGTTTACCGCAGGAAAGCCACCTTTCTCAAAAGTCTAGAATCGTCCGCTCAAAAACAAAATGATCCTGTTAGAGATGACCATTGCAGTCTCTGGATTTAATTCAGAAGAGGTATGACTGAAAAGCATTCGACTGATCGGGAAAAAAGTTCTTACATTGGAAAAATTTAATGCGGCTTGTGACTTTAAATTGGAGAAGAATATCGTATTTAAAAATGGCGGGCAACAATGAATCAAAAGTTCGTAAAATGAAACGTTCTTTCTTTCTTTCGAATTCTATCTACATACGCGGACGAAACTTCAAACAGAGTCTGGAAGTGTATTTGCGGGATCCGGGATTTGACTGAAATACGGTGCGGGCGGGAAAACGCAAAATATTTTGACTGGAAACGGGATTCTGCTGCTCCCCTGGGAGCGCAAGTTACCAACATTTGCGTACAGGAGGCGGGATTTTTTGCCTATCTGTCGGGAGTTCGGGAAGATATAAGTTCTATAGCTGCAAATGCGAGGTCAAACAGGCTAGCGTTCAGTAGTGTCTCCTATGAAAGCAAACTACTGTGAAACCTGTATTAAGCGGACACCCTCGGGGAATGCTGTAGTATCCGCTTAATACAGGGTGTCCGCCTAATACAGGTTTCGATACTGTAACGTCATATGACGTGTCAGTATAGAGTGACCTAGGTAATGATTATAAACTTGAAACTGTCAAGTAATCAACAGACGAGCACACAGACCGGATGCCAGGAAAGAGCACGTGGTGCAAGCTAGACTGCTTGTAGTCCGCCTTTTCTCTTAAAATCTGTCTAGTTCTCAGCCAGCGCGACTGAAAACCACGACCTTATGATACAATAAGGGATTACGGGACCAGACGAGAAAGATGGCCTTCTTGGGTTTCTCTTGCAGTAACTTTGCAAAGAAAAATAAGAGACTGTTCGCAGTCTAGGTGCAAGCATATCAGTTTTAATTGCAAGCAAGCTCTCCATTTGGGGAAGTTGCGCGAAGAAACTATTCGAACAGTTAAACTTAAGATATGGAAAAGCGTACTGTGTTCCCAGCTCTGCTCCCTTGAGTAAGGCGGTCACATAGATTTGGTGACGTTCCTTCTTGCGGCCTCAGACGAGTCTTCTAGTGCCACAATAGTCTGAGTGTTCTAGGCGTTCAGTTAGTACGGAGGGCGTAAAGTAAAGAGAGGAAGCAAAAACAGGGGTGGGGGTTGTGGGGGAGAGGGAGAAAAGACTCTCCACTCTATTTCTTTCTTAAATTGGCCTTAAAACACGTGTTCATTGAAAACAATAATCTTGAGGGTCAATCTGCATCTTACAATCATGATTAACTTTTGCAGCAATTAGGTTTTTTGTAACGAATGTATTTTTTTAAAAAAAAGACGGGAAAGCGATGAAAAACAGTGCTGGATGCGGGATTTTCGTGAAAAATGAGAGGGAATGAGGGATAAGGAGCCCTCCCCTCCCCCCCCTCCCCAACCCCTCGAAAACTCGAACTCGGATAACTCGAATTCCCCTCGAACTAAATTTCCTTTCCTTTGATCGAAATTTCACTGAAATTTAATTACCCCGCTAACTCGAACTGTTTTTCGTTTCCCTTCATAGCAGGAGCCCATCAAAATTTGATGGGCTCCTGTTCATAGTTAATTGGAGTTACCGGGGTTCTACTGTAATACAGGGCCAACGAGGCTTTCCCTGCTTCCTATAAAAAATCATGACTAGGATACATGCACAGTTTAATCAGGTTGTGCGTTAAGTGATGGTAAAATAGATTTCAACTTGAAAGTCGAGAGGGTGGGGGAAATTGTCGATATTTTGGGACTCCTGAACGACTACAAGCCTGTTTCGGAAGTTGTCGGTAAACATCGGTAAACCTTCGTCTCCGTCCGAAACATGAAAGTGACGTCACTGTCCAAATTCGAAGATGGAAGATCAACGGGACTGAAGATTTTTGTTGCAAAACCGCAGACGGAAGGTGGACAATATCAAAGAGGAAGGGAGGAAGGAAACCGCGCAAAATTAAGTAAACATAGACCGGTTACCCTCAAAAAAGACTGTTGCATGACCTTGTATGTTCAGTTCGATGAAACTAGATTAGTCATCTAGAAATCACATGTTTTGTAATGTATTTACTTTTTTCAGCAATTTGCTGAGTGGTCAGTTTACATCATGTTGACTGTGGGTCGAGTTACTAATCCTTTCAAGCCCTTTTCCTATTATGTCTGGAATTCCGTTGATGCCTTCCAGTGGATTCGTTAGTTTCAATATGCAAGGCGTGCAATTGTTTGTCAACCAATAACGGAGCGGTAAACATCGTTGCTAAAAAACGTGCGTCTTCATCATAGTATAAAACTGGAGCATGACTTTTCATGATGGATCTCTTGGAAGACAGCTTCTCACTCCTTAAAAATACCGGTGCAAGGTCTTCAATGGCGTTGGGAGATGAATCTTTTCGTGAAAATGTCCAAGAACTGCTTAAACTGCTTTCTGCGATCAGGAGACATTCTACCGAATCTCAGGTCGAGGAATACATGAGTTTGCTTGCTGACAGCTTCGACGATGAGGTTGATGTCGTTGTGGAGGCGTTGGAAACGGGAGAGGCTCTGGCTACAGTTCTCTCAGCAATGAAGCTTCATTTCCGGAATTTCAAAATTCAGCTGCATGGCTGCTATGTCCTGTTACGACTTGTGGAGCTAAGCCCGAGAATAAAGGGTGAATTTCAAGGCAAACCTGACGACTTAAAGTTTCTTCTGCAAATTATGTCAAAGTACGCTGATAAGACTTGTCAAGTGGTTGGCTGTAAAATTATTTCCAATTTGTGCACTTCTACAAGGACAAGACGAGATGCTGTTTCAAATGGAGCAGTAGGTTCTGTGCTGTATGCTATCAGCCAGTTTGGCGAAGAGGAAGAATTTTACATTCCAGCGTTTGAAGCGTTAACTTGTCTCCTTGCAGACGACCTGAAAGTTAAGGAGAACTTCATGAACATGGATGTCCAAAATTCACGGAAAAAGGCTTATCGTATGTTAGTAGATATCATGGAAAAGTATACAAATTCAGGTAAGCTTTTTTTAATTTTAAAAAAGTTCCCCTTTTTCTCGGAAAGGTAAAAGATGGAATATAAATTTAGAAGCAGGAAATACTATACAAGTTAACATCATTTAAGTCCAGAATGGTCTCCATAGCTTGACCTGAGTAAAGAGATCTTTAAAGGAAGAGGAATGGGCTTCCTTCCTTTTTAAGGTTATCTTTGGTTTACTTTATACTGAATGTACTCTATGTTGTTTTCCCTCCAGCCGTCAAAAGCCTTTTGAATTAATCATGGGGTATAATTGATTATCTAAACAATAAACATTTAAGCTAAATGTTTGCACAGCCTCACAAATGAACACGCCCCAGTTGTTCAAAAGGTGAATAACGCTATCCACTGGATAACGATATACGCAGGGTCCTAGTGGATTTCGCTCTCCACCATTTGAACAACTGGGTGGGTGTTGGGAAAATTCGAGACACTTCATTTGGGATTTGCATAAGTTTCGAGAGAGTTCCCAACCCGTTGAGTGTTTATATGAGGGTATCAAACACAGAGAAAAGAAGCAGTCCATTGTTTTCATGAATAATTTAACGAATTGACAAAGTGGAGCACTACTCTACATTACGGGCACTGATGAAAGGAAAATACTTACTAGTTGCGAATGTTGTACATGGTGCAGGTCAAAATATTATATTCTAGGTTGATTCGCAATCTCCTTTGTCTCCTAGCCCTACAGGAAATTGAGAATCAGCCTGAGGATTTGACCTGTGACATGTATGCATAATCAGTTCTTGTTACACAGAAAGATGTCATCAAAATACAGATTTTTGTTGCTCTCAGTGTATGTTGCGAATTTTCAATTTATTGGGCCATCTTGTTAACTTTCCATTTTTTTCAAATCAAGCTTAGATATGTTAGGTTATGATATGACCCTAACCCTAACCCTGGTTTACTTTTGCCTGTTTGGTGCTGGTATATGCCACTAGCTCTTTTTGGGAATCTAATCAAATAGATTGAATGTAATTAGATTAATGAAAGTGGTATTAACAACTTGCTCCAGTCTGTCCGTCCTGAAACTTTCATGATTACATGGATGATGAGTTATATATTTATTCTTTTTAATGATCTCTTAATCTTTTTTCTTTATAACTATTTTCCCTCCACTTCTGCCGCTTTTACTCTTGTAGGCTGTAAGAAAGGGGGTGCTTAATGGAAATTAATATTTGCATTAAAGAAATACATGTTACTGACCAAGCATGAAGTTAAGGTGGCTGAGTATTGGCCATGCAAGGTCTTTTTATATTTTTAGAGACCGAGTCAAAAAGAAAGAGGCCAGTGTCCAGCTATCTTAACGGCACTATTGTGGTCTCTAAAAGGTTTATTATATGGCCAAAAGATTGCAAAATATGACGGAACAAAGTAGGCAATTAGTAGCAGGCAAGATAAGGCCATCTGCTTCATCTTGTCCACCTTTAATGTAACTATTCCTTGCTTATTATGATTTGTCTTTTTGGTTAAAGGAGAAATCCAAGAGCAAGGAATTCAGCTGATGTGTGTTCTTGCAGCTTCAATAGCAAACTGTCGCATCATTGTAAAGGGGAGAACCTTTATTGTGGCTTTAGAAGCTATGAAGAAGCATAAAGAATTCCTTGGTGTACAGGCTGCAGGCTGCCATCTTGTGAGGCTTTTAGCTGCTCTAGAGCCTCACAGAGAGATTCTTGTTCAACAGAATATTGTTCTTCATATCCTGCGGGCCTTACGTCAGTTTAAAGACAGTATTGATGTTCAGATTAATGGTTTTGCTGCTTTAGTTCAGCTAACAGAAGCACTAGCAGACAAGGTGCATGACAGTAAGTAACTTATTGTAACTTTCCAGTTGTTCCTCCCGGGTGAGGGTTTTTGTGTTATTTGTTTTTGCTTGTATTCAACTGCAGGGCTTCAAAGAAGTGTAAAGGCATATAGAAAACAAGAATGCTCTTAGTAGCATTGAGTCATTGAGTCTTGCTTGCTTGGAGCCTGGAGAGATGGGGGCGGGGGGTACTTTAGGAATTTTTGGGTTGGGATGTGCCGGTTGGACTCTGGAACCCTTAGCCTTCACCAGAGCTAGTTCAGCTGAATTTTGCTACCCATACTAGACTAAATTCCCCAAATCCCCCTATCCTAGAGTAACAGCATTTAGGCTGTGTTGCGTAGATTTAAACTTACCAATTTAATGTTTTGATATTTTTGAATGGCAATTCCCGGTTTCTCTAGTCTAGACTAAAATCTTTAACCAACTGATTACTTGCTTGGTAAATGATACCCTATTCTAGTCTCAAACTCTCTGATTTATATACCCTATCCCAGACTAAACTGCTTGAAAACCATACCCTTCACAGCGGCACATACCTATATAGCCCATATATGGCATTACCACCCCGGGGCTTGGAGATAATTTTCTTGTCAGCTGGTTATGCTACTTTTTGGATGGGAATCTCTAAACAGCCTAGAGGTATCAATGGATCAACTGGATATTCTGGTCTTTACAATTTGTGGTGATATATTCGCTGAATGCGTATTAGCTTTGTGGCATTTATTTCAGTTACGAGGATCAATGCCTCTGTCTTCTAAATGCCCCCTATCTACTAAACATCCCTGCTTGGGCTCCTAAAATGAAATAAATGGGCAGGACATCTATTAGATCATTTATGGTATTTAGTAAGCAGTATTTGTTTCCTCAAGGAATACAGAACTACAGCTGGGCACAGGAAGTGTTCACTGCCATGACAAGGCATTGTGACAAAACAGAAGTTCTTCGCGTGGCATGTCAGGCACTGAAAGAACTGATTAATGTCTACGTGGAGGTGCTTGACAGGGTCGGCGATGAACCTGATGATGACACTATTCCTCTGCATCGCTGCTGTATGGCTGCACTAATGATGCACTTGGATCACCCAGAGCTGTGCCAGGATACCTGCCAAGTCTTGGCATCCATTGTCAATTGTTCTAGCTCTCTACGTGAGGTATTGACAAATTCAAATTATTCAGTAGTCTAGCCTCAACTTTTTTCAAAATTGACTGTGGCAACGTGAAATAGTATTATAAAATGTTTGCCAGACAGTAGATACTGGTCACCAGAACAAAGAAAAAAGAGAGGTTTTATGTATATTTCATAAGTAGTAGAACAAAATTATCAACATGGCTGTCCAACTAATGCAATCAAAGAAAATTGTAAAGAAAATGGAGCATATAATTATGATATCCCATGCTCTCACGGTAACTAAAGAAAGACCATAAACACTAAGTAATAAAAACATTACAGCTTGGCACATTTATATCACTGAACACACATCACCAAATTGGCAACTTTCACTCCAATTTTAGTAACCAAATTTTTTTTTCTACTTACCCTGGAAGCTAAAACAGTGGCAGCTTTAGAGTGTTGTTGTTGTCCTCCACATTAGTCATTGTGGAATTATAAATAGGCCTTTTGCAATAGTTGGTCACTTGAGCAACTTTCCGTAAACACAAAAAGTTTTTTTCTAAAAAATGATTTTTGCAGAAACTGACAGAGCATATAAAAGTAGCTAACATGTAAGTTTTCAGCTGTATATCAACAAAATAGTGATTCCAATGGCTGCTGAAAATTAAAAGGATTTGTGTGTGTTAAACAGCTCTTGGCACCCAGTTAATCCACTTGTATAATGGAATCTTGATAAAATAAAACTCTGTATAATTGACAGTATTTCAAACTATTTTTTATCCCAGTAATAGTAAAATATGTGGAAAAGAACCCCGTATAATGATACTGTGATACAGAAAAAGGCATTTTGCAAGACTCTAGGCCTTTCATTACTTTGAGTTTCCACCATGGTACAAAAAAGTCCTCTTGAATTGAGAACAAACGGTTTACTTGATGGTTCTATGTACTAAAATAGTGTTCAAAAGTCAGTAGATATCATATTGTCTCTTTTATGCTTTTAGTCATTGATTTCCAAAGGACTGCATTTTCATGTTATTCGTGCAATGAAATTTCATAAAGACGAGGCAGAGGTTCAGCAATGGGGCTGCAAAGTGCTGCTTGGATTGTCTCTTTCTGGCAGTGGTCATAAGGAACTTATGATTCACGTTGGAGTATTATCTCTGGTCTTCGACTGCACTCAAAGGTACAAATAACATTGATTATCAATAACTTGAAGCAAACAAAGATTAAGGAGATGCGTAGGAAGCAAGACTGAAGTGCAAAATGAAATTCAGGGTAGAATGGTTTCTACCTTGCTCTATTTTCAATTTCATTTTTCCCCTAACCCTAATTATTCATGATTCTGAAGGATGAAGAGACAAAAGAAATTGAAAATCAAACTACATGTTGGTTGAAACCATTTTATTCTGAATTTCATTTTGAACCGCAACATCCATGATATAATCTCATTCGTCCAGTGGCTTACTCCTTAAGGGAAAATGATGTATTTCTACTGATTTCTTTTGAGTATGTAAGACCTGAAATAGAATCAACCTGGGTAAGGTAAGGTAAGCATAACATCTTTGTTGATTGGTTATTTTTAAAAGGAATAAATACGGGCGTGTTACCTGTTTGTAACCTGTTTGGTTGCCGTGCATTTCACCTGTTCAACAGAAAGCTGTAAGTGTGTGTTTTTACGTGAGAGATCGCAGCACTAATTTCTTTGGAGTAAGTAAGAACTGAAATGGAATCAACTTGGTAAGGTACGCTTAACATCTGTGTTGAGTGGAATCTTTTTTTTTTTTGTAAATAAAAACCATCAAGTCAATCAAAATATCTCTTTATTTGAGATTAATCTAAATATTCAAGAAGCTAACTATCCTTGGAAGGAGCTAGAGACTGCATTTTTACTGATAGTATTGTAAGTTACAGTCAAAACATGAATTTTTAAACTTTCAGTTTGAAACACAGGGATGTTTAGTTTATATTTTCTCCCTGAAAGGTTTGAAGATAAAATCCATGTACAAGAGGCAGCTATAGCACTGATTGCTTGTTTGGCAACAGACATTGAACTTGTCTGGCATCAGTGCGCAGTTGAAGGAATCCATGACGTGATTTTGAAGGCCATGAGCACCTTTCCAGATGAGAAATCGTTGTCTGAGATCTCATTGGAGGCTTTGGGTATGTCAATTACTTGTCCACTTATGACTGGCCTAGCCTAAAAAAACAGCACTGACATTTGGGGACACCATAGTTGGTTTCCCTACGAAATGACACCTTATGTGGAGAAATTCCATACTGATCACAGGTCACCACGCAGATTTGGGTAGTCCTTCTGATTGGTTGAAGCAAATTTTAAACCAATCAGAAGCACTACCCATTTCTGGGTTGTGACATGTCATCAGTATAATTATATATATAGAATTTAGGTTTCTCAGACATCATTTCATGGAGAAACCAGTGGTGACATCATAAAATGATCAGAGGGATCAATTTCAAAGTTTGGTGTGCAAGGCTAGCTGCCTTAGTCTTCTCTCTGGTATTAAACGATGAACATCATTTAATCATCTGGTGACTGTTAATAAAAAATTCTTTATAACAGTCTTGACTTGTAAGTACACATTGTCTTTGCCACTGTAGAATGTACCAATGGAAAGGAAGGCCCTTTAAGTTTTTTCATCCAGTAGCCTCTTCAAAGGCTGTTTTTTGCCAAAAATACAGTTGGATTGTATATTATCCAGTGCATGACCTTTCTCCTTAAAAAAAATACCCCATTCTTGTGCACAGACCTATCTTAGAATAACAGCCATCATCACCTTGATTCTCTCTCTGGGACATTTTGCTGTAGTTTTTAATTTAGGAATTTCTTTTTTTTCCCTAGGTGTGCTTTCTGCGGCGCAGGAAATTCCAGAACTGCTGGTTTCGAAAAGTTCTGATCACAATGGTGTGGAGACCATTATTAATGCAATGAGAAGGCATGGTGCTGAGGTACCGATACAACAGAAAGGTTGTATTCTGATTCAAGTGTTGGCGCCATTGTTGTCTGATGATCAATGCCAAATGGCAGTATCAGCCATCATTGATGCCATGTATAATTTTTCAAAGGACAGAAACGTGCAGGTGGAGGGTTGTGTAGCCATGTTTGTCATTGCTCAGATTGATACAGGAAAGAGCGAAATGTTAGTGAACAATGGTGCACATGAAAGACTCTTCTCCATACTGGAAGAATTTGATGAGGACCCAGAATTGGTGTATTTGGCCGGTGAATGCATTTGGTATCTTGGCTGGGAACGGGATCTGAAGCAGCCGATGTTGCTGTCAGCATGCGCTGATGGACTTCTGAAAGGAGCCGACTGTTTGATAAGAAAAGGAGCTGATGTTAATGCTGGTAATGGAGTGAAAACGCCTCTTTTCCGTGCTTGCGAGAATGAAAGGGAAGAAATGGTGAAGTTTCTGTTAACTCAGGGAATAACAGATGTGCAATCTGCCCTCACACTTTCACTTGAAATGGGTTATGGCAATATTGTGGGTCTACTTCTTCAACATCTTGGTCATGACAAAAAAGCTGGAATCATTGCTTTTAGTGGCCTCAATCTGGGTAATTTGGAACCGGCATGGTTATCACCTTCTCTTACTGGCCACAAATACTCTCCTCCAGTCCTTGGTGCTGGCTGGACTGATCATCTTGAAGACGCACAGAAAGCAATGCAGTTCAGAGCGCATTTGAGTAGAATGTTGTCAAGTGAAGATTCGGAAGATGCCCTCAACGATTCGTGGAGCCCTAGTGAAGGTGATTTGGATTTGGAACTTGCGAGCAACACTTCAGGGGGAGTATTTAAGTCGTCTAGCCTTGAGTCCATCCATGACTCGGATTCAGATGATCCATTCTCTGACAAAGAGTTGAGTGTTCCAGAGTTAACTGACGAGACTCCATTACGAGCTAGAAGTATAAGCGGAGCAACCTTCCCTTTCAGTTCGCTTGATCCCCGCGTCGTGTCACCCTACTCAGAAAAGAACCGAGTCATTTTACCTAGAAGTGCACACAGTAGGTCATTTGATGAGCAACTGCCCGGTGTCCAAAGGCCGACAGTACAAAGACGCGCCATCAGTGATGTTACCCCACCCTTTGCTAACCAAGACCCTTTTTTGTGTGTGCCTAGTACGAGTACGGATCCAGTACACCGAAGTGCAAGTCCCAGGCTAGCTGAGGGAATCCCTGAGTATGACGAAGATGTCCAAGTTAATGCCTTCAGGATGCCAAATCGTAGCTATGTCTATAGGTGGGAGAGCTTCAGAGAAACTCAATCATTAAGTGGCAGCTATGACAGTGCCAATTTTTGGCCTCTTGGGAGAAGAACAAGTTGTGACTTTGGGACACGACAAAGGAGAAAGCAGTCAATCCAAGCCATTCCTGCAAATCCAACAGTTCGATTTATTGACATTTCTGGTAATAACATAGAAACCCTGGACACGATTGCAAATGCAACAGATGAACTTCTTGCATATCTAGCCAAAGTTGAAAAGCTAGATCTCAGTCGCAACCAGCTGTCACGTTTCCCAGTTGATTTATGTGAGGCAATGCCTATTTTGGATTGTGTAAATTTAAGCCACAATGCATTTTCAGTGTTTCCTTACTGTCTTGTTGAGAAGGCAAATGGACCGAAAGTCAGAGTTTTAAATCTGTCACACAACAAGATAAACTTGGTGTCACATCCTCCGAAGGAGAACCCAGAGGAGAACTGCGAATATACGGTATGGCTTGAGAGCTTAAACTTGTCGCACAATGAATGCAGCTGTCTTCCAAAGTGGTTGGGGAATTGTTTCCCTGCCCTAACCCACCTGTACCTAGTGGGAAATGACATCAAGAATCTGCCAGATTTACCTTTAAAAATGTGGAGACTTAAAACATTAGACCTGTCAAATAATAACCTGACAGAGATTCCAGCTCAATTCTTGCAGGAATTTTTCTCTTTAGAAGCACTCGTGGCTTCAAATAATTGTCTCACTTCGTTGCCTGAAAAGATCGCTTCTTCTTTGACAAATTTAAAGACTGTTCGACTAAACAACAACAATCTCGGAGAGTCGAAGTCGCTGAAGAATCAGTTTTCAGTCCCACGTTTTCTTCTTGCCCTTCCCAATTTGAAAGTTCTGGACCTTTCCAGCAATAGTATGGAAGACATTCCACCTCCAATCTCTTGGTCTACACAGCAACTGAAGGAACTTGTGCTCACCGATAACAAGATAAGAAAGCTGTCTCTGAATGGTGTGGAGAAGTGGGCTTTTCTTGAGAGGCTCATCCTAAGTGGTAACAACTTGAAGCAAGTGCCCAAAAGGATTGGTGAGCTGACATCACTTACTTCACTGGATTTGAGCCGCAACACAGGAATCACGCATTTGCCAGATGAAATGGGAAGGTTGACTAATCTATGGGATCTTCAGTTGGTTGGCCTTAAGCTTGATTTGGATTCAGCTATTCTAGAGAGCAAGGCCCAGGAGCTCATCGAGTTTCTTCATTCCAAGCTTAAAAATTCAATACCATATTACCGCATGAAACTGGTGGCTGTTGGCCGGGCTGGTGTCGGAAAAACAACCTTGTTGAACCAGTTGCAAGACCTGGACGGTGCACCAAGACCACATCGTGACATCGAAGTCAGAGACTGGGTCGTCAGAGACCACAAAGCAGAGTGTAAGACATGTTACAGGAAAGGTGTGAGCTATGTCATTTCCACGTGGGATTTCAAAGGCCGAGACGACTTGCACAGTGCTTTTCAGTGCCTCCTGTCAGTGCGCTCTTTGTTTCTGGTGATTTATGATGTTAGCAAGGGTGTCAGGGAGATCGATGCACTCAGACCATGGCTGCTCGACATAAACGCGCATGCCCCAGATGCATCAGTCATGCTTGTGGGTACTCACAAAGATAAAATTCCAAGGGATCAGGTTGATCGCTGGCTAAACGAGATCAAAGACCGAGCCCTAAGCGTTTGTGCTGGTCCTGGCTTCCCCCAAGTCAAGATTCATGTCGTGCTGGACTGCACGCAGGAGACGTCTGGAGTCGAAACGCTGCGGCAGAGGATTATGCAGCTCATTACAAGGTGCAAGTGCAAGGGTCATGCCTTGATTGCGCCGATAGTGCCAGAGAATTTCATCCACCTTCAGGAGATCATTTTGAAGCACGTTCCAGAACGTGAGCTGCCCATCTTTAGAATGGCCAAAATACGTAAGCTTATTCAGGAGAACAGGTTAATTATGGATGATGTTGAGATGGAGCAGGCCATCAGATTCATGAGCGAAGCAGGTGAGTTCTCTCGTATCCTGCGAGCAAGCTCTTCAATTGTGGCGAGTGAAGAGAGCTGAGACAGACTGAGCGAGCGAGCGGCGAAGCCGCGAGGGGCGTCTCCTTTCGTGTGCGGCTCTCGCGTGACTTCTCGCGACTCCCCCAAATGGAGAGCTTGCTTATAGGCTAGTTTTCTCGGAAAACCTTATGTTGTAATGCACATAGGTCAAATTCAAGCACCATATTCTCTTATTCTGTGCGGCTCTTTTGTGAAATACGTTATCTTGTTTTGTTACCCCTCCAATCTTCCACAGTACCTGCATTGTAGATTTTCTAAGTTTATTTTTGGTGTCTACCAGGAGTGCTCGTCCATATTGATGATCCAGCCTGCCAGTTAAACGATCTTCTTTTCGTTGACCCCAAGTGGCTGTTCCATCTACTGGCTGATGTAGTGACAAGAAACTACAGTAAAAACACCAATGCCATCCTTAAACGGGAAGAGCTGGAGGAAGCATTGATTCACGATGGAAACGGAGAAACGAGACTGCCTACAGAGTTGATACCACAAATGATCCGGTAAGCACCCCTGCAAAGTTGCAAATAACAGTTTGTCACTGGAAAATGTCCGGCTAAAGTTGGCTCGTGCCCCCATGTTCTTGGGCACAGATTTTGCCCAAATGTTTGGTCAGATCGTCTCCGACGAGTGGAAAAAAGAAGTTTGGAAGAAGAAATTTGGTTGCGTCAAGGCGTATAAGAAGAGAGCTTTAGATTCCATGAGGAGGCGACTACAAGCATGACGTTTAGTTTTAAGTTTTCTCGCCTGTTCTCTAAAAATAGACAGCCCGGAACGCTTCACTGTACTTTTTTTTCACCGCAAAAGTTAGCACGCTTGTTTCCATTGAAGGAGGTAAAGCCCCCTCCCGATCGTAAATTATAAAATTTCTAACAGTTTATAACTTGTTTTCGCACTACGACATTCTTGCTAAAACTTGTAGTAGACTGACGACGGCTACGACATTTCCCCGCCAAAATGACCTTGGTTCGCGCGCTCACTACTTAGTATTCGGAAAATCTCGTTCTCGTAGTCGTCCTCGTCTTAGAATCTAAAGCTCTCTACTGCGCCGGTCAAAAATGCCTTTGCTTAGCATCCCTATTATCTGTTGTCTTACAACGTTTCCTTGTTCTCAGGCTTCTTCAATACTACTGTATTGCTCTGCCACTAAGAAACAACACCTACCTCTTACCATCGTTGCTCAGCACTAAGCAGCCGCCATTACGGATGCAGCAGACAGATGCTCGGGCATTAGTGCACCGCCTCTACAAGCTGGCCTATCTACCTCCAAGTTTCTGGCCGCGTCTCATCACCAGAGTTCAAACCTTTGTGATCAACTTGTACGCAGAGCATAAAGCCGTTCTCGAAAGTCCACGAGAACCACAGGTTACACAATGGAGTGAAGGGATTCATGTTTACTGGTCAGACCAAGCTTTCTTTGTTATCTGCCATGGTTTGATCAGGCCTCAACAAGACACTGTCCAGATTACAACTCCAAAAACAAAGCATGGGGCCAGAATTCTTTCCCATGTGGTGGATCATTTGGATTCTTTGTTCGAGGAGTGGTTTTCAGACTTATGGTGTAAGTGTTATCGGGGTTTTAATTTCAGTTCAGTGGACTAGATGGTAGATGCGGATGTTAAACATGCAGAATGTGAAAGTTCGATTTGGATGAAAATCATTGTAGTTTCAAAAAACCGCAGAACTTGTCAGTGTAGGCTGTTTACACAAGTGACTTGCCATAAATCGTCTGTTAAGCCCCCTGCTAGTAGCAGAGAAGGCGAAAGATTGTTGTCAAGGCGCTCCAATTCCTCTTAAATGAGTGGAATGACTGTCTCACATAGATACTGCACCTAACAGGTCGCAGTGACGCTCAGTACTTAAGATTTGTGACCGTTGATACCGTTTGAATGAATACAGTCTTTCTTTAATTAGTTTGATTGTAAAAGTAAAGGTTTTAGAGGAGAGGGGAATTAATTTTCATCCCCTCTTAATGGAAGCTTTACGGTAGTGTGATCTAAAGTGTTATAGTTTGCAAATCGGTTTTGTACACTTGGGTCCCCCTTGAGACATGCACCTCTTTTCCTCTAAGTTGACATTTCTTATTTTGCAAGCATTTGTTTCCTAGGTTTACGGTCGTCCAGCTTATTCCAATTTTATATTCGACCCAAAAACAAATCTGTCGATCATAATCGACGGTCCTTGTGTCAAACGTCTTATGCTCTTGATAATACAAATATTAATATTACATGTATAGATTATGTGAATTTATAAAATAACTAAGATAGTACGCGCGCTCTGATTGGCTAAAAACCTATGGTTTATTGTGCCGGTAAACTCATAGAAAACTTAAAATTATTTTATAAAAACAATAGACCACACTTTCTATGGGTTTACCGGCGTGATAACCCACGCGAGATGTTGGGAGAACACTCGTAAAGCTTGTAAATCACTCGCCTTCGGCTCGTAATTTACAAGCGTTTCTCGTGTTCTCCCAACATCTCGCGTGGGTTATCACGCCGGTAAACCCATAGAAAGTGTGGTCTATTGTTTAAGTAAACTTTGACAGTTGCGAGATTAAAAAACTGGCAGAAACGGTTCACAACCACCAGTCATTTCTTTGAAATATGAAAATAAGGTAACGGTTACAACATTCCCGTTCGTGAAGGTTCAAAACAGTGGTAATAAAATTGTCATTTAAATGCATGGCATTTGTTTATTCTCTTATCTTACCCGCCCACTAATAGGCCATTTCCGAGTTCCAAAAATTCTCATTTTCAAAACGAGGCTATGTACTAAACCTTTGCATTGAAATGAGTTTTATATGCATGAAAATAAAAATTATTTCAATATCAATGGCTTAGCAATTAGCCTCGCCTTGAAACAGAGGCATGGGGTAGCCCTGAAATGGTCTATTGTATCATCAGTGTCTTTTGCATGACTTTGATATTACGGTTACGCAATTATTCTTTCAGGCGGTGTGGATCCCCAAGACGGCCGTCCGCTTGTCAGAAAGGAGGCTTTGTGCCCTTTCTGCCAAGGTGATAAAGCTCATGCTTTCTCTTTGGAGTCCATATCCCAGTCAACCGCAGACGAGTATGTAATGTGTCCAAACACCAAGTTACTGGTCGACATGAGACAAATAGCACCAGATGTTGTCATGGAAGATGTCGGAGAACAGTTCAGAATTGAGGATAGCAAATTGGTACTGGATATAGCACGTTCGTCGAAGCTTGGTGATGGCGCTTTCGGGGCGGTGTACAGGGCATTGTACGATGGAAAGAGCGTTGCTGCTAAGGTGTGTAAATAATTTTCAATTCTAGGTTCTGCGTCAGTTAAGGGTCTCTTTAGGGGATAGAATAAAGTTCAGATATAATGCCCACTGTGTGATTGGCTGAAAAAGCGTGTTTTTGAGACTATAAAACAGGAAGCTAAAGCTGTGTCTAGTCTTCATCCATCTGCCAATAGTTTGTTTTGAAAATTAGAAAGTAATGCGCAGGAAAATTAACGGAGTCTTTATCATAACCTGACACGAATAAAGAAGCCTTGTCTGTGCTCTGTTCTGTTGTACAGCACTTAGAAAGCGGCTAGAGCAATCAAGATGTAGGAAGAAACACTCAACTTCGTCTCGTTTTTCCCACTTTTTTTTTCTTTCGTGCTCTAACCTCTTCTTTAGTACTTTACAACAGACCAGAGCACAAGGCCTCTTTGTTTGCTGAGGAAGGCCCTCAACGTAGCTGTCCAAACTCTTGTTGAGTAAATCATCTCAACGTTCTAGGGCACTGATTCACCTCAAGACAAGCTAAACCTAAGTAGACCCCTTTAATGAGACTGCTAAAGAACACGCATCTGAAGCTTTTATTTGCTTTCGTCAGTCACCTTTCCAAAGCATGGGCATTTTTTATTGCGGGCGATAGGGGAAGCCCACAATCCTAATCTCCAGGTTACTATTACGAAGCATCGCAAGTATGTAGCCAGCGTTCGTTTGGACTTCCACTAAGAATGAATGGAATGAAGAGAACGCAATTTGATCACGCGGGTTTCGAACTTCTACCCCTCGTTATCTGCTGAGGCGTGTTTTGACTATCTGACACGTGAAACCTACGCAAAGCACAGCGTTGGAGCAAGAGAGGTTTGCCCTTCGATCGTTCTTGCCCGCACTCTCTAACCTTTGGTTATTACTAGTTTTCGAAGAAAATATCTTATTATTTTTTAAGCCAGATACTGTCATTGAAAGACCGCCTCACTGACCATATAGTTCCAGTAGCGATGAGCATAAAGTTTGTTTTTGAATTATGAAATCACGAGCAAGCGGTTAGACCACCTTAATCCGATTCTTGAACTACGTGAACAACTTTCCCCAGCCGTTACTATAAAAAAAGACGTCAAACGTCTTCAAAATAGGATCCCCCATTGTAGAAGGCACCTCTTGGGACGTTTGTACTTTAAAATCTTCCCCTCTTAACTTTTCACTAACAGATCAAGTTATGCGTCGTGAATTTATTTGCCACACTAAATTTCCCATCTGTGGACCAAATCCCATTGTTTTACCATTCAAATGAAACCTCTGTGGCCGAACTGTTGCATAGTTCAAGGTACTTTTTATGACTTTCAGTTACAAAAAGAAATTTGAACTTTTTTACTTCTATAAAAATTTTCTTTAGGTGTTTCATTGCAAAAATGAGACTATTCCTCACCGCTTGTTACGTCAGGAAGTCATGTTCTTGCGCAATTTACGTCATCCAAGTATCATTAACATGGTAGGAGCGTGCATGAAGCCCTGGGCACTGATTATGGAGTTGGCGCCGCTCGGGTCTTTGAGTTCGTTGCTAAACAATGGACAGGCTCTGAGCAGAGGGATTCAACACAGAATCGCGTTGCAGGTACTGTCCGTGAATATTGCGAGGCTTAAAGTAGATAGATCACTTGTTCACTTCCTTAGTTTTGCTTAATTTCATTTATGGTTTACCCGTATATGGAGCTTCTGAATCTGATCTTAATATTATACAGAACTTTTTAGATAGATGTCATAAACGCCGTTTTATTTCTTACCCCATTTCAATTGAGGATCTATTAAAGAAGCAAGACTGTAAAATTTTTAAGAAAATAACTTCTATAGATAATTACCCGCTAGCTCCATATATTCTTGCCTGCGTGCAGACGTCTCCTATTTCCTTTGTTGCACGCGTGCAAAAAAGGAAATAGGAGACGTCTGCACGCAGGCAACATATATTCCTTCAAGGAAAGTCTGTTCTTATAATCTCCGTAAAAAATGAATGTGCCCGTCCTAAAATTAATACTGAGCGTTTCATGTCTGCCTTTGTAAATAGACTAATATTGAAACACAACCTTAGTTCAGGGTAGTTAGGATTCTATGATTTCTTTATTTATTTTATTATGTTTTTCTCTATATTCATAAAAAGTTGTAGCATAGGATATGTATCTTTATCTTGTGTGAAATTAGACCCATTATTATTATTATTATTATTATTATTATTATTATTATTATTATTATTATTATTATTATGAAAGCTCCACGTTCTTAGACATGATGAATAACATTGGCATCGACAAAAATCAGCAACGTCATATAATCAGGAAAATGATAAATATAGCCATTAGAGCAACATATTACATCTTTTGTTGTAGAAATAGGAACTGGGATAGCCCAGACTCACTGCAATTTTGAAATTTTTTTTTTTTGGCTTTTGTTTTGTTTTGTTTTTGTTTTTGTTTTTGTTTTTTCTTTTTAATAATCCAATCTCAAGCAGCATTTGTAAATTGCCTATACGTAGCGAGATTTACAATTGAACATTCAAAAACAAATAAAGTTTCCATGATTATTATTAAAGAAGATTACAAGGCATTGTCTTTGATTTCTCTTACAAGGCTGTTTAACGTAATTTTGCGATGGTCAAAGGCGGTACTCAATGAAAACATGCTATTTACTTACTGGAAAATATTAGTAGGACCATACGCCTATTAGGAAGTTAACCCTTTGACGGCCGTGCCTGCCAAAACCGGTCGTACAAGACTACTCTGTTTTAAAACATTGTAACTTTCCCAATCGCGCAAAGATAGGCTTAACTGTCTGTCAGTACAATGTCATTCAAATCGCTTTTTGTAAAATATCACCTTTTGAATTGGACAACGACAAAAATGAAAAACAGAAATCATCCGTGACCGTTGCAAAACCAGAAGTCAACATTCACGGTAAAATTCAGTCCTTGTTTTAGCTCAGAAGTGACTTTTTTTGTTCTTATTCGTTTTCCGGGCCGAGCTACAGCCTATTTTTTTAGTGCATCCTGGCCTTGTCTCAGCAACTCCGACTTACCACAAAAATTTCGCGTTTGTTGTGATTTTCAGTGGTCGCAAATTCCAAGATATGCCGTGGTAGGTCAAGAAATTCATCAGTGGCCGAGTGCCAAAGCGACTTCGTTTCGGAGCTGCCATTTTTTAAGTTCGACGAGCAGCAAGCCAAATTCCCAAACGGAGTACATCGGCTTACTCACTTCTTTGAGAAACGGGACTCTTAGCTACCGCCAACCTCAATGATGCTCATCAGGCAGCCACTAATCGCATACAAACCATACTTGAGCCGTTATTTTAGCACAACGAAGCAAAATAACTACGTCAGAATTACGTTTCCAGAAAACATGAGCCTTCAGTGACTTACATTTCAGCATCTCTCCACCTTAAGCAAAAGAGCTCTCTTGACTGTTAGACAACCTTTTTCCTATTGATTTGTCAAATTGTCAATGACCATACTTTTCTTTACTTCAGGTAGCAGAAGGCGTGGCATTTTTGCATCGTCACCTGATCGTCTACCGCGATTTGAAGCCACACAACATTCTCATATTCACCCTGTCCCCTGGAAACTTGATCAACGCCAAGATTGCAGATTACGGCATTGCTCGCTATGCCACTCTCTGTGGCCTTAAATCAACTGAAGGTATCGTCCCCTTTCTGTGATTGGGCACAAGAACTGAAGACCCTAAGAACCTGTAAGAATTTGAAAAAGGTTCTTATTTTCTTAAAAAGGCTCTTATTTTCTTAAAATCTATTATAACAACTTCTGTACGCTTGGGCAAATAAGATAACTCGACTTTCAGGATCCTCTTTGGAAACATAAGTGCCTTATCACCCCAACTGCAGTGTAATAGTATGCATATTTTATGTAAGGAATAAGCTGAATAACACTCAATACTATTAGTTACAGTCTATTCTTTTTCTTCAGAAAATTAGAACCTTTTTAAGAACCTGAATAGCCTAAATTTCATTTTGTGCATTTTGTAAGAACCTATTTAGAGTAATGTGGGAAAATGCAGGTTCTTACTCGGAGGTTTTTTTCTGTATCCTTGTGCATCCCAATAACCTGTGAACAGGTTGTTTTCCCTCTCCCTTCCAATGTTGGCCTCGAACTTGGATAATTCCACCGAAAAACCATTACAAAACAACATAAGAAGAGAGAAAGGCAGGTACCAGAACAGTGTGACACAAGTTGGTTGTCCTTGATTGTACTAGAGCTTCGTTCTATACCCGACATGAGATATAACATGCTAGAATTGAAAGCACGAGGAAAACAACGGGGAAATTTTTATCTTAATCTGAAAAAATAGCCAATGTTTCGCGAGGCTATCACTGGTTTCCCCGCGCAATGACGCCCGAGAGACGAGCGCAGAAATCCCATAGTGATGACGCTTGTGCTTATGCTAGCGTTTAGGCGGGTTTCTCGTGAGAAATGAACAGTCTCACGCTTGTCTTTGGGCTTGCGTCGCAAGTGGAAACCGAGTTTTCGTTTTGATAATATCGTTGAATTCATAAGTGTTAGTCTAGAGCTAAAACAGTTGCTCCATGTAATTAATGTGAATGCAATGATCATTACTTCAATTCATTCACATTCGTGGTTCGTACGATAAATGAAAAAATGCCTTTGAAACTGCGATGATCCTTCTCGAATTACAATATTACAGGGCATAAAAACGTTACGATACGAGAATCTTTTTAACGTTTTTTTACTTCGGCTGTTCTCAATATAACAGGTACACCAGGATACCGAGCACCCGAAGTGGCCCGAGGTGACCTCGCCTACAACACAGAGGTGGATATGTATTCTTTCGGCATGTTTCTTTATGAGCTTGTTACCGGGGGCACCAGGCCATTTGAGGACCTGCGCTTCCGGCACGAGCTCGACGCGGCCGTGTTGAAAGGTCGAGCACTGGATCCCATCACTTGTTCACCTTCCTGTGCCCCCTGGCCGGATGTAGCAGATCTTATTGCACACTGCCTTGAGCCTCACCCTAATAGGCGAGCAACTGCTGAACAGGTAACCGCCAGCTGCTTCACTCTAGAGGCTGGTTACGGAAAACGTTAAATTGTACCTCGTGACTAAGTTTTCCCTTTGCTTGCCATGTCATCTACCAAAAAATAAGTGGTTTCATGTCAGGTTGACCCACACAAATTATTTTCGACAGTTTTTACCCTGACTCGTCCCCAATCATCTCTTTTGTCTCCTAATTAAATATTAACGAGGGATGCGCGTCGTCCCCTTCGCTGAGATGCCGTAATAGTCTCCTGCCACCATTCCATGACCGCCTTCAAATGATTAGAGACGACTGGGGACGAGTCAGGTTTTTACCTTCTCATCTTCCAATTTGAGAAATTTTCAACTTGAATCTCGCGTTTCCCGTTTGCCGTAAATGAGATTCTAAATCTCTCTAATTACCACCTATTGTAGTCCACGTTCGTTAAGACGGACACGTTTGGGAACTGCACTAAATTTTCTTCTCAGAAGAATTTCAGTCTTACAAAGAATAAAAATAAGATGACTTTCAAAGGGTAGGGACCAACCATAGGTGTCGGATTTTGGTGGTGGTGGGGGTGCGGGGGAGGGGTTGGTCTGTTTTAAAGAAGAGCCCAGTAAGAGAAAGTCGATTCTAGCGACAAAGCTAAAAAAAAAAACAGGAAATATTGACGTTTACTTGGAGAAGTGCTTATTAAAATTAAAGTGAATTAACGTCCAAAAGGAGTTTATCTCTGACCACAGGCACAAAGGTATTTAGTGCACGGCCATAGTACCTCCGAACAAAGGGGCCGTTTTGATAGAGTTAGGGATGTAAAGTGGATAGCTTTCTCGCAAGAAAAATTCGTAAGAGAACAAAGTGAATGAAAGTACGCCGTTTACGGCGACATATGTGAATTGTTCTGTGTTATTCAGATAAGTTTAGCGGGAAGGCAGCTCTTTTTTGCAGGATATTGCAAAAATATTTCACCAGTTTAAAGATTACTGTTTCTAATTTATAGATTATTGTTTCTTGTTGTTCCTTAAGGCGTATTCACGTTTGTGTGACCCTGAGCTCATATGTCTCAAGCGTGATATTGCAGTGTGCAAAGGACAGACGGTGGAGTGCATGGCTGTTCGACACTTTCTTGAAAATGGTGCAGCGAAAGTGGAAGTGTGGATGGGCAGTGGACAGTCAGATGACTTAAATGCGCAAGTCACAATCGTCGATCTCTCCGAGAAAGGAGTCGAGGTACAGTCCAACGAAATAGGCTGTTGTAATTTAGTAGCCTGCGAATACAGCCGTCTCTCCTCGTTCCCCGCCGTAAGGGACGTTTCGTCGTCTTTCCTGCCGCGAGGAGAGAGGAGAGACGGCTGTATTCGCAGGCTGGTAATTTAGTGATCGCTTTACATTTAGTTACCTCCACGGTGATTGGTTGAAAAATCTCGCCGCATTTTCTCAACCAATCAGAATTGGAGCCAAAACCAATCTTGACTTGCTTACTGGCATTCTCACTGACGCATTCTCTCGATTAATTCGAGATGTGATTGGTTAAGTCGATTGCCAACTTGTGTTGTTGTTTGCAATACAAATGACTTCGCCAGGTTGTGTTATAGTTTAGTTTTAGATGTTTATTCAGGTTTTTGCTTAATTTTTTCATTATGTCCACAAAATGGGATTTTTTTAAGCTTGGTAACCTCTAAAAACTTTTGGTAGGAAAGCGAATTTAGGCAGTTGTGTGCAAGGGAGCGTTGATTGGGATTTTTAACTCACTATTTAACCTCTTTGTTCTTTATCCCCAGGGCTGCACGGGCACATTTGTCAGAGACAGACGAGTGAAGAGCATCGTAGCAGTGGATAGCGATATTGTCCTAGCTGGTACACAGTCGGGCAAGATTTGGGTGTTTGACGCCGCGAACCATAAATGCATGTTCTCCCAACCTGAGCTTCCTCACGCAGTCCTTTGTCTTAGGCACTACAAGGACCAATTTAGTGGCGTGAATTTAGTGCTCGCTGGGCTAGCCAACGGAAAGCTTGCGGTGTATAAGGCTGACAGTGTCAAGGTGAAAGAAGCTCAACCGAAGCTTTACGATTTGTGTTGCAGTAGGTTCGAAGATTCCTCCTGTCATGAGTGTAAAATACATCCAGTGGCTTGTACGGCTGTTGGGAAGAAGAGGTTATTCTGCGGCTGCGGTAACGAAGTAGTTGTCCTCAAAGTCAATGAAGCTGGCGAGTTAGAAATTGAGCGTCGATGGACTGTCGAGGACAGACATCAAGGGCTTGTTCTTAACATTGCCGTGGGGTCCACTTATGTGTGGACTTCAACTCGCGATAGTCCTATCATAGAATGCTGGGATTTTTCCAAGGGCAAGTTTTTCAGTCAAGTGGATTGCATGGCTATCCTCAAAGACGCTGGCTACCTTAGCGATCCACGACAAACGCGAGTACTCAGCCTTCTTCTCTCGCACAAGACCCTGTGGGTTGGACTGGGTACTGGTCACGTGATTCTTATAGACCCTGCCACGCGGAAGCAATTGAGCATGATTCACAGACACGTGTCCGCTGTGCGGTGCCTGTGCCTGGCGGACTCACGTAACCCAGAATTAAGTGACCAGAAGACATCTCTGGTGCTGTCAGGTGGTATGGGTTTTATTGAGAGACCCGGATGCGAGCGGAGGAAACCTAACAACGAATTTGGATACGCATTAGCTTGGGAGGCTGACTTCACGGAGCAGGCCAAAGACTTGGAGAGCCACATTCGCAAGAGGCGTGAACTCACAGAAAATAATTAGAACTTTGTACTAAACAGGCGTACACTTTGAAATGGGTGGAAAACGTGTGCGATGGTCTTTACTGAATATAACCTGTAACCCCTGATAATGATCGACATGTAGACTCTCCATAACATACCACTGTTTAGTCAAATATTCAGGCGATGAGAATCGAGAAACTGAGCAACGGAGGCAGGTATTGATTCTTAACCGAATTCTCGTCGTAAGTACCCTAAAACTGTTCGGATAATGGTGTAACCTTGTGAACATACATGCTTAGAATAGATTGGTGGTAAGGTAAGGGTTAAGCAAACTTTTTGTTTTTTCCAACCAAAGTTGGGATCAAAGTTTGTTTGCAATTGTAATACTGGTTGCAAGTGGAAAAGTTAATTCTTTGCTCTTTGCTCTTTGCTCTTTACATCATAAGTGTTGTTGTTGTGGGTTACAGATCGGTTTCTTTTACTTCTTTGTTCTTTGGTTTGGGTTACTGTAATTTCACGTTTCATTATTTTTAGCGGAACAGGTTTTCATTTTCTTGCCAAAACTGTTTTAAATTGTATAGGAAGAGTTAAATCAGTATTGCCCTGCAGAGTTCTTTTAATGGGCGATTTTAAGTTGTATATTTTGAGTTTTCGCATCGGTTATTCGGATAATTATGAGATGATTTGAATCTTATTTGCATAAACTTGATTTGTTGAAAGGTTCGATTTGCAGATCGTTTTAAATGTTTTAGTCACAGTCTTACTGTAAATAACTCTTGTACAATTAGAACTGGTAAAAACGAGCAATGCTACCTCTTTTAACATATGAGAATGTAGGGATTGTTTTAAAGTGAGACAACGAACTAATTGGTTGACTTCGCGCAACCAAAACGAAAATATATTTATGACTATTTTAATTAATCCATAAATCGGAAAGAAATAGCCAAAGTTAGGCCATTTGCTAAACATTTTTGGAGACTTGAAAATCCATTCTCGACTACTGTGATCAGATTGGGTAGAATATTTATGACAAATTAATAGTGTAGAATCTGTAAATTTTGTAAATTTTAGGATAATCATTTCCAAGAAATAACTGTATAGATCGAGAGTTTGTAAAAGGTAGAATTACTTGAAGTCAGGGGCACCCAACGAGGATATAGTTCAAAACCACTTAACATAGCATTGTTGAACGTATTTTAGTATTTAAACGGTAGATATAGGCATATTTTTATCCCCTAAAAACTTTTCATCTGTTCGGATTTCCCAGCTGAAAGTCTAGTGATCCGAAAACTATAGGGATCAAAACTTACCTTTTAGAAAATTTCAGCCAGGAAAAGGCTCCCAAAAATTCTAGGTGGCCTTTTTTAGGGTAAGTATCCGTTTAAAATGGGTAATTATACCATTTTGTAGATGTTCGAAAATCCTAGGAGAGGCAGGCAAGCAAGAAACTTTACAACAAATGTTCCGAAAATTCTAGTTCTCAAATCGTCTTCCGAACAGATATTTTCCCGAAAATTGCCGTTGGGTGCCCCTGTTGAAGTTTTCGTAAAACGAAGAAGTTCGTCAAGTGGCAGAAATTAATATATCAGTGATTGTAAAAACATAATTCAAAGTAGTTACAATTACAAATTGTAGAATTGAGTGAAGTTGAATGGTCTGTTCAGGTAGTAGTAGATATCATAGTAAGGAAAATTACACCTGGCCTCAGCTCGGCCATTTACAATCGACCTCTCTTCATGGGAAAACATATCAATAAAGTTACTTAACCGAATCTTATTTATTTTACATCGCTGATGAAGTTTGAGCGAATTGTTTTTAATTTTTTTTGCCCTGAGTTGCGGAGTTTAATGTTTCTATTTTGACCCAAGGATAATAGAAAGTCTTCCGATTAAAATCCTATCGTGCTCAGGCAATTGTTTCACGACATCATATTCAAACACCTATTAACAACGTTATACAAAGATTAGAGAAAATTGCCTCGATTGACCATGATTGTTATCATGGCCATTCCTTTTTTATATTTTATATTTGCTTTCGGCTTTCAGCTAACCTTATACTGATCAAAAAGCGTTTCAAATCGCCAATCTTCAAACCCATTAAAATCGGCCCAGCATTTCAAAATGCCGGCTGGGCGAAACAAAAAGGTTTACATTCTATTTTCATGAGCCTTTTAGGGATTCTTAGGAATTCCGCAGGCGTGTTTTTTTCAGTCCATGTATTGAATGCGTTTAGCATAGCAAAGCCTTTTTTGTTTTTCCAAATTAACTAGATCCATCCTTTCTCGGTCCCATGCAATATAAAATCGTTTAATTGACGCTTTTTCTTCTAACAAGCGCAATTTTATTTCTTTATTTGTTTCTTTGTTTTTTGTCACTCACTTTACATAACAATATCGAGCAGCGAGCCGATATTCGTGCTCAGGCTGAAATTTTGTAACATAAAGTGATTTCAGTGATCTATAACATGCAGATGATGCCCTCTTTGCTATCGGGAGCCCTATAGAAACACTTAACCTTACTTTCCCTGGACATTCAATCAAATTCAATAACAGAAATGTATTGCAAATTAGTAAAATCCAACTAGTGGTCTATTATCAATGCTGCGTTCTGACTGGTTGAGCTACTAGTAGGCTATATGTTAGAGCCCACTAGTAGCGAAACGCGCGGGCTTTTTGGCGGCAAAAAAGGATCAAATTCTAGCTAAATTTTTTTTATTCTCGATATTTTTGACCAACTAGTTGGATTTTACAAAAACAATTATTCCTCTCGCCCTAATGGCCTCTAAGTCAACAGCCCATTCGGCCTTCGGCCTCATGGGGTATTGACTCAGAGCTCATTTGGGCTCGAGGAATAATTGTTAATGAGACTGAAAGACTATTTCCATTAATCAATACCCTCAACTAATGGAAGTTCTATTTGTTGATGCTATTGAACTCCACTGATCAAAGTCGACATGGGCAAATATTAGAGGCTGTGTCAGAGTCAAAGAGTTCAAAGCCAGAACATTGAGTATATTGATATTGCTGTGAATAATCTGAGAAAGAGATTTAGAGAGCAATGATCGATGAGCAACACAAATGAATCATCAGCTAAACTGTCGAGCGAGTTATCGAGCACTTCAGTTCCCAAAACCGCTGTTCCCGAGCCGGGACCAGATTGGAAAACAGCGAAACTAGAATGGGGAGTCGCATGGGAGTTTCACTGTTATGGTCTGGGCGTCGCATTCGCGTTCCTTAACTCTGTCGCAGCCATGGTGCTGGCAAATAAGAAGAAAGCCTTCGCTCGCAGAGTTTTTTTCGATGCTATCAACTCACTGCAGGTGTTATTCGGGATGTCCCGTGCGTTGTGCTTGTTGATTGACCCATATGAATCAAAGATGAACATAGCTAACTGTCCAGTTTGGATAGCAAGACCACTCTTTGGGATCGCCTTTCCTTGTTTAACCTCATCTTTCTGTTTGATTCATTTGGCTTTTCTCGAAGTTGCCAAGGTTCAACTCGTTCCTCCAAAAATTCAAAACTTTAAAGTTGTCGTCAGCATAATAGGCCTTCATTTTCTTGTGGTTATTGTATCTGACACGACCGTTGCGTTCGAGGGCAACTTGACCGAACTTTTAATCGTCTGTCAATCGTTCTTTATTGTCTGGGGCTTCCTCAACTCGATCTCCTTCATGTATAGTGGTTCCAAAGTCGTCAGCCAAGCAACAAAAATTCAGAGGCAGCTTTTAGCGATTCAACAGGGAGAGAATAGAAAGGAGGCTCCAAAATCAAATAGCTCACACGTTTGCAGTAAAACAAGTAAAGTGGCGAAAATTACACTAGCAACTAGCGCACTAGGAGTGGCCTGTTGTAGTTTACAAGTTTATTCCCTCTTTGGTGTTTACGGCATGTATTCAAAAGTTGTTAACCCAAAACCTTGGCCTTGGTTGGCATTTCAGACAAGCTTCCGTCTTGTGGAGCTAGCCATGGGGTGCACCATAGCCTACAGCGTTTTACAATCGGCGGACAGGGGTCAACACCTTTTACATTTGAAAAGTTGTTTTCGATCTCGTGTAAATAGGATAAATATAGTACCATTCAATGGTAACCCTATTGCGAACACCCCCTGTTAGAGTAGCTTTACCGTGTGTTCCTCTAGACAACAGGAATAACCTTAATGTCGAGCAATACGGTGTGCACCACCGGTAATTTTACCTCCATATGACCTGTCCCCTGCTCTTGTATCAACCGGGTCACTTTTTGTGACTCATATTTAGCATGAATTATATCGATTTCAGAATTTTGAGCAGAATAAGCGATTTCTCCTGACAAAATACTAAGGCATCTTTTAGCAGAATTCGTGCGGAATGAGGAGACATCATCAAAGTTGCAAACTACATACAAAGCCAGATAAAAGATCGTCATAGGAAATTCACCGTTTCGACTCATGAGAGATATTTTAATGAGAAGAATAGGCAACTTTTTCGAACATTGCCAACAGGCTACATGTGATTGTAGAGTTCTTTAGGTGTGTTATCCGCTAAATAAAAGCTTCATTTTGTTAAAGGAAAATTAAGTGCCCAGAACTGCCCAAGCACATACTTAAGAAAATATATTTTGTCCCTACCTATGAGATGAGGAGAATGGCAGAGGATGAAGCTATAAAAACTTTATACAGGCTTTACAAACGTGCTATTACATTGGAAACTGAGAGGATCCACAATGAAAGGCATAATAACAGCTGGTGTCTTTAACCCTTTTATGCCTTACTTAAAAGAACCAAGAGTGACCAACTGGCAACATCAAATTTCTCCTTACGATATCAATACAGAATTTTGGGAATCAGTTATGAGAATCAATGAAATGATCATCTAAGGGAAATGCTTTGACCTTTTATTGATCAGTCTATTCCTCTAACATGCAGGGCATCAGTGAAAAACTCTGAAAAAAAAAACAGTAACTTCAAAATGACTGTGCAGTGGCCTGTTCTGACTTTAGTTAAGCACCCCTTGGGTTAGTCCTGCCTGTTGCTGTCTTGTCTTAGTGTCATCTTCCTTGACCTTTTCACAGTTTTTTCAACTTTTTATATGGATCAGTTAAGGAAAATTCATCACCACCACTGAAAAGAGCACCTTAAAATTAGTGAAATTGCCAAATTTGAAAGTGCTATGTCTAAAGCTAATGAAGATATACTGTAAAATTCCGAAAATAAGCCCCGGGCTTACATTTTTCAAAGGCCCTTTCTGAGGGGCTTATCTTTGGAGGGGCTTATGGAGGGAAAATTCCGTTTCAAAATCGATTGGGCTAGCCGAATAGTTGGAAGAAAATTGACTGTTTTTGCTTTATTTTAGTTTGTATTTGAGGGCCATTTCCAAGTACAAGCCCCCGGGGGGCTTATATTCGGAGGGGCGATTTAACAGAGGTTTTTTTGCGTTACGAGTTTGGGGGGCTTATATTTGGAGGGACTTATACACGGAAGGGCTTATTTTCAGAATCTTACGGCAGCTCCGCAAAGTTGTGAAAATTTACAGACATTTGTATGGTGTTTGTGCCCCCCACCATACAAACGCCTGTAAAATTTCACAACTTTGAGGAGCTATATCTTCATTAGATTTTAACCCTTTAAGTCCCAATAGTGACCAATATTAATTTTCTCCTTACAATATCCATACATTGCCAAGAGATTAGGTTATGAGAATTAATAAAATGATTACCTAAGAGAAAATGCTTTGATCTTTTATCAAATTCTCTCAACTCATTCTTGAAGGAAATATATAGAGATCAGTTTGGAGAATGTGTATGTGGATAGTGAGACTTGAAGGGTTAACAAATCACTTTCAAATTATACTAATTTTAAAGGCACTCTTTTCAGTGCTGTCGATGGATTTTCCCCAACTTGTCCAGGTCTATTACTACCAGTTCCAATAACAGTTTCTACATTGTATCTTACATTGCTGCGAGAATGGTTCATTGTAAATTTGGTATCATACATTTTTGCCTTATTTTTCTTTTACATACTATTTGCTTAGATGTGGTATGAGTGGTAGGTCACCCAGTTTGACTGAAGATGTTTTGGCCTGTCCTTATGGCTGGAAGAGAAAAGTGACTTGAAAACTTTGCTTGCCTTAGGGTCTTCAGCCACACTCTTGTGTTTTGACAGTTCAGGAATCTTCCCCTTTAATGAACTTGCTCCATTCAATTTTGCCCCTGAAACCTTCACATCACTCGCAGCAGCTCCACTTGTAGAGGGCATGTGCTCCGTCTTGGCTCGCTTTGCTGGTTTTTCTGGGCCATCCTTAGGACTTTCACCACTGGAACTGCTAGACGATGATTCCCCATTTGTGGAGGTTGCAGTTTCAGAAATCTTTGTCTTCTTAGCTTTCTTCTCCAACTTGCTTTTCTGGCGCCTTTCCTCCATCTTTGCCCTCATTTTACCCAATTCTTCCTCGTTCCCATTTATTACAACAATGTCCTGGTCTGTGAAAGGTTTGCCACAGTTGTTACACACAGTTGATGGGACTTCTTTCAGTGCTCGCTCAGAAAACACGCAGCCACATTTCCACAGAAAGCAAAACTTGTATCTTCCGTTCATTTCGATCCCAACAACAGGGCAGATAAAACGGGATGCTTGGAAATCCAAATAGCTGTCAGCATGCTCCACAGATTTCTGTTCAAAGGCAGGATTGGTGGTCAGTTTTAGCTCCTTAACATCTTTCAGGCTTCTGATGTGGCTAGCAATGTTAGTAGTCACAGAGGATTTGTCGAGAAGGTATTCCAACACGGCTTCTTTGTTGTACAAGTTGCCCAGCTCACAACAAACGATGGGAGTACTTAACTCTGCCTGGCTTAAAGCACAATGGAACCACTTTGCGTTTAACTCGTAGTTTTTGTCGACTTGTTCGGGCTTCTTCTTCATCCGAACAAGTTCATCTCGTTTGGGAATTGTTCCACCATCACACCCCATTGTTTAAGTGTCTTTTGTCGCGGAAAATTGTTCCAAAACACAGAGGAAAATACTTCGAGACACAAAATGGCGGCGAGTAGTCGATGACGTAGGTCCATGAACCATTGCTGGCAGGTGCACATGAAAAGGCTCGGTTACAAAGCTGATATTGGTCTATGAATGTCAAACAAAGATGGACGCCTGCTTGACAGTCGAGCGAGAACAGGACAGATTAGCAAAGAAATACACGAACATTAAAGAACATACAGACTCTTCCTTGACAGAATTAATTAATCAGATAACTAGTTTACAAGAAGAGTTATCTAAAGGTAAGAATAAAGTCTTGTTTTTCCTACGATCTGTATCTTAACGTAAAATTGGAATTTCATTTGGAATTGAATCAGAGAAGAAATTAATAATAAAAAATGGTTTAGATTTGGCGACGTGCTTGCGTGCGTGTAGAACAAAAATAGGCACAGGATTACATAACTTCACTGGAAATTACTGTTAAAAAAATGACGAAAGAAAGGTATTGCAGGGCTTGAAATAACTATTGGGCAGGCGCCGGACACATTGTTCGGTCAAACGTGATTTTGCTCGGACATAGGCGTTTTTGGCCGGACAAATTTAATCCATCTTAACTAGTTGCAATAGAGGCTCCATTTAGCAAGTTACATGATCTGTATCATTTTCAGCAACAGCAGCTCTAGTTACTCAAAACAAATCGAGTGTGCAAAAAATTAGAAGTTGTAGTTTTATTACTCTTTGTTCTGTTACATTGTAAGTCAGACACGTGGATTGCAAGACACAACCTCATCGTTAACGTTTGGTTGAAACCGGACCAAATCACTAACAAAACGTAACCTTCAACTTTATAGTACAACATTTACATTTTAGCAAATGCTGCTTTGTTTCTACAAATAATTTCAAACGGGCAAATAAACTTGTGAAATCGTTTGGTTCAATAAATCAATCTCTCAATTAACACGATAATAAACGCTATTAAACGGAATGTAAATTAATATACAACTATGTAATATAATCCTGACTTACAAGTTTACTCTACCGTTCGGTTGAATGCAAATCTAGACTTCATGGTGATTTGTTGAATGCGTAGCGTCTATGTGTGTAAAATTGCATGGGAACACTGGAAATCCAACATATTCACTCTTTTTAAAGCCTTCGGGCCTAGTTCACTTTGCAAACAACAAAAGCTTAGTAACCAAGCTCGTGTGCAGGCCAGGGTGTGCCGGAAGTGACGTACTGATTTGTTCTTTTTAATTTTTCAGCATCGTTGATTGTGACGACAGCCTTTGCCTAATTCATTATACTGTTTCTCTGGGTCTTTCTTTTTTTCGCTCTTGTTGGCACCAGATGCTATGCGGATTATTTTCGGCGCGTACAATCTTGAGCACTTTACAACACCCACAGCAGTAGCCAATTTGCGGTCGCGACTGACCACAGGAAATGTCATCAATTTCACAAACAAAAGTCCCTCTAGTTAATATCTTTTTTGGGAACATGATAAGATTGAATAAATTTCCATCATGATTGTCTCAAAATTGAATTTTCTTTGAAAGCCCAAATGACCGGACAACATGTCCGGTCATCCACGGATTTGCTCGGACAATGCTCAATTCTGACTGGACATTGTCGAATGACCGGCCGTTATTTCAAGCCCTGTATTGGTTATGACGTTTCCTCTCTGGACCCTGAATTGTTATTTCTCTTTGTAGCTGGCAAAGAGGATGAAGTTTCCCCAGTACAGTTACATTTTCTCAACCAGTCATCAAGAAAGGTGAAAGACACAGTGGCCAAAGTAGCCACAGAACACAAGGAGCTTCATGGAGGGATCTCAAAAATTGGAAAAGCTATAGACAGAGTAAGTATCTCATCATGTCAGTGACATGTAACAACAATCATTGTGCAGAGACTATTTAAACCAACTATTACTTAATTTGATCAGTTTTCAGAAGGCAACTTTGACTGCAATCACGTTCTTAATACTTTGTTAAAACGCTTTCAGAAAATGCAAATTTTTGCACAAGTACACCTACAGTGTAATGCTCTCCTCCACTCCTCCCAATGTTCAATGGCGGACCTAGGGGAGGGGCCCGGGGGGCCCAGTCCCCCCATTTTTAGACCAAACTGAGGCCCAAAGGGCCCAAAAAAAATTTTGGAGACTGCCCCCCCTCCCCCATCCTCTTATCTCAGGGTCTGGATGACAGGGACCCCTCATTATCTCAAGGTCTGAATCCAGCACTGATGTTGGTGTTATGATGGACATTTGTTTACGGGACAAGTTTGATTTTAGGTTAAACATTTTTAAAATGTTTAACCTAAAATCAAACTTTTCCTGTAAACACCAGGCAGGCAGGCAGGCAGGTGTGCTACAGGAAGTAAACAAGTAATATCTAGTGAAAAAAGGTCGGGTGTTTCAGTGAGGGGAGAAGGGGTCTGTATACAGGCTAGTGTTTCTCAGTTTTGGCCCTAGGGAGACGAAAACAAAAATGTAAATACCTATTTTTTAGTTCTGTTTTGTCTTGTTTATTTTTATTCATTTTCTCTTCCAGTTTAGACAACCTAAAATTGTTTAGATTTATGTAAATTTCTGGGGAAGGTGCGGGAAATTCACTGGTCAAAACATTGCAGGCTCTTTCTTTTTGTCACATAATACTTGGTAGTAAATAGTCGTGATTGAGAGTAACAGAGATCTTCGAACCACTTGCATTTGAACAAAAAATGAACTTAGGAGGAGATAAATATAGTTATAAATAGGGATAAGCAGGACATTCTGAAAGCCTTTTGGAGGCAAAGAAGTGGATTCTAAACAAATATTGGCTGGTCACGGAGCATACATAATAGTGCGTAGATCGACGGCGGTAAGTAAAACTAATGTTATTCTTTTTTTAAGTTGTAGCCTAAACTTAATGAACTTTTTAAGGGCGTAATTTCTTTATCGCTAGAAGGAAGAATTTCTCATTGTTGAATGTTGTTTTTAGATGTGTGAGTTGACGTTGCTTTATGACTGGTATATACTGGCGTGATTCAAAGCTTGTCAACAACCACTCGCCATGTGGCCTTAAAAATTCTGCCCAGGAAATTAAAAGCAGCTTGGTTTTGTCACAGTAAAGACCATAAACACTTGAATGTAGGACTTCTGTATAGTTTAACTCGTAGGAAGAATAATCTTTGATTTTGCGAGAAAATCAAAACAAGGTCACAAACATGACGATTTTGCCTTTGATATTATGGTGACGTGCATTACTAATCAGTGTGGCATCTTTAATTTTGTCGTAAAATCTAGAGCGTTTTAGGCATGCATTAAACTCCTCAATTATCATTCTTGTATCATTCACTCACTCTTAACACAGAATACCCAAAAAAGTTATCGCCAGTTTCAAGAAGGTAACATCCACATTCTCTGATTTGTATTTTCCACAGAATTTTGTAGTTGACAACACAACATGCAGCCAGCCAGGTGTATTTGATGGTGACAATGCATCACTACTGAATGAAGTTATATGTGAACACCTGCTACGGCAAGGGAGATTAGATATTGCAGAACAGTTGATAATGGTAACTTAACCTTTACTGCCTTGTGTCCAAGGTGAAAGTACCCAAAAGAACCTGCTGAGTCATCACATGTGATTTCCTTATTTATTTCATTATAAGCCGAGCGATTTTTACACAAATTAAAGCTAAAGTTCAGTGAAATTTGAGCACCATAGGGGGTCTTGGCTTATAGCCAAGAGTTTTTGAAAGCAATTTTTTTTTCAGTGCATTGAAACTCCACTAAACTCTGACTAAATGGAGATGTATTCACTTATGAGCGAAGCAAACAGCAGCAAAAGATCAAATCATTAACATAATTAATCTGAATGTTGAGTTAGCTAAGCACAGAAATTCAGTCCCAAATTGTCCAAATAGCTGTTAAAAACAGGCCTCACAACTAACACCTCACATTGGTAAGCCTTTTACAATGAGGGAACGTGTAAAACAAATGAAAGATGTCATGAAATGTGTAAACAATCCGCCATGTTTGGTCAAACATTTGACTGTTTACTAAGCACAGACAAACGCAACACGAACTGATGTGGTTTGTTTTGATTGAAAGACGATTTATGTGATCATTTCAAGCATAATGCAATGAAGACATGAGGAAAGATCCATAGAAGCAAAAGGCCCAAACAACAATTGTACATTTTCCTAGAGAAGGTCACATTTTTTTGGAAAATGTTTTGTTTTACGGTCGTTCAAAGTCTTGTAATGAATAGGTTTCAGCTTACAGCCAGGTGTTGTGGATTTATCTTTTGTTCTTGGTTTTGCTGATTCCACGAGTTGAAAGTTTAGGGTCTCGGCTTATAGCCAAGATCGGCTGATAGCCCAATAAATTCTGTAATCAAACATTGTTCTTTCTTTTTTTGTTTTTAGGAAGCTAATCTGCAGTTAGATGATTCTAGAAAAGAACCTTTTACTGAACTGAATAGAATCCTAGAGGCCTGTAGGGACCGCAACTTGGACCCAGCACTTCAGTAAGACAAATACCAATAATCCATATGTGTCATTATCTTTACTGCAAGTTCATCAGAGTAACATAGGTACCACAACTTGGATCCAGCACTTCAGTAAGACAAATACCAATAATCCATATATGTGTCATTATCTTTACTGCAAGTTAATCAGAGTAACATAGGTACCACAACTTGGATCCAGCACTTCAGTAAGACAAATACCAATAATCCATATGTGTCATTATCTTTACTGCAAGTTCATCAGAGTAACATAGGTACCACAACTTGGATCCAGCACTTCAGTAAGACAAATACCAATAATCCATATGTGTCATTATCTTTACTGCAAGTTCATCAGAGTAACATAGGTACCACAACTTGGATCCAGCACTTCAGTAAGACAAATACCAATAATCCATATGTGTCATTATCTTTACTGCAAGTTCATCAGAGTAACATAGGTACCACAACTTGGATCCAGCACTTCAATAAAGCCCCTTGCAAACGAACACAACATTGTTGTCCAACAACTCCCAACCTTGTTGGATGCTACATGTTGCGTCTGTTTGCACACCCTGTTGCATGTTGTTGCATGTTGTTATGAGTTGTTGTGCAAAGTTTGAAACCAGTCAACCTTTTGAGGCAACAAATCCCAACATTTCTTTTGTTCTGTGATCGCTGAAGCATAGTGTAAAAATGTTGGATCCATTTGCACAGCTCTTCCAACAATCTTGGGGCCATGCATGTGCATTACATGTGGTCTCCTTGCAGACAGCAATGCAATAACTTTGCGTGATAGAGCAACAAGCGTGATGGGCCAACATTGTTGGGAGTTATTTCATCCATTTGCGCACCATTGCCAACATGAACACAACAACTCCCAACATTGTTGGTGCATCCATTTGCACGCAGGTTAAGAAGAGTACCAGTTATTCATATGTGTCATTAGCTTAACTGCAAGTTAATCAGAGTACTGTATCATTTTTTGGAACTTGTATCATCATTGGAGGTTTCTGAAAAGAGTAACTGCAATCTTTCCTGAGTTATAATTCTCAAAAATAATTTATTTTCACCTTTTGCGTCATTTGGTTTTTGATCTCTTTGTTTTCTTCCTTAGGTGGGCTCAGTCCAGGCACAAGGAACTCAAAGTCAGAGGAAGCTCATTAGAATTCAGACTTCATAAATTGAAGTTTCTGGATCTCCTAAGAGAAGGACATCATAGAGAAGCACTTCAATACTCAAAACACTTTGCAAGATTTGCTTCTGATCATACAAAAGGTGAGATAAACTGTATGGTTACTTTACAGTTTTAAAAAACAGTAATGGGCTCAAACGTTTACTCCACAAAATAGTCACACAAGTTCTTTGAAAAAGAAGCTTGTCATGCAGATGTACAAAATCATTGTTTTAAGGTAATTCCCTTGAAAGGGATGTTCTATACAGATTTTTTTCAAACTTAGCACAAATGTCAGCAATGTATAGGACATTCAAAAAGTGCAATAAAAAGATGGGGTCACTGTGATTGTTTTTGCACTGTGTGCCTGTAATTCTGACTGTTTTTTCCTAGTTGTGTGCAAAATGCTTGAAAATTGAACAACCAACAAAAATTCTTATCACGTAGCAAAAACTGAGAATTCTTGATTGCAGAAACTGCTTAGAGTATGCTAGTGGTGATAATTGGGTCCCAGCTTCTAAAAAGACCCTGTACCATATTATCTTCATTTATCCACTGACTCAAATTTTTTAGTGCCTTGGAAATTTAGGGTCAAAGTGGAATAGGTCATTTGTTTGCTCAGTGCTATACACTCTGAATATTTGCAAGGCTGAAGGTTACCTTGTTTTATTACAAAACATGCATGCAAATGTTGCTATTTTCATGCTAACGAAGGAAAACAGGAAGGTTTGTAACAAAACAAAGACACCTCCCACCCCGCTTCTAGGGCACAGAGGCCTATCCTGGCTACTGCCTCTTTTTATCGATCCTGGTCTCAGAGGTTTTTATTGATTTTTCTCCACTGATTTTTCTCTGTGTGAAAGGGAACGATCTGCAAAGGGGTGAAAGCAATTCACAAAGCAGAGAGGAAGAGAAAAAAGTTTTCTCTCTTCCTCGACCCTTCGAGGCTTGTTCCCTCTCACGCTAAGAAAAATCATGAAAAACCTCTGGGACCAGTTTAGATTTAAGGCTCACAGAGCTTACAGGGCTGTGCTCTAGTGGCACCCAGTGGCCCCTGGACCTTTACTTCTGCTCTTGGACAACTATCATCATCATAATTATGCTGGGTACCCTGTTTAACATGGGTCGCGGGCATTGAGCTGCCTTCGATATTTTTTTAGAGCACAGCTGACCAGAATGTTTTCAAAGTAGTAAGGTGTCAATTACATGTTTGCTCAGTTGCAAGCTGTTCTCTGTACTCATTCAACAGAAGTACAACAGTTGATGGCTTGCCTCCTGTACAGCCGAACAGGTCTGGAAAATTCACCCTATGCCTCATTACTCGACCCAGTTCATTGGCTAGACATCTGCGATATATTTGCAAAGGATGCCTGTGCATTGTTAGGTTTGTCATTGGAGAGTCCACTGCAGGTGTGTGTTACAGCTGGCTGTGTGGCACTGCCTTCACTTCTTCAGCTCAGACAAGTTATGCAACAGCAACAGGTTGCAGGTGTTTGGACATCCAAGGATGAACTCCCGGTAAGTAGCTTGTCATCAAACTTTTGGTTGTGAAGTGGCTAGTTCTTTGTATTTTTGTCAATTTTGTTATTTCCAATTTGCATGTACATGTAACTACAACTGTTCAAGCTCTATACTTCAAACTGGCAAGAAAGCAGCGTTTGAACGTCAGTCACCACCAGATCTCTCTTTTACAGAAATGTGTCAGGTTATCATTATCAAGGCTGTTCTCTAGCATCCCCTGGTGACACCATGCTGGTTCATTCGCTCTTGGGCACCTAGGAAATCACAGATTTTGCATAAAAATCTTATCCAGGGGACCCTGTGTTGTAACTCCTGAAGGATTATCCATGGGTATATATAAAGCTGACTTGATTTGACTTGACTACCGTAAATGATCGATTAAGCGCCTCTACTTGAATAAGCGCTGCTCTCGAATAAGCGCCGTACCTTTACCAAAAATAATTTAATAAGCGCCGCGGCGCTAATTTGGGTATTTACAAATTAACGGCCCACCTTTGTTACAGCGCTAGATATAAAGACCTCGACCAACTCGTGAGTTCTAAAGTTTTAGTGTAGGGAAACTCTTGAAACCGGGTTCATATAACAGTTCGAGGAGTACATATTTTATATTAAATTGTGCGTACCTAGTAAGCGCCTCACTTAATTCTCTCTATATTCCCCTCAGTGTTTTTATCCGTGGTTGAAATAAGCGCCGCACCTATAACAGGGAAAATGAAATATGCCCCGCGGCGCTTAATCGATCATTCACGGTATTTGTACTTATTTCACTTGAATTTGTATTTTCAGGTTGAAGTTGATCTTGGTCCCCGGTATCGCTATCATTCACGCTTTGCATGTCCAATTCTCAGACAGCAATGTACAGATAGTAATCCTCCAGTGCGACTGTCATGTGGACATGTTATCTCTAGAGATGCTCTCACTAAACTCACTAATGGAAACAAGTACGCTCCAAATAATACAAACAATTGTCAATTATTGGACGAGGTTGAGCAAAATATCGTGATTTGTCAGTCGCGAGCAGATCAATAAACTATTATTTGTCGAAAGCGAAGGTTAATTCAAATAATTGATCTGTGAGACACTGACAAATCACGATATATTGCGATAACTGAGTTAAATAATTGTTTTATCATTCGATTTTAATGGATATCTTCGGGAAGCAAAGCGTTCTGCCATTTTTCACGTAAGAGGAGAAAAGTGTGGTTTCGTTTCGTTTACGCATGAACAGAATTTTATTTGCAGCCAAACTCTAAAGCCAAACTCAGTTGGACGACATTGCGCATGAGCAGACCATTATTTGTGGGCAGTTTTGCAGGTCACGTGGTGGGCTTTCGGCCAATGAAAAGGAAGAACAATTTGAATCGAATGATAATTTGGGTTGTAAATGGTTGTCTTAATTGACGTGTCTGGTTCCGATTGGGCAGTAATGTATCATATTTTGTGGCTTCATGATATCCTTGGTTTTGCAGTCATAATTTATGCAGGGCTCCTGTTGATACCAGCCAATGGCTGACAGGGCTGACCTGCCTAAATAAAGTTGACTTGACTCGATGTACGTGCAGAGCTGTTGTTTTACTCCTAAAACATTTTTTACGTCGACTTCGTGGCTCTTTAAACTGCGTATTTGATGCGTAAAGCAATTTGGGTAAACTTTCAGTTTTTCACTCAGTTCACGTACATAATATCAACTGGTATCATTAGTAACCATTGCGCTTTATTTTCCTTTATTAGAGTCAAGTGTCCATACTGTCCTCTGGAAATGACTCCAAGTGATGCCCGTCAGATAAATTTCTACTAACGAAAGCCTCACCCAAATCCCCAGACATGCTCCCTGCACCGAGGAAGTTGGCATTCTCCTGGTGGCTACACACCCCTTCTCTGGCTCGTCTAACGAGACAACGGCTCTGTAGGAGCTGGGACAGCGGCTGCTTTATAGAGCCTAGTTAATGGAAGGCCCGTAGGGTACTCCTTTATATAAGCTATATAAGCTATATAAGTTTGTTCGGCGCCAGAAGGTGTGGTTTTTGAGCTCTTTATTCTGGATATCGATGGAGAAGGGTAAGGTTTTGTACTCTCTGGAACTCGGGTCTGGAATGGGGCATGTTTGTTTTTCATTCGCTGTCTTGAGAACAATTGTGCAGGTCTGAAAGTCACATCAATTGGTTTGAATTAAAGTTAGGGTTTCAGAAGCATGCCATACACCCCACCGGCAGCCGGCAGGGCTGTCACTAAAAGTCGGGGGCCGGGGATTTCCCCACGGCTACTATGGGCATGACCCCCGGCTTCTTTCATGGGAAACAAAATAAATCCCTAGCTGTTTAATTCCCCGACTACTAATTGTATATACCCGGCAACTTGAAATCTTAACGACAGCCCTGCCGGACACCTTGCTATCCAGTACTATGTCAAAGGTTGCTCCTTCAGATACATTCTGAGACGAGAAAAGATTGTCTAAAAAATAAGTAGGTAAAGCATCTTTTCATCAAGCCTGGTCTGGACTTCACTCTCAGCTCGGGCGATTATCAAATGTACATAAATTTGTAGTGTAAACATATATTTAATACGTCGTGATTTTGGTATACTCATGTACACGACACAGTTCCCGGTGAAAAAAATTAAAATTTAGAAACTCGTTTCAGATACTCGAGTTTTATTGGTAACTTATGGGTTGTTTACGAAACTAGTTTCGCCTTCCTATGTATGTGTTACGTGCCATATACTAAATTCCTACGAAACTCTTTGAACTTTGGGCCGAATTTTTATTAAGATATAACAATTGTTGTTTAATCATTTTAAACTAAATACATATCTCACCATCACATTCATTTGGACACAAATTTTAATTTGAAACTATTAAATACATCTACCTGAGTTTGGTTGTCACGAAAAACAGAATTCACTGGAGACCCTTGTATTAGGGGAAGTTTTGAAAAAATCAATGAAAACGCATCAGTTCTTTGTATTTTTACGTACACCCGCGTTTTACACACACTGCCCACGAACTACAACACGTTTTGCTCGTTTCCCTTTAATAAAAGAGCAGTGGTTTCTCAGCCTCCGAGCGTCTGGCGAGAAACCACTGCTCTTAGGGTAGATTTACAAGATAAGATTCAAGCCAAGATAGCATACATGTTTCCTCTCTTCTAAAAGCATAAGCACAGGAATGTTTGATTGGGAATCGTAAATCATCAAAATCCTTGATTTATTCATCAAAGTAACTGATTTTACGGGAGTCAACTAGACCAGTCATTCTCTTTGACAAACTTTTTGAAATTGGTCCAACAGACGCCGGGACTATAGAGATTTGTTTTTCCTGTTTTTCTCCTCCTTAGTACTTTTTATCACTAAGATATTTCTTGTAGTGTCCCCCCAGCTGACATGAATTGAAGACTCGATAACTCTAGGCGATGTTGATGTCTTTCTTTGATTATTAACCTCGACTGATGTTTTTGTTCCTGTGTACGCTAATTACAAAAACAAACCCGCATTGTTGTCATCCTGTCCTTAAAATAATTGTCTTTATTCGCTGAAAGATTTGAACCACAATATCATTCATCACTTTCTATAAATAGCCCTAAGTTTCTCCATTATCTGGCTTGCGTGAAAATTTGCGAGGCGATCCGATGTCCCTGGCACGCAAAGTTTCATTGGAGCGAGTAGCGATAATGTTACTCGATGTTTGTGCATTTACTCGTTTTTACAACTTTTTCGAAAATTTTTGATGTCTCGTATAAGTTTCGAGTAAGAAAGTTCAAGGGGTCGATTCCATGAGTGAAGGGTAAAATAAAAAAATAGAAAAAATCTGGGGGCTTTGTGCCTAACCCTTAATGCCCGAGTTAGCCATAACAAAAAAAGCACTAGATAGGAAAACAAAAGTATTTTCGTCTTCGTTTAAAAATCCCATCCCTTAGTAGACATACTAATTTTTAATGCTCAAACTAGTTGTTTTTCTTTTTGGTGAGCTTAGACTCTTTTCCTGTCGACGACTCTTCGAGATCTTAAGAGTATGTTGCATGTTTTGCTTTATAGCTTATCATCAAGAATCACAATTCGCGAAAACAATAATTTTTTATGGCTTTTAAACGATCACACCAACGACCCATGTTCTGATAAACAACTTTCAAACTGACGCCAGTAAATTGTTTCATTTGTAGACTCAAAAGTATCATGTTAAGACTTTTTTGTTAGTGATACATGATAAACAAGAAAAGAACTTTCATTTTCTTAGCATTAATTAATCTAAAAGCCAGTAGAAGTGCACTGAAAAGCAGTTGTGTTTCAGTAGAGTTTACTTTTTTGCAGTATTTGCAATACGATCCCTTCAGAGAAACAGGTTGGGTTTTAGCCACGACCGGAGACTTGTAGAATTTCCTTCGTTGCATACGCAAAACAGTTTTCCTTTTACGCTGTAATTTAGTGCTGCTTTCTCTTTCGAAAAAAAACACCTTAAGGAAGTGCTACTCAATTTCATTAATATGGATACTTGATTTCAAAGAAAATATGAATATCAAAAGTTACAATCATGTTGTTAAGAAAACACAAAGCATAACAAGCTTTAATGGTCATGACTCAAAGCACGGTAGTCGTGGGTGTGCTCAAACGTTAATAGAACTGCTTAAAAGCCTAGTAAAGAGCACTGTGGTCGCACTTAACACCATCTGCTTCATCTGCACGATATAAAAATTCGAAAAAACGTGGGCATTCTAAATTAAACTCACAATGTGCTGTTTTTTAGGTTTAAAATGAGCAATCTTACGTCATTGTGCGTAGTTCATGTTTCTGTTCCTTTCTCTCCTTCTTCTTTCTTCGTTTTGCTTCGTTTTATTGAGAAAGTTATCGGATCAAAAAGTGACAACAAACAATACCAAAAGACAAAATAGACGCAGAAATACGCTGCAAGAATTTTAATCAATTGAGACCTCCCATGCCACTTGTTTTATTTTTTTCGACGGAAGTTTTTTTTTCTGTTTTGTTTTGTGGTTAACACCGAAGTTAATTTTGGCTCCTTGGCTTGAGACTCTTAACAAACAAACAAAGACTTTTTGTGGTAAACAAGTGGGGGTCACGTAGGTTTTTTTAGATTTTCTCTCCTACAGACATGAGATCAAAGGTGCATATCAGGCGGTAATAAAAATGTAGAGATTACTTTGGGTACTTTAGAAGGCTAAAATTTTCACCTTAAAATCGTATGTCAGCCATTTAAATGTTACCGCAAACAATAAATCAATTTTTAGCCCCAATTCCATGGCAGGTTCATTTCCTAGGCACAGCGAATCAAGTATATTTTGCCCCTATATGATGCGATGCCGAGTGTTTTTGAAAAATAAAGATTGCAATGTCTGCACTATTTTATCTCTTATTCATTTTATTTCTAAATAATGTACCTAAGGCTAACACATCAAGAAAATGCCATGACTACCAAAAACTTTTCTACAAAAACAGCCAAACAATGTATAAGCCATTTCCTTTTAAGGAAACTGTATTTATATTTCAAGAAAGGAGTGGAGATTTTTTCCCCGCCTAGCTGTTTGTTCTTTATTTTCTTTTCAACCTACAAATAGATCATCAATTCAACTCATTGTACACCAAAATGATCATTTCCTACTCCACGATGAAAAAAACTAGGCAAACACAAGAATTTTATTCAATAAATGAAACACCGTCTTTGTGCTTTGCTCCGCTAGAAACGGTACAGTACTTATAATGGTTTTGGACTTAAAAGGTTACTGAATTCATGAATATTAGCCTGCGTAGCAAGCGTTTCCGCGCGATTTCGTCGAGAAAGTTGGGACGAGAGCAAAAAAAGGAATTTTTTTTTGCTCCCGTTCTAACTATCGCGCAATAACTCGATTGGAAACGCTTGCTATGCAGGCTACATGAACATCGATTTGATCGTAGTGAGAGAGAAATGGGAATGACTCTTCTCTCTTGATTGTAGACACCACTGAGTTAAGAGTCGGTCAAGTTTGTTTTTACCGAATGGAACGAACTACGTAAGTCCTAAGAAGGCGTTGTGTCTAACCATTTCACTCCTCTTACTTTTCTTAAGAGCAGCTTGCTGACTTTGACCTTGTCAAAAGTCTAAAAACAGACAACTGTCTCATTTGTTCATTGATTACCCGATATTTGAAGTTCAGTTTCCTCTTTTCCAGCTTAATCAGTACTTGAACTTTCCTCAAATAAATCCGTAGGAACGACCCCGGTTAAGCATAAGGATAAGTTCATAGCGTGAGCAGAAGTGCCGTTAGGACAGACATCCACGCCCCGTCCCCGGAGGGGGCGGGGGTCATCCTCCACGTTCTTCATTAATACCATATATTTCAAAAATAACAACATCTGTGTTGAAACCTTTTTAGAGCCAAATCCTTAAGAATGGAAGCTGCATTTGAAGCATGCGTTTTTAGTTCGTTTTGAATCACCAACTTTTGATACAATCTATGTTATCTGCCATCAGTACCCACTGATTTCCTTTATTATGATTGGGTGTCTCGGCATTATTTGAACATCTGTTTTCGTAAAATAAATTTGCCTATGGCTATTCGTATTTCTTTAAATTTTACGTAGATGATGACGGAAGCGAATCAAGACCCTCGTCAGAGGATTATGAAGAAGAATATCAAAAGTCTGAGCAAAAACAGCCTGCCTTACTATGAACGTTTTTCACCCTATTCCTTTATTCGGCTCCTAATCTATTTTAATATTTTTTGCGTTTCCGCTTCACGTCTCGTTGGTTGCCAGAAGTGCAAACAGCATCCGTATCCTTTCTTATGTCTAATTTCGTTCTAAGCCTGAATCTTG